TTGAAGAAATATCCTTTGTAAGTATTAGCATTGATAAACACCAAAATAGGCCAAAGATTCATGTAACAACACGTGAAACAATAAACAGGTTTAACTATGTCACAGAAAAAAATATATATGCAAAGGTCAAAGGATCACTGTCTTGCAAAGTGTGTTCTTTTATCTGTAAGACATAATATAGGTATACCAAGTACCTACAAATTCATGGTTAAATTTTTTGCTTTGAGAGATGGTTTGAGACAATCTTTAATTCGAACATTCTTATATTGTTATGCCACTTTGATACGCATTTTACAAAGAGACCTTTTTGTGACCACACCCTTTTGACCCCGCCCATAAATGCTTTATTTCTTCTTTCTAAGTCAATCAGATTTAACTCTGGATCTACCCCAGTTATTCACTTTACTTTCTTTCTCTGGGTTTTAAATTTTTTTGCATCATTTTGATTTCCAGACCTTTTTGCTTTTATGAATAACCCTTCCTTCTTGCGGATTTCCCTATGGACACTTTTAGTTATCCAGGGAAGACCGGCGTTGTTTTTTTTGCATATAATTGAATGGAACAAAATCCTCAGTCAGTTTATTGGTAGAATTTTTGAAATTTAATTTGATTGCAGGCAGTTTTTTGTGAAGAAAGCATTATGGTTTAGCTTCCTTGCATTGTTTGTTTTCAGGCTGTTTTTCTGTTATCTATTTTGATACTTACAGATTACAGGAGTTCTGAAACATCAGCCAATGTGTAATATTTCTAGTCCCTTTTAGTCTCTTTCAGGGATACTTTTTATAGAATAAAATGAAATAGCAAAGTATTTTTTGGTTTGTATAACAAGAGATTTAAAATTTTTACTTTAGTTTCATTCTTAGAATGGTCATCTGGTAACTGGTTTAGGAAAAGCATCATATAACGGGTTCTATATCTCTTTGATTTAAGTGCAACAGTCTTTTAAGGAAAGGAATTTTTCTCTAAAGGAAGGGAAATTTGTAATTGTTACAAGAACGCCCCTTTTATTTGATGGGGAAGCATGGAAATGGTTGTATCGTTGCAGCTCTTGCAAGCATTCCATTGATTTGAAGAACATTACCTCAGAGATTCATTTGGCAAATGATGGCAAGTACAAATTAATTAGATGCCATTCAAGAGTTTAGAAGTAAGAAATTAGATCTATGTAAAATTCCTATGCTAAATTTTCTGGTTATTTTTAATCTTATATTCATCATCATCAGGTACCATCTTCTATCAGAAGGTTGACCCTCCAACTATCCCAAAATCTGAGTTTTGTTTGTTGTCATGGTCATAGATAAATCTTATATCATTTATCTTCAAATAACCTACCAGGCAATTCATATAATTTCCTTATAACACCCTCTCTTTTCATCTTTAAATTACCTGATGAAATAGCAGTTGGCAATTATTAATTTCATACCTTGGGAATTTTATGAAAGTTTCGTTTCTAGATCTTTTAAAGCTTCAAGACCCTTGCTTTTACTGCATGGCCCCTATCTTCGTCAGCTATTCATTACAGTGCTGAACAGACAGGAAACACTGAGCTGAAGCTATTGCAAACTGGCGCATCAATTAGTGTTATTTGCCTACAAGACAAATTGCTGATGTGCAAAAATTGCAAGTGCCTGCTTGGTTACCATTTGATGTATGACGATGTTCCACTGTACATGCAAGTTGGGGTTTTTAAGGCTAAAGGTACTGAAATATTTGTTTCTTCAAGACTTTTTTTTACTAAACACTTTCTATTGAAAGTGAAGTCACATAATTCTAATTGTCCCCTCGCCCCGTTGGCCTGGTGATGTGCCCTCAGTCTTCTATTTCTCGCAAGGCCTTTGCAATGACGCACTTTTTCTTGAGGATTGTTTGATAAATGTGCGATGCTTTTGACGAACTCTGCTCCAAACATTGGCAAAAATTCTTATCTTTAAAGATTAAATTTCCACTAAATTATTTGTAGCATTTTATTGAAGCTTTTGTGCGCTCAAGGGCGGAGTTATGACGGGGGCCCAGCCCCCCATAACCAGAGCAATTAGTACTGGGGCCCTGAAACGCTCAAATTTTTCAGTCAAACATTTTTCCCTTTAAAAGGTTTTTCAAATTTTTCAGCAAATCCAACTCGCAGTTGAAAAAACCTTGAGATTCAGATATGAACATTTCCTGTGCACCTTTTCCGTATAGATAAAGAAAATTGAGACTCTTCCCTTTGAGAAAACTTACAACCGCAGCCACTTTCTTACCTTGCCAGCAGTTGTGTAGCACAGTAATCTAACATAGTGTTTACAGACTTTTCGTTCCGCACAAATAAGCGAAAGCTTGAATTTTGATTGGCGAGATTTGGTAAAAAATTTGCATAACAAAGTGCCCTGCATATTTGTGCGGCACTGGCGACATGCTTAAAAATCATACTGTTTTTCTATATTGAATTAAATCGTAGCATTGTGTGTGAGATCGACCAAGTTCGGTTCTATTTTTATTGTGTAAAGAGAGCAAAATGTATTATCTGTAAGGAGGAAAATGAAAGATTGTGATAAACATGATTGCCTTATTTCAATGACTGAAGACTAAAACTAAATTCTGAAAACCTGACGGTCTTCCGTGCGACCTGTGCGACTCCCTGAATCCGCCCCTGATTTACATCAAGAACCATAAAGGATCGTTCTACAAATCAAATTCAGTAAATGTTACTCTTTCAGTAAACGAGATTGATACTAATTCAGAGAGCACTGATAAAAATTTCAGTACTTTAGCGGTGCTAATAAGCCTGGTGATCACAATAAAATGTATCAGGAAAGTACGTTGTTAAGCACCCACTTAGGGAAACGACGAAAATACCATTTCATTGAGGTTCAGGGTGCTTCCATTGTCCGCTTGGCTATTTTAAGGGCCAATGAGTCGAAACAGCTACCGGTCACACTAGATTTCCAAGCTGCACCAAGTTTCCAAGAAAATATCGAAGCAAAGTCGAGGTAATTGCTAAAAATTGTGAAGACTTCAAAAGTCATTCATATGCTTCTAATAGACATAATTTTACCAACAGTTTGTACTTGAATGAATAAAGGATATCGCAAAAAGACCCAGTTTAATAAGTTCAGTTCAGTTAACTTCAGTTTTGTATGTTAAAATTCCTCTGCTTACAATATCTTACGACAACTACAGTGTATTTAGTTGCATAGAATGAAAACAACTTACATAAGTATACTTAAAATAATAGACAATAAATAGCAATTACGTAAAATGTTGATAGCTGGGGAAATTCATTCAGAAGAAACTCTCTCAGTAGATGAAGTAATCGAGGACACAGCAACCTCTTTTATAAAATGGTTTTGAATGTAACTTATAATTTACCTGATTAACAGAAAAAAAATTTCGCTCAAGGTTTAATAAATAAAAAAGGTTTTAAGGTTTCTACAAAACAGACAACAGACGATTTTCTATCTATCTACTCGGATATCGTCCAACATTTTGCACTAAAGAAACCTACAGACATGATAACATATTACGAAGTCTTTTTTTGTATTTAGAATATGTCATAATTACAAAAGCAATAGATAGAAGACAACATTATGCTAACGAAGATACACTGAAATTCAATGTTATGAAGGAATAAAGAAGCCAAAAAGTCCCTTCTTTTGTTCTGTCAGTCTAATTGTTTGCTTTATGCTCAAAATTTCGACCAAATACCAATACTTTGCAACCAAATACTTTGCAAAAAAGGGGTTAAGCAAATTCCTTTTTTTTCGGGATCTAATCGTTTAGACACTTCTTGTTGAAGGCTTTTATTCATTTTGCAGGTTTGTTCCTCGCATCACCAGGAGAAGACTGCTTGAATCATTGCCCAAATAGACGACTTGTTTGCGTGCGTAAAATCAATCTTAAAAACTCCCCAGCTAAATTTGACCAACTTGGCAAACAGTGCGAAGACAAGACCAGTCAAGCCACATGGAAAGAAGCTTACCATCCTGCGTTCATTGAAAATGACAACATCTGTGCAGGTTTCAAATATATACCAGCTCTCATTTCATGCAACACAACTCCACCTAGTGATGGGAAAACAAGAAGACTTTGCAACTGTCAGGATTTAGGTAGACTCAGGTTTCGTTCACGAACCTCTTCCTGTTGCATACCAAAAATATGAAATTTCATACCCGAGTCAATTTTAGTGCTACAATGCTTGTTTCATTCATTGTACATCTGATTTTAAGACTTGCAATCTAGAATAGAAGTGGCAATCTGGGATAGGAGTATCCATGGTTTAAGCAATATCTGTCTTGTGATTGAGGTTCTAATTATCTTTATGCCAAAATTGTTTTTGTAGATGATGTTGGATTTTCTTCTTGGGCATCTTGGAGTTACTGCTCAAATTCATGTGGCGGTGGGAAGCAAACATCAAGGAGAGACTGCCTTCTTCCACAAGGGGGCTGCAAAGGGGATAACTGGCAGACACGTGATTGCAACACTATTCCTTGTCCAGGTGATTACTGTTAAAAAGATTTACCTGTTTGAAATTATTATCAAAATATGACCTCAACATAAATCTATTTATGGTATTTACCAACATATTATACGCCAGTTACCGTGTATCGAAAATAACTTTATTATTGAATTGTATTGTGTTTTTTCGAGTTTCAGATGACTTAGAAAACTTAGAAAATTGACTTTCATCTGTATTAGACGAAATGGCTCTATAAAGTGGAAATAATTAGGATTGCAGTGCACGAAGAAGTTTCTTCAAATTCTGTTTAACATCTTCTAGTTAATGGTAACTGGGGCCAATGGTTGACTTTCTCTACGTGCAATAAAACTTGTGGCTACGGCTTCCAACACCGACACCGGAGATGCGATAATCCAGCTCCCTCCAACGGAGGAGAGGACTGCTATGGGCAATCTGTTGAAGAAATGGAAGGCTGTAACCCTCATTTGTGTCCAAGTAAGTTAATTGTGTCACTTATCAGTCAAAAATATTTTCTTAGTTACTGATTAAATATTGATTTCATGTATCTATCAGAATTTACGCATATCATTCTTTGCATTGCAGGCAGGTGGGAACAGTATTACTATTATTCAGAATTTATTTTGGTAGGTAGGTAGTACTTGGTTACAGTGTTCAACAGTAGCAAGCTTGTCGTCCAAAGCCTGACCTGACTGAGTGCAAAAACGTAGAGGCTTTAAGTATCGCCACCCGCTGATGGTCATGTTTGAATTATTTTACCAGCAAACAAACTTCACAATTGCTTGCTGCTTAAATCAAGATTCCAAATTGAGATTGATATCTGCTTCAGTTCAACCGTTCAATGGGCAAGTTTTAAACACAAAATTGTTAAGATAGATCATCTTTTATTATACACACTTTGAAATTCTACTTCATCGTCACCTTGTATTTCCTAGTATCCTTCCCCTCCTGTCAGTCTACTATACTTTAATTTTTTCAAGAGATGGAAATCATGCTATATACTGGCTATTTTTGCAAAAGATAAAACTTTTTGTGTTATCTTATCTGTCCTTTTAATCGTATTACCCGTTGTTAAATATTTTTATGATCTCCCAAAAACGTCAACCTTGAGAATAATTGCGGCTGACTCTGAATTTAATGGTAAAGAATGAATGAAAGAACTAAAACAGGTTATGAATTTTACCATATATACTTCACTTTTCTTCAGCTAGAATATGAAGATGAACATTTTAGTTTTTAAAAAACTTGAGAAAGTATTCAACTCCTGTAAAGATCTTTTTTCAATGGATTGTTTGTTCAAAATATACTTTTTATGGAAATGTGATTCAATTGTATAAAAAACATTGAAATGTTTTTAAAGGGGTTTGTATTTTTGGATTAAAATAGCTAGATGAATAGAAATGACACTATTTCAATGTTCCTGGAAATCATCTTCTAGCTCTTAAATTGTTTTGGAAGCTCTGAAAAAGTGAGATTTTTTCTGGATATTCATTTACGTTTATCTTTTATGTGTAGTGTAGACTCTCTAAAGAAATTTCGGCCTTTGTTAACGTTTTTGTACAACCGGTAGGATGCTTGTTGTTTAGAATTGTGGTACGTTTTGGTTGGTGCAATTCTTTAATTATAACGACCTCTGGCGGTAAAAATCAAATCCAATCTTGAATGAACATTGATTTTCTACAATATGATATCTCTATTGCGGAAAATATAACTATACCGCCTGTTAGCTGCCACCATGAATGTTAGGTCAGCGACATCGTCAATATCTACAGTTATTCAAGGTTCTTGTTTGCAGAACGTTGAAAGCATACTCAACAACGTTTTTGTAGCAGACGAAAAAGATGGGAAATATTAAGATGGTCATACTTGAGGTATGTCAAATTTGGTTTAAATCAATACTTGTTGTTAATATAAAACATACATGTATCTTGGGCAACTTATTAATTTGTATAGCCTTTACTGATTTACGTGTTTTTATTGTTGTTTATTCTCGGCGTATTGCGGTGTTTCATATTTGCTACATTTTTATCGACTTTTCGCCACAAGAACTCCTTGGGGCCCGTCGAGCAGCCTGCTACAGTGGCCTTTTATTCATTCACACAACTTATTAATTGCATTCTCAAAATAAGCTTGCCAGTCCCTGGTCTTAAGTGACTATTGCAAAAATGCAGTTGAATGTTCCAGCTGTCTCGCAAAATATTAGTCACAAGAAACAAGACATTTTATATTGTATTTGATCAATTATACAATTATAATATTCTGGTCATTTTCATTTCTGTGGATACTTCAGAATAAGCAACTTTTTCTGTTGTCCTATAAAAACTAGCTTTGATTGCCAACGCGCCTTCGTTTGTTATGCAAAGGACGCCAAATTTGAAGCTGTTTAGTGTCTGGGACTCTTTTATAGAAGATGCCATATCCTAGATCCAAGAAAACATGCACTTTCAATAACATACCCTGTTGTTTTTGGTTTCGGTGCAAAATATTTATGCAGCTTCGAAGGTGGTAAGGTACATCTTTCAGAACGAAAATTTGTTTCATGAAACTAGGATTGAGATGACATATATATTTCAACAAATATTCATTCACCGCAGTTTTTTGCTCGCTGTCTCCTAACTTTTTTGTACTGTCCGCAAATGGGAAAGAAAATAAAAGCCAAATTGACTTTTTTGTGTAAAAATATTGTCCGTTAATTAGAGTGTCTGCTAATTAAGTGTCCACTTTTTAGAAAGTTTTTTATGAGACTTTGACCAGAAAACCATCGGGGAAAATAATTTGTCCGCTAATCGGAGGTGTCCGTCTTTTAGAGTGTCCGTTAATTGGAGGGAATACTGTAATAACATCGAACAGAGACTGGTCGACAGTAGGGAGCTAAAAAGAAGCAAAATTGAAACATTCACAATAAAGTTGGCTTGAGACAGGTTTTACATATTTGGTATTTGTTCTAAAATGTAAGAACCAGGCTAAAAGAATAGTAATTAATTAGCAAGACTGAGTTTCTTCATTTGCTCTATCACAGTCGAGTTGCAACGGCTTAAACTGATTCTGCACTTTTGAGCTGATTTGGAAACGGACAAGCAAGCAGGCTCTTGTTGTCTGAAGCCATGCATGAAGCTACTTTTAACATAGAGTATTGCTTATCTTATGTAACAGGAAATTATTTGGCTGCCTATTAACATTTAATTTGGAAACCTGTTGAGATTTATTACCTTTATATGAACCTTCAATGCAGTGGTCAGACGTGTGATTAGAAAGGTGACCCGGTGTCACGACGGTAAATAGTAACTAAGGTAAATACTCTTTTTTACGCCGGTTATAATAGTATTCAAACAGTATGAATAATAGCAGATAAAATGAAGGTCATTTAAGCATGTCTATGTTGCACTGGAATACAAATTGCTTCAGGGTGAGCAGCAGGGATTAATTTAAGGGGCCGTAATTTAGTCTATAGCCATACACAGTACACAAGAAACTGCCTAACAGCAATTTTTAAAACTTGAATAATCAAACGTAAAGGCCATCCATCACTTTGAACCTTGGGAACATTCCCGAAAATTTCCAGATGTCATGTTTCAGAATGTTTGAAAAATGCACTGTTAGCAAAATTGTGACCCTCGAATTTTTCACATCTTATGATTTCATCAGAAAGAGCTTGCAAAACTGAGTAAAAATGCCTGTTAGGCAAGAAGTCATCTTACCTATAAGCAAAATTTATGGCCGTTGAAACGTTCGTTTTGTTAAAAAACCTACTTTTCTGAAGTCTAACAACTGAAACTTGGTTTCCTTGCGTAATTTGACGTACTGAATAGTTTGAGGTGCAGCTCCAGATTTAAAACATCACAAAAAGCTACTTAGAGACTTTGGTACTTGCACCCAGGCTACTGTTGGGTATCGCAGTATAACCTTATCGCTATGCAAGTTGTACTAATGAAACTTTGTTTTCTTGCGTAATTTGACGTGCTGAAGAGATTGAGATGCAGCTCCAGATTTAAAACATCACAAAAAGCTACTTAGAGACTTTGGTACTTACACCCAGGCTACTGTTGGGTATCTAAGGTCAATATTTCTTTCTTTTAAGTCCGCTATTCATTCTTTTCAGATTCTCATTTTCCTGGCTGTGATACACGTGTCACCTTGCTGCTGCTTGGCATTGGACGTAAACAGATTTTATGGTAATGTCTTTCGAGCTTCTTAATCAGCTGTTTTTTGCTAGGGTTGCAGGAAAGTGCGAAGAATGAGTGCACTCTTTTCGTTTAAGAGGCGTTTGGACAGAAGAACGGTATTAAAAACAATAGAAACATCGGTAGTCACGATATGCTCGTCACAATATACACTTTTGCTCTGGAACCGAGACTCAAACGTTGGCTTTTTCCCTTGATGAAGATACACCGACAAGTATAATTCGATTTAGATACATAGCAAATTCGACTTCAAATGTAATAAATATTAAAAAAAGAAACCAATTGAAAAAGATTTGAGGCAGAAATTTCTTAAACAGCCAAGACAAATTCCTGAAAGAAGAGACGTTCTCACACCTTCTATGACAGGTGACCTGCCTCATGTTACTTTGATTTCATTTTTCTCAACCTGAGGTCGATATAGATGCACGCTCTAGTTGGCTAAAATCAAATTTTTAGAAACTGCATGATAATGTGCCTCAAGATGTTGCCTTTGCTTCAACGCAAAAACATCACGTAAAAACAATGTTTAGTTTAAGTACCTGTAGGTGACACTGTTTAGAGCAGGTCAATATTTCTACTTGCCCTTACTCGAAATTGCTTATCCTATTTGGTGAAGGAATTGGGATGCCAAATGCCAACGTGTATTAGAGTTTATGGTTCAAATCATAAACCATGCAACCTGTGATAAACCTTTTAGACGATAGTGCCTTTTTAAGCCAGTTGTTTGATTATCACTTTTTCACTTTTCAACGTTATGTGATCGATGAAATCAAATGTCTTTTAGATGACTGTATAGTACGGATGGGAGAAAAAGGTTGCTGCAAAGAGGTCTTTCATCACGATTATAGAAACCGCCGGTCATGCTATGTGGAGCGTATTTTGCAAAGTGGTTTTTGTCAGTTGAAAGGACAAACCGACCTAACGTACAACTGTCCAATGAATATAATGCCAGGTAGATAAATACATTTTCCAACTTTAAATAAAATTTAGGCCATGTTATTGAGCCAGCTATGATGATAAAAAAATTTTTCTATGATAGTAAATATATTTTTTCAAAAAACGTAACAAAAGTTGGTTTGATATAATGCTCAGGCTGAAATCAAATTAATTGCTTGCCCAGTGAAAGTGCTGGAATCATAATATGCTTTTCTAAGTTTGTTATTTTTTTGTAAAACTCTTGTATTTTATGCTCTCAGTGAAATTATCAATTTTTTAAGAACGCCGCAATCTGATAACATCTCCCATTCAAACATAATACTACAGCAAAGACCTCCCTCCAAAAAAAGACTCTAAACTTTTAAATTGAGAAAAAGAAAGGCAATCGTGTCAATTTCGGCTAGGTAATGGATAAAAAAAGCCTCTTTTCATATCTCAGAAACTGATTTATTGGTTTTTTATAAATAGTTTCACTTAAAAGCCAAATGATTGCTCGAAGTATAAATCTTAATGGTTGTCGCTTGAGCCAACTGTCGAATGAAAAAGTGCTTCAAGTCTATGCCGCATCTAATCTATTGGCATGACAACATCTACAGAGTTATTCGCAATGTTTCTGTCATTGTGCTATGAATGAGGAACGATTCACTATTGCAAAAAGCAAACGAGACGTCCACCAAAGCAAAAGGATAAACTATCGTTTTCTTGGTTAAAGCATTGTATGACCAAAGGTGTACAAGATATCGGTTGATTCATTTGTTCCTCTTGCGTCTTGTTGCTTTAAGATCCGTTGTTTTGATCAAACTTCTTGAATATGTAGGTTTGTCTTTGTTTCTTTTTATTGATGTGTGTAAATTTTGTTTTAAATCCCACCAGATGCAGGATTTGCCCATCCTCTCGGTATGCAGAGTGGCAGAATTCGAGCCAGCCAACTGAGTGGGCCTAACAATGCAGACAAAATGGCACTGACAAAGGCTCGACTTTTCGGACAGGACGGCTGGAAGCCGGATGATTCTTACTTGGGATCAGTTACTACAACACTTGCTTCTGAAACCTTGCCAACATTGCAGGACGACCAATCTACTTCATGGTTACTTTCACAAGAATGAAGAAAATTTCTTACTTTCTTATATCCGACACGCGATGGAGCTCGGATGATTATGATCAGACGTTCTATATTATTTACAACGACACGCAATGGAAGAACTACGGATCAGCGCAGCCTGAGGTGTGAAGATCTATCATATGATTATATTGACACAAATCACCGATTTAGCAACTTTGGCGCTTATTAAATTTGTATGCTGTCAGGATGGGCCCTCATTTGGACATGGCGCTTATTCGTGTCCTGGGCACGGTCAAATATTTATCAGTCGCATAAAGATCACACTATAAGAACTTAGCGTTATTCAAGCGCGATTGTAGAAAAAGATAACAGGAAAGACGCACTAGGCTACCGCTATCATACTATTAGTCTTTTCAAAAGAGACATATTAATTGCAAAAATTTGCATATGTAAATAAAGGGAGGCCACGGTAGCAGGCTGCTCGACGGACTCCAATGGAATGCTTGCGGTGAAAAGTCGATAAAAATGTAGAAAATAAGGACATGGCCGATATTACCAAAATATTTTTCCTAAGTGTAGATGCTAATTCGGATTGGGTGCTTTTCAGTCCATGGTAATTTACAGCGTTCCATAATTTGTAAGTCAGCGTTAGGCAACTAGATGCGAGTCATATAACAGGTATTCTCCGGGATATCCAGTAAGATGACGCTAACACCATTGATCAAACTTTTCAAATGAATAGAGCTTCGTATTCTGAATACATAGAGAAATACTCTTATGCTGGACGAACTCCTTTGTCATCCCAATTTACCCTTGCCAGGTCAAGGAACAAACCTGATTTAATTTCATTAATTCTATTTATTATCACTATATGCAACTTAAATTACTGTAAGTATGAAGGTTTTATGTAGTGGTGATTATTTATTTAGTTCATTAAATATTTGATGGAAAGTGCAGGGATTACACTCTTTTTTTATAAAATCAATTCTATAAGAACACGAGCCTCAAAATTGATCAAAAGTTAAGAACAAATTAAGAACAAGCTTAGGCTGAGCTATTGTAAAATGCAATTTTAACAACGTTTTGTCTCAATAACGAGGGTTTTTAGCCATGTGTGATTGCTTCTTTGGTAAATATACAAACTTATCGGCAAATGAAGGTTGTCTCATTCATTTTGTTGGCAAATGAGGCCTGAACACCTCCTTAGAGCGAAATAGCCTGCAATCGCACTGCTTGCACCCTCTTAATTTAAGAATAAATTAAGATCAACCCGGCCTCAGATTTTCGAAAAAATTAAGAACAGTCAACCTGAAATTGAAATTAATAGTTCTGATAAAAAAGAGTGTATTTAAAGTTTGATAATTGAAGATCGAAGCAATTAATTTATCTCTAAAATAAGATCAAAAAAGTTAAGAAAGAGTTAATATGGTTCTTCTTTCAAAAGAAAAAGTTTTGCTAAGACAATCAAAATAAGAAGGCTTCAGGGCTCGATCCTTGTCTTTTTTTGCACTTTCATTTGTCTTCTAGTGTCTCCTTAACCCTGTTGACTGGTGCCGTCGCCTTTAGTTTATTTTGTCTAAAATAATGTTCTAAGTTTATTTTGCCGTTAGCATTAACTTCAACATCTTAACCTTTTTTAACAGGAACTAAATTGTGAACAAATTTTTGGAGCTAAGTCGCAGACCTGCCGTCATATCCTCAAGCCTTTTCTGGCCTTTTCTGTAAAAGTCATAGCAAAGAATTACAAAATGGAGTTCAAGCCACTGTGGAGAATGGAGTTTGGAGGTCTCGATTACATGGAAGGTTTGTGTGAGGTTTTTCATCAAGCCTAAAAAGGGACAGCAGTTTAGTGCGTGCCAGGAAACGGACGAATTTTCGGAGTGATAAATTTTAGGGTTTGGATGGACTTGTATCAAAGTTTAATGTGTTAAAACGATGAAGGTGCACATCACCATGAGCCCGTCCTACTTCAAGGCAGAACAATGATACCTTTGAGGGATTGGCAGCAGGGCTCCAGCCAGGACCGAATTGAGGCTCTACGGGGCCCTAGGCTAAAATTATTTTCGGGAACCTTTCAGAGTGACATTGTAATGACGTCACAAAATACATTTCTGAAGATTAATAATTTTAAAACAAATGCGAAAACCATTTTCTGTTTTAGATTGAATGTATCTTAGCCACATACATGAGTATAGGTTTTCTCCTATCAAAGCACTAAACATTGGTTTTGATTCTTACATGCATGTAATTTAGATTTAAGTTTCATGGATTCCACAACAATAATGACAAAATATCACTTAGAAGAAATATTAGAATATCATATTTATAAAATCTTTATAATTAACGATAATGTCGTGTAGGACCCTTAGACTTGCCTATTGGACACTGCAGTGTACAAGAATCTGTTCAGGTTCTTTTTTGTGTTTAGGACATGAGTGTTCTGCATCAGTTTACAATTTAAGATGTTATTAAAGTTTATTAGCATTTGAATTATTAGAATCATTGAACGGCAAGAAAGTATAAAGGACAAAGACGACACAATATTTGTTTTTAATGTATAGTAAGATAGAACAATGGATTTTTATTAGGAATTTAGAGTGCTATACTTTGTATATAGCTTTCAAGGAGCCATTATTCGCAGTTTTTGTTGAAATATCTTTTAGTAGCACTCTCTTAAATTTGCAACGTGTGTTTTTCCAAATCTTTACGCTTTAAAACAGTAAATTTTTTCGGTAGTTCTTACTGCTTGTATCGGCAAAATTATTACTTTTGGTAATCTTAGGTGATTTTTTTTAAAGAAGTTACAAAATGTCGGTCTACCGTTGCTTTTGTTAATGCCATTCACATAGATAGTTTGCACATTCAGCCTTTTATGGCAGTCGTGGAATTTTCGAAATTAGGGGCCTTGAATCAGCTTCTCTTTGAATCAAGCAAAATTAACAGTTATCCATTACACTCTTTTTTTTATAAGAACAAGTAAATTTGAGTTCAGGCTGACTGTTTTTAATTTTTTCGAAAATCTGAGGCTGGATTGTTCTTAATTTGTTCTTAAATTAAGATGGGTCTAAGCAGTGCTATTACTAGCTTTTTCGCTCTAAGGAGGTGTTCACGCCTCATTTGCCAACAGGGTGAGTGAGACAGCCTTAATTTGGTGACAAATTTGAATATTCACCGAAAAAGCACTCACACATCGCTGAAAATCCTCAATTTTGAGAAAAAACGTGGTTCAAAATTGCATTTTGCAGAAGCTCAGCCTCACCTTGTTCTTAATTTGTTCTAAACTTTTGACCAGTTTTGATGCTCGTGTTTTTTTAAAATTGTTCTTATAAAAAAAAGTATAGCGAAACTTCAAATGGCCATTTGACATAAAATATGCAACAGATTCAACTTTACCTGTTTTGAAAATTTAGAGACATTTTATCGTGTTCTTTCTGCTCATGCGTGCAAAATTAAAGATTCGAAAATTAAATCTACAAACTTATCAGAAATGGAATTGTCTTTATAGATCATCTTTTCTTGTACAGAATCGCTAGTAAAAAGCTAACCAAAACAACTCAATCTACCACCTATGGTTCTATCAACTAAAAAAGTTATAAATACGAAGAATTTATTTTTATTCTGAAACCGTTTTAGGTGACAATTATTGGCCTATGGATAAGATCATGCATCGAAGTGGTAATACGAACGCTGAAATTCCAGACGAGCGCGGAAAGCTTGTTCTAGTGACCGACATTGTCCCACATTCTGGCTCATCGACAAGCTTTACATATCTTGATGACTTGAGGTCAATAGCCAGCCCTGGAGCATCGCCTACTGCTAACGTGTTATTTACTGGTAACGCCAACACATGCCCCTTTGAGCCAAGAACATGTGTGTTTGGACTGAGCAGTTGCTTTTGGATGCAGAGTAAGTATGCTCGTGACACTTTTACATTAGCTAAATACACAAGCTACATAATTGAAAATCACAAGTGACGACTTGCACGCATGCTATAGCTAGCTATAGCCTGCGTGAAACTAAATTGTTGCCCTTTAACAATCGCAACACCCTTGCTTATGCACCCTTGCTTATGCACCCTTGCTGTTGCAGCACCATTGCTGTGGCAGCACCCTTGCTGTAGCAGCACCCTTACTGTAGCAGCACCCTTGCTGTAGCAGCACCCTTGCTGTAGCAGCACTCTTGCTGTGGCAGCACCCTTGCTGTAGCAGCACCCTTGCTGTGGCAGCACCCTTGCTGTAGCAGCACCCTTGCTGTAGCAGCACTCTTGCTGTAGCAGCACCTTTGCTGTGGCAGCACTCTTGCTGTAGTAGCACCCTTGCTGTAGCAGCACCCTTGCTGTAGCAGCACCTTTGCTGTGGCAGCACTCTTGCTGTAGCAGCACCCTTGCTGTAGCAGCACCCTTGCTGTAGCAGCACCCTTGCTGTAGCAGCACCCTTGCTGTAGCAGCACCCTTGCTGTAGCAGCACCCTTGCTGTAGCAGCACCCTTGCTGTAGCAGCACCCTTGCTGTAGCAGCACCCTTGCTGTAGCAGCACCCTTGCTGTAGCAGCACCCTTGCTGAAGCAGCACCCTTGCTGTAGCAGCACTCTTGCTGTAGCAGCACCCTTGCTGTAGCAGCACTCTTGCTGTAGCAGCACCCTTGCTGTAGCAGCACTCTTGCTGTAGCAGAACCCTTGCCGTAGCATCCTTGCACTTTCACACGCTAATCCTTTGAAATGAGCTAATTTCCTTTTTGCTTCGAAGGGACAGCTGCTTATGGAACTGTCATGAGCACCTCAGATGCTTCGTCAAAAGGATTCTCAGTTTCATGGCAAATGAACGGTGTCTTAAAATTCAGTATTCATTCGGGCGATAAAACCTGGGAGGCTGGAATCACCATGTCAGATTGCTCTTCAAGCTCGAGCTGTAACTCAGAGGCAAAATGGATGCATGTCGCTGCGGTCTGGGACAAAACGAATTTGGCATTGTACGTAAATGGAAACCATACGAGGACTGATGTTGGAATAATTGATTCAAGATCGGGTGTGTCATCAAGTTTTCAAGTATGGAGACTTCTGGAACTTAGAGAAATTCGCTTGTGGGACTACATTTTATCTAGTGACGACATCAAGAATGTTTATAATGAAAGTAAGCATAATCAACTTACCTTTCATATATCTCTTCATTTGAACGGTTGACAGTATTGCAGTTTGAGTCTGCCGAGCGGTCATTATAAGCATTGAATCATGGTAAACAGGCCTTCTCTATAGATTGTCATTAATCAGTACGCCTTTTCTATAGATTGTCATTAATCAGTACGAGGCAACTTTAATGATGACTCAGCGCATTTGGGTACACCCTCTCCTTTTATCATGAGCTAGTACCTTAAATGCCAACGGTCTGACACAATTGTGATCACAAATCTCTTTAAAGCAAACTTTGCAGCTTTCTTCCTGTTGCTTGCAGCGTCGGTTCAATTTTCAGCGTTGCTTAATTCAAGTTTAGAATTCAACAACTTGCAAACGATTCCAATGTAATAAGCTAGATATTAAAATTAATGGATATGCCAATGAAAATTAAAGGCATTTGACATGCATAAGTACAGCGAATCCAAAAATAACTCGATCAGAGCACGCGCGTTTGAAAGGAATTTCGAAACTACTCACGTGAAACCATCCTAGTGTCTCGCCGATTGGCAGAAAGGCGGAAATTGTTCACATGTTTTTCTCTGGGCGTAATTCAATTGGTCAACACATGGAGGTCAAGTGGCTGTAAGCCACTTTTATCTGTGTCGAATGCCTTCATTATAGCTATAAAGGTAAGTAGTAGCGGTGATGAGAAAGAAACAGATGGTATACAGAGGATTTTAAAGGACCAACCAACTCAATAGATGGACCAACGGAGAACAGTGCACCCTCGATAGCTCCTTTATCCAAATAAACGTGATCTTCCAAATCTACCTAAATGGGCAAAAATTTTATAGCACATACCGCAAGCACAACAAGTTGAAAGATATATCGACGACCATTTGAACTACTTCGTTATTTCAACTTACTGTATTACCCCAGCCAATGGTAATCTGAGCCACTGATAATGGAATTTTGTTCTCTTTTCTTTCTCTTAGATGATTCACATACGGTGTTGTCTAAAAAAATTAAGAATATATATAAGCTCAAAAACATTTCTTGAGAACATCGCGGCTCATCAAATTTCATGGTTAACTTTTGAAAACGAAGCCCATTGAACTGTAAAAAGCACTTAAATATGCAATGTTTCCATTTGTTGTATTATATTGTAATGAATGCTTTCATGAAAAATAATGCTCTATCTTTTTATAAAATAAATGTCTTATGCTTTACTTTGTTGCATGCATCTAGCAGAACAGTTAAATCAATTAAACGCTTTGATAAATACGCTTCTACGTTTCATAAACGGGATTGATAAAAACATTTTTTATATTGTATGAAATCTCCCACGTTTTATCTACGTATTCTCTTTTATCAAGTTTAAACCTACGGTCAAAATGTATTGCGCCACTTCGAAGTATATTACTTAACCCTGGGAAAATGATACCATCGTTGAGTTTGGTTGCTGTGTGCTAAAGGTGCTCTAAAGGTCTTTTGATGCACGAGAAGCAATGAAATATTTAAGGGAAACCGTCCAAACGCTAGACAAAGTTAGGGTTAAAAGCACAACTTCCATGACCCCATTGGCATGAAAATATACAATCTGATTTAAAAGTAGATAAATTTTGACACTAACAAGAATTGACAGAACAAAATCAGTTACCTTGCAAGGAGCAGTTCTTCGCAAACACCAGTTTTAAGCAACAAAAACCAATGGTCCACTTTCCATTACAAACAATGGCTTAATGTCTCCCGTTTCTAGTAATAATTCTAGTACAACATCCGTGATATTTTTGGTGACCATGAAATCTGCCTCAAGCAATTATATCAATACCTACATAGAGCCAGCGTTAAGCAAATGATTATGCACCTCCCTCAACCAAGGTATAAGAAAAATTGTGATAGCAAATAAACAGTTTCAATTCAAACTTTGATAGAAAACATTAATTGATGCAATTTCAGTTATTCCTTATTTTTGTGAATCATCATCTTAATTTGCTTCTTACTTTATGCACCTCTGTTCGCTTCCTGCCATGCCACGATAATACTAAACGAAGACGTCGGCACACTTTTCCATCATTTATTAGCTAACAAGAGTTCAGCTTCCTTTCATTAACTCTGTATTGGTTATTTGTAGGAAAGATTGACTTCACAATAACAGCCATGGATGATTTGGGAAATTGGAAAACATCAGCTGGTTGTACGGAGACAAAGGATACAGGGCCATGTGAAGATCAATCTTTTCAGGCTGATCCAGGTAGGCCTCTTTTGCCATTTGCAAGCAGCAAACGGGATTCATACCCCATCCACACAACAGAAGATAATTATTTTAAAAATTGAGGATGTCGTAGATAAAAGAGCAGATTCTGATGAAATGTTTCGTTTATTCATGCAGGAGATGATACCGGATACCTGGAATATGATGGATTTTTTGTCGATATTTCTGTTACCAAAAACTACATCTGCAACACAGGGTACCTTAAAGATGTGACAGGAGAAGCGAGAGAAGAATTTCCGTATGACGTGGCTGTTGTCATGGGTTTTACCGTTGAAATTGACAATGAATTCAACAACGATCACCTGAGAGCCTTTAAAGTACGATTTACAGCGGATACTGGGAATCCTTCCAATCTGAATGCAAATATCTACGCAGCTTACTCACGAAACTATGATGGGAAATACCAGGCCAGTTGCCGATCAAAAAACTTCCGCAGAGATATCTACACAGGGCCTATAACCTGGTCAACGGGGCCCTGGGAAGATAGTGAGACTTACAAGACACCAAATCTCAAGGATATTGTTCAACCTTTCTTTTCAGCTGGAAAAAACGAAAAGGATTTGACCTGGAAACGTTACTTCTTCATCATTTTCGAGTGGAAAACTACACGAGGGAGCTCTCTTCGAATACGCACGAAAAAGGAACCAAATTATTATATTAAATACAAAGATAAAAGACCAGGTAAGCTGTTTGATAATTACAATTGTTTTACATTTTACATTTTTACCATGCTACAGAGCACGCTGATAATTCTTCTTTTGCCATCTAACCAAACCCATTAATATAGCAGCAAATTTATAGTTAAAATTATAATGAAAATTACTGTTTTTGAAAATTAGCTCCCATTCATATTTACCGTATAGGCATAAGGCAGAGTCGTACACGCAATTTTGTGTATAGAACAGGACAGGGACCATCGAAGCGGGAAGGGGGAATGCTAGGTGGCTATAGACCCCCGATAATTTCCAAAATGTACAACCATACAAAAAATCGCCCGGCTCTTGGTTTTTAGCATGTTTAGCCCCCTACCCCCCTAAACATTTAAGCCACCTCCATGCCTAATTTGCCCCGCTGTCCTTGGAATAAGACGATTCTTAGTTGCTTTTTCGAGTTTCACGCTAAATTCGATCTTCAGGCCACCGAACAGCTCTACACACCCAATAACGTAGTTGTAGTTGAAATTGTATAACATTGCTCCCAACACGCGATTTCCGGGTCATACCCGCATAAACCCTTATAAACCCGCGATGGGTAAATACCGAAAATTGGCAAATTTCTACTTTTTGCTATTGTTTTTCACAACATTTTGTGCCATCATCATTGCTGACCCTCTAATGACTTCTAAAAAGTTGAGAGCTATGTATAAGATTCTCTCTGCCAGAACTATGATGGTTGAAAACTTGTATCTGATACGGTTATTCTGAGTTCGATTTTTAAGCCATAGCAGTTGACAATAGCTAGTCGACGTTTTAGTGTGGGGTGGCAAGAGTATGCTATTGGAAAACAAACAAGTTTAAAAGTAAGAGTGTCGAAGAACTACACTAAGGCATAATTCAACTTTTAACGAACGATCTCGTCATGTTGAATGGAAACAATTTAAGCTTCATAAACTGGTAACCCATTATTAGATATTGCATTACTATGGCTACCCGTTATTAAATGCTTTTGGCTACCCGTTATCAGTGCTTTTTTGTGGCTTGTAATATATTCAAGAAAAAACAATTGAAGAGAGATTGTTTTCTTGGTTTAGGATTGATTACACAGTAGCCTGCTTGATAGAAACGGCAGAGAAAGAGCCTTCTACTGACAATGTATAACACCTAGGATTCAAGTAGTTATAGTCATGTTTTCACAATTAAGTCTTAGATGTAAATCTTACAGGTAAACTTTGCTAATAAGAGTTCAAAGCAAAGCAACTTTTCGAGATTTTTTTATATCTTTTTGATCATGACCGAAGGCTGTTGCGAGCCTTCGAAAATCAAGGAGAATTAACTGTAAAAAGTGGTCGGAAGACGAAACCTTCAGTCCTTTGTTTCGAAACAATACTGTCTTGAACCAATCAGTGTTGCAGGGTCATAACACATGAGCATTAATAGGGGCAACACAACGGTTGAACTTCGTGCCAGGGCTTCAAATGATAATGCGCAAATGATAATGATAATGACCCTGAAACGGGGGTTGTGCATGTCTGGAAGACGGACATGTACCATATAAGCAATATCTTGCGGAAATGGCAAAATACAAAGTAGAACGATTAATTTCAACATTCCAATAAATTCAAATTCCTTTTTCATTTGAAATTGTTTTCTATGATAGTAATTTTTTGAACGTTGCGTTTTTTGCAGACAAATATATATATGCAGATGCATCAAATGCTCCGTATCCAGGATATCCACTGCGGTATAAAACAAACCCAATCATACCAAGGATGAAATGCCTCACATTCTGGTATCACATGTATGGCACCGGGATCGGCATACTATCAGTCAGCATGCGGCAGCAGAAATCCGTGCTTAAAGAAATATTCAGGCTTTATGGCGATCAAGGAAACGTTTGGAAAAATGCATCCGTGCCACTTGTTGGTTTGAACGAAACGTCTTTCCAGTTTCAGGTACCTTTTAGGCCATTGTAAATATAGAGAGCCTAAGAAAACTGTTTGAAGGTAATTTGGGCTCAATCAGTGACGTCGCCACGGGGTGGACTGGGGTAGACTTGATCATCCCAGTTTTCCCAGGGGTCGATTTTCTAATTTCTCGAATTCCGTTGAAAAACTTTTGGGGGATGTTGATCAGATCAATTCTGCCACTGTAAAAAGCATTTGCTACGGAAAATACTGCTTGAGAAAGTTGCTTCTTCCAAAAATATCGGAATAGATCATAGTACTAAAAAGACGTTTCCCACTTTTACCGAGAGTCTGAGGGTCATGGTCAAGAAAATTTTAGTCCTGGCTGGCTACGTCACTGCCAGTATTAAATGAAACAATAACCGATAAAAATCCGTTCTTCAGGACCAATATCATTCTAAAGAGGTACTGGTTGGCAAGAGGTGTAGACCAAAATGCTCCGAGAAAAAGGCTCTGTTGTTTGAAAGTGCTTTTCTGCTGTTATTTGCTAACATTTTTTGCCTGATATCTAATTTTAGAGAGAGTGTAGTGTTCTTTGTTTTTGGTGATGCCACGGAGTAGTCATGGTATTTTGCACCCAGTGGCATCGTCCTTGTAGTTTCGTTAAGTATTTTTAGGTAGTGTAACTAGTAAATTTGTATTGTAAATACTTTTTGGAATGTAAAAAAGAGCTTTTATGCAACTGCTTCAAGTATAACCATGTATCAATTTTTTCTAGTTGTTGATGTTTTCCAGAAAATCTTTTTTGTTGAATCAGGTCTCGGGGTTGGTGTCACAGCTTTAATTTAACAGAAAAGCAAAGATAAATACAAAATTTCAGAAACATTAACAAAGCATTATGTCGATCGGCATGGTTTTGTCAAGAAAAGTGTGTTTTAAATAATTTGCAGAAAATCAGTTTGAAAAAATCCAGTATACTGGATTGATATTGAGAGATAAACAGTCCTGACTTGTTTACGTTACCTGTTGGAAGAATAAATGTTCAAAATAAAAACTAATCAATGTTTACTTGCCTGTCTAGGTTATCTTCACGGCCATTCGAGGGAGAACAACAACCGGAGATATTGCAATAGACACAATAAAGTTCCACATTGCCCCCTGCAGCCTGATGCCAGGTTCAGCGCAGCCCCCGAACTACATTCAAGGTAACATTACATATGTGAACATATGTAATGGTGATGTTCGTCAGTCCTTCTGTAAGGTATAAATACGTTGCCATAGCACATAGCACATGTTATGCGGATTATTGAACCATTGTATAGGTAAAAACTTTAAATTTATTCACACCACTTCGTAAAGTGCTCTGTTTATGCTTCGAAAAGACAGTTTAGGCTTGACTAGCAATCACTACAAATCTCTGCTGAGTGTTTCTCACGTACCATGCTCCTGTTCAAAAAGCGAAGGTAATGAAGCCACTAACCTTTCTTCTCCCAACAAAAACAGCTGATGTAAGCAAATTATTGAGTCAGATTTACCTTGGCAAATCATCTGGTTGTTGTTGGTTTGACTATATTTTTGCCTAAATGCCAGCAAATGCTCTTCAACAGTATATCTGTCTGTGTCAAGTCAATCTCGTACGTAATTGAAACGTAAAAGTCTTTAAAGGAATAGCAACGTTTCTTCAGAATTTATCCAAATCATTTAAAATGTTTAATGAAAACCTTTTTAATTATGATAAAAAAGGAAGATTACAGTGACTGATGGAAAGCCATTCATTTAAATACTAATCTGATGAATTCACATATATGGACTCAAAAACTTTTAGAGTGGATGGAACCAAGGTCTGGACCCACTTATCTGGGTCAAAAACATTCTACAAGCCAAGAACAGACTTTTTGCATTGCTGCAACGTATAACTTTTGTGAAATTTAAAATACTGATTTATTTTTATAAAATATCAATATGTTCCTGCAAAAATTAAGATACGGCTTTGCGACGTTGTAATATGCATCTTTTAAGTTCAATTGCCTGTCCTTGGACTTATTTTTTCTTTGTTATATTTGCAGTTGCTTTTAATGACCAAAACCCAGCTGAAATGCATTTGCCTCGTTCCTTCTTTCTTCACTTTATGATTCTGTTTTTGCATTCCACATGCCTAAAGCGAGGCTCTGTTTAAATTTCAGCCACTTTTCCTGTAGCAGTAGAGACCTTGAACATGCCGCTACCAGTTTTCCTCATGTCATTTGTGAATGGCCTCACACTCTACGGCTCACAGACCCTAGTGGTAACAAGGTCCTCCGTTGCTGACAAAAATCCAACGACAGATTCTTTCGGTTTACCATTGGCTGACGGCTATTTCAGTGGCACTGTTGTAAAGATGGTTCCTCGCCATCCAATTCAAAACGGCAGCGACTTTACACTGTCTTTTCAAGTGCGTCCAGAGTCTTTAACTGAAAGCACAATACTGTGGTTTGGATATGACAACATTACTGCTTTGTCAGTCAGTGTGCTCTTTTCGGGAAATCTTTCTATCACGTATGTATGAAAAAGCATCTAAGCAATATAAACAGTATAAGCAATATATGAAATTATTATTCAAATTTGAGTTATACATACAGACGTGCTTGTAGATACTCTCAGTGCTTGTTAAGTTAAATTCAACAAAATTTCCTTTTACGTGTGATGGTGCTTTAGAAAACAATGTTTGCAAAGACTGTTGGAAAAGCCCATGGCCTCCTATCGAGCGACGCCTGCTTCCTTTATTACAGGGTGTAGTTAAATTTATTAAACATGCTTGGGTGACGTTCAATAGCTAGCTATGCTATAGACATTCTTTCAGGAGTAAAAATGAGCGAAATATGAGATAAGATATGTACCATACTGAGTTTGTCACACAATCATTTGGTCTTGCCAGCAGTGGTGCCGTGAAGGGGGGCTCAGAGGGGTTCAGCCCCCCATCTCAAAATTCGCACAGTTTTTTTGGGGGGAGGGCTCAACTCTCTTCTTAACAAGTGGTTTCATATTTGGCTGGAAGGATTATGTGTTTGTAAGACTTTGTTATACCTTTGGTGCTCATGAATTTCATATCAACACGAGTCATTTTGTGTCATCGAAAATTATGAATGGTTTCTACACACAACGGATAGTCTTCAATGCAAATGCAAGTATATTGGCTGTGGTAGAGGTGTGGTCATGGGTGTTGTAGTAACCTAATAGACTATGCGCAGGAGCATTACTTTATATGACCCATGTTTATATAAAGTTTCAGATTACAGTTTACGGTATTACGGTTATGTGTGTAGGCCGTTTGAAGTTAATATAAAGTTATCGTTCTGTTCTGTTCAACCCATGCGTTGCTCTAACTCCTTCACATCTTAATTGGTGTGGTCTTTTGAATTTGTCCTCAGGACAGCCCCCCTTTCTAACTTTTTAGGACGGCACCCCTGCTTGCAAGCACTTCTGGCAGGCATTTTATGTATATCATTGTTTATGAGACTAATTTTCATGGTTCACCTTAAGGCTGCAAGATGAATTCGGAAGCCGCACTTTCAAATCATCGGCAATGTTGAAGGAAGGCACCTGGTCGTATGTTGCTGTTGTGTTTTCACAAATTGAACAGCTCTTGACAACTTTTATAGATAGCGAGGTACATATAAACGTTTATTCAAATTTTTATGTATTCTCATTTTTTTTAAAGACAGAGAAAATAAGTGAAAATAAATTATGCTTCCAAATGCTCCATGCACTGGTGTACTGGTGTACATCAGTTTTGCAAATATGGGTGATGGAGGTGCCACTGAAAATAGTATGGCATTTAGGGTTTCACAAAGCCATTTTAAAGATTTATATATATGAGAACTTGAAGATTCATGTTATGACCAGAAGTCAATTTTGCTACAGTTCTGCAGCTGTATGAATATTTTTCCTTTTGGCTGATTGCCTTGTATTCAAGCCCTCTTTTTTATTATACGGGTACTGCACTATGTGGGAGTGAACACCCCTTTTCGATCTGCCCAGGCCGGTCACGCCAAACCCTCAACTGAAGAGCAGGTGAAAGTAACTGAAATCACTGAGCCAAAGATTATTATACAGTGAATTATGGCGCATTTAGAAGTTGGTCCAGAGAAAATTATAACTTTATTTGATGTTGGTTTACAAAATAATAGCTAATAAACAGCTAATTAACACCAACTTGTAACGATAACAAATATAACTAAGAAAAATCGTGATGTTTACAAGTATCAAATGCTAGAAATATATGGTGCGCATAGTCTACACGAGCAAGTAAGATCCGTTTGTTTAATTTTAGTTTTGAATACTTAACAATTTTCTGTTGATCGAATGTCTAATGGTATAGAATTCCACAATTCATTACATCTATAGGATATTGTATCTAGCCCATGAATAACAGTGTTCGGCTTTTTTTGTATAAACGATTGATTTCGTAAATTATATGCAAGTTCATTTAACTGAAATATTTCTTTCATAAATACTGGATAAAAGTTATTTACTGTTTTCTATATTTCTATTGCTAGTAGTTGTAGGTTCTTTTGATGTATCTTAACCTCATTTTTTGTGAGAGAATATTTTCAAAGCTTGATTCAAAATCATTGTAAGTTTTTGTCCGGTGCCCTTTTATGGATATTTTCAATAAGTTTTCCAAATTTTCGGCTACAATACATCCATAAAAGAGGGCAATAGTTAAAGTGACTAAGTATAAAGGTTTTCATCAATAGTGATCTTTTATGGTCATTCATTAAAGGGGCGATTCTGACACGGGCATTTGTCTTTTTACCTGCTTCTTTACATTAGTTTTTATATGTCTTTTTATATACTCTTTTTATATGCTCTTCAAAGTTTAGTTTGCTGTCTGAAGTTATTCCAAGTAGTTTGGCTTTTTTCGTCTCTTCGATTGTGGCATTTCCTACTATAATATTTGCTTTTATACCATGATATCGATAATATCGATCATACCATAATATGAAACTTTGGCTCAAGACGTAGAGCTAAATCTTTCTTATTTCTCTCTATTTACATGTTTGTAGTTAAAAGATGAATTCATCCTCAAGAATGCAAAAAGATTGCCTCATCCTCTTAATATTCACATTGGAGGCAACAACACTCTTCCCATGGATACTTTCAAAGGTCATCTTTCGTGCGTACAATACTATGGCGCTGCATTGGAGACTCATATCATTGCCGTGCAAGCAGTATGTCCAAATCAGCATGGTAAGAATAAAAGAATACCTTTTTTAATACTTTATTTTATAAAGTCTATCAATATTCTAAAGAATTCATTCAAAAGAATAAATTCTATCTTTTTAAACATAAAAACTGATCAAACAGAAACTCTGATACAAAACTAGTTATTTGTATGGCAACTTATAGATGATCTGGTAAGCTCCCCCTTTTCAAATATGCCCCCTCCTTGAATAAGGCCTAAGGGGTCCTATTCCAGGACTTGCGGTAGGTTGATAAGGCAGAAGAAACTGTTGTAACGATAGGTGGTACAGTATCGAAAATAAGGAGCAAATTGAATTATTACCTGCTTTTTTGTGTATTTTCCTGCGTTTCAGTACAATATCCGCTATTGAATCATCCTGCCTGCTCGTTTGAGAAGTCAATCTGAAAATTAATCTTTTTATTTTAATTTTTCCATTTAGTGGCAGGGGCTTGTAAAAATGAATGCAAAATGGAGGCAGTTTGTGATCAGATAAGGTTGCAGTGCGTTTGTCCACCCAATGCCAACAAATATGTGAACGAAAACTGCTCCAACGGTAGGACTAAAAACTTTCCTTTCTCCATCTTCCTTAAATTTGCACTCTTATTACTAAGCTACCCTGTTTTTTCTATATTATCAACAAATCTGTGTAATGTGAATAAAGGTTATTTACTCAATGATAGTATCTGCTTATTTAAATGAAACATGTGCTGGATCTGTTTACGACTTCAATGTAGGTATTAGCATTTTGTGTAGTGTATTTGTCACTGTTTACTATTTGGTTTACTAAATCAGGCTTTCAGCATTCTTTTTACTTAAAGGCTCTTATGCAACCGGCATGCTTAGCGGCAAATATCTTGAAAAATTGATTTTGGTTTGTATTTTCATGCAGTACGCTATTAGGCCTATTTTGAAAATATAGTCGCAAAGCATGCTGATTGCGCAAGAGCCTTTAACATACTTTTGTTGTCAAAAAAGAGTCTCAGTTTAGAAAGACTTTATTTTATAAGATAAATAAATAATCGTGTACTTAATGTTATTGTTTTATGAGCAAGATGATGATTTTAAAGAATACTATATATCCTGATTGTTTTGCAAATGATGATAAATTTTTTGTTCTCCCCTTTGGTCTTGATATTTAAGTATCGATTTGTTGATTTATTTAGCATTGGAATCGACAATTTACAATAGAACATCAGCCTACGCAAGCTTTGATAACAAGAGACAAGTGCAGGCTGCATTAGGCCCTAGTTTTTATCAACCGAATATCCCGGTTGCTGAAAATGACACAAGGCTGGAAAATGCTTCGTACTTTTTTACAAATGGTCCTGCAAATCTTGCGTTGTGTACAGCTTTTAGCTCTAGGATCCGTATTAAAGAGCTTGAAAGTGACTGCATTGTTCAAAGGACCTGTCCTGGTAGTTTCAGCTTGACATACTGGGTGCTGATGCCTTCCTGGCAGAGCATGCTCACAAAAGATGAACTAACGTTGATTGATTTTGGAATCCTCACAGTTAAGTTCGTTGAAAATAGAACAGGAATGAACTCAACTTTAAGAAACGCACATGCATTGATAGCCAATGTAACATTGGGTGGGGAAACCTGCCAATGGAACATTGGCCAGTACCAAGAGTTCTATGGGGTTTGGAGTCACCATGTCATATCTGTCGATGCAACAACAAATGCCGTCTCTGTATTCTATAATGGGAAATCTGCGTCCGTCGAGAAAAGAGACTGTTTTGCTGCAGCAGCATCAGCAAGTCCAGTGGAAGTATATCTCGGAGGGGGTGCTCCGCACATATGCTTTGATGAAGTGGCACTATGGCAAGCTGCAACTACATCGTATACTGCGCAATGGTTGTACAATTCATTTGTTTTTGCGGGTAAGAAGAAGCTTTCCAGCATCATTCATTTCTGGTTGAATTGTAATTTGCTACAGGATCATTTTGGCACGAATAGCAAAACAAAGAAATTTATTAACAAAGGGTCTTTTGCTTTTGCTAAAACGTAACAATCCGTATGATTTGATGGTTCATCTAAACCTTTTCAAAATGCAAACTTTTGGTTCAGTCGATAGCGGCGGTCTAACAAAGTGTAAGTTATAAACTTCGATGAAGACCCCGTTCTCACTATGCCGCTCCTTAATAAATCGGAAAGGTACGGTATCAAATGGAACCGTTCCGAAGCAAGCTCAAAGAGCCGTTGTCTTACTGTGGATAGCAAGTGAATTTATCTTTGGATTGGCAGGGGATGAGATGTTGTGCCAAAGAGGGAATATAAGAATGACTGGGAACAAAAATTATCTGCTTGCAGGGGACACGGGGGGGATGGGAAAATACCCGGGTCATTTGTTTATTCGAATCGGGTCGGGAAATTTCTCATCGGGGGTGGTTTTAACTTGGGTTGTTACACAGGGATGTCCCAGAGACCTGTGTGAGCTTCGGCATTACTCTAGGTGCAAAAATTTCGATACGTTTCTTTACGTAGATTTAAAGAGTATAAAGTTTTTCTGAAGAAGGGCCATGAAGCTAATATCTATACATTTCCACAGGTTATGATCAATTTCCACAAAAAGGAATAAACTTCACTGAATTAACTTTTAACGACGAGACAGGATCGTTGTGGGCAGTAGATGTAAATAATGAAGTGTATTTCTATCACCCTGATCAATACTGGATGAAAATTGAAGGAAGAATGAAAAAAGTCTCTCCCGGACTGAATGGTATTTGGGCAGTAGATGAGGATGGTTATCTCCGATTCCGGTCCGGTGTTAATGAAAGCGTTCCTGAGGGTTCCCATTGGACAATGGTACCGCGCTCTTCATATGGTAAGTAAAAAATTTATTTGCTTGTTTCTGTAATTTCATGTTATGTAACGAAAGAAGTCTTGAAAGGTGTTAATCAAAGAGACAAGACATTTGCTTTAACAATCTAACAAACATTCTAACCTATGGAATTTATTTTTTAGCCATAGATGATTCAAATTGGTACTAATTTTGAGGGCTTATTTATATTCTTGTTCAAGAAACTCAAAATTATAATCTAAATTACTATTGTGAATGCAAAAAATTAGATCAAATGCATGTTTTCTAAAATAGAGCCTCTGACGACGGGACCCAACTGTCTGTATGTCATCGAATTAAATGTTGGGCTGGAGACTAACTGTTGTATGTAGAAGAATATAAAATAAAAATGTTCTCATTATTTATTATTTAAACATGAACCCCTTCAGCAAAAACTAAATTTAAAATTATACAAAAGAAATATAAATAAAAAATCACTAGAGTAGGGCTGTTCTTTCAGGGAGTCGTGTTTGAGTTTAATTCAGCTCCTCAAACGTATTCTGAGGTGTTTTTTTAATTTTTTCAAAGTAGAAAGCTCCCTGATGGTAGTAGGAATTTTGTTCCAAGCCCCTAGACCCGAATAGTGGAAGCTTTTCTTATAGTACTTAAGATTCTATCTCGGAACTCGAATATCCGTGCAGTTTCTTGTTCTATAACTTGAGTAAGTATTTCTTGCTTTATATTTACCCCAAAGGCTTTCAGGGCATATCTCATTCATCATCTTATAGGTCATCACCGATCGATCAAAGTTTATTAATTGTTCTCAACCAGTCATCAGACCACTAATCTTTGATTTTTGCCCTTTTAATGATAGACTGAACTCTCTTATGAAGACGTTGGAGGGCTTCTACTTTTGTGTTGGAGAGAGAGCCCCATGCAGCGTTTGCATATCTTTTATTTGCCCTTACCCCCACCCCCACTTTCCAACCTAAAAAAGATACTCGAACGGTAGAAATCATATTTCCACATGCATGAATATAAAGAAGGCAGATTAACAGTGATGCGGGAAAAATAAGACTGAAGATAGTTTGTGTTTTTATGATATGCACGGTCAGGTTGCCGGATCTCTTGGATAATCCTTTTTTATCATAGCGAAGAACGGAAAACTCCAAATACCTCACAATTAAACGCCTAAATGTTTGCAAGAAATGAGCAGTATGCAACGTTCTTCTGCATTTCACGGTGAATTTTGTTGTTTACAGGTTCAATGACGTTACAGACAGTTTGCAGTGGGTACAAACATGGAGTCGCGTTTTTTATTGAGTCAACAACAAGCCAACTGCACTGCTTCAACGTTCTGGGAAATGGAGAAGTACAATATTCCACTGCAACGAATTTGTATGCTACTCAAATTGCCTGTTCAAGATATCATTGCATTGTCTACAAAGATGATCTGACAGTACATTCGTTGCCCCTTAGCAGCTTTGTCTGTTCTTCCTCGGTGTCATCAAGCGTAAGTAACAACAAACACATTTTTTGCATTGCATTGGGGTAGATCGGATAGAAACGAATGCCTTCATTTTGAGCTAGATCACGCCACCACCCTTGTGTGTGCGAGAAAGAAGACAGCTAGTTCTTCAACTGTCCATTGATGTTCTGCAATTTTTAATCAAAACCTTTATTAGAGCCGACACCTTAATAAATGTGTGTGGTTCAGTAAGTGGCGATAAAAACTGTTTCGGCTTTCAACGCGCAATGCATTGTGGTAGTTGTAGAGCAGGTACCTCACTCTGCTTACGTTTTCCTTGATATTCACCAGTGAATCTTCATACACTCTTTTTAAAAAGTGGAAAAAACAAGGAAAATTAATAAATCTCCCAAAAAGACGACTCAAAATCTTAAGACTTCTATTAACAAAAGCTGCTCTTTTCGCTTAGCTATCTTGTATTATCTGCTGCAGCCTTCGTTGGTATCAAGTGAAAAGAATGTTAGTTTTTTATCATAAGCCCAGCAATGTGAACCCAACTAGAAATCCAAAGCGAAGTAAGACAAGACTTCCTATACTGCTAACATTTATTTTGTTTCCCTTTAGATGACAAGTTTGCAACCTTCTACGCCTATGCAGCAAATTTCCACAGACAGCATGGGCTTTTTTTTCCAAATCACTACTTCGGGTCTTTTATATAGGCTGGTACCAAATTCAAACGCTTGGAACCTAGTCCCTACTGAAGACACGCTAAACCCAAAGTCTGTTTTGTCGATGAATGGGCAGCCTGTTGTCATCTTGCCATCAGGAAAACTTAAAATATTAGAAAAAGGAGGTATGTTTATTACAATATTGTCTTTCAAAAATTTTGTTTAATTACGTATAGCAACAGCAGTGAAATCATAAGCATGCAACCCCGCAGAAGGTTGCAGAGTGGGCAGATTGTCACAGCCCCGGAGCTGAGAGGGACCTGGTTATTGAAAAAGCAATAAAAAAATCAAAGCCTTAATGCATCATAACGATTCCCATCATTCTTTTTGCCCAATGTCTCAGAAATTCACTCAGCGGACCTCTAAGCATGCAAAATTTGGCCGTTTTGGCCTATTGTGTTTCAAAAACTTTTGCACCAGTATTAGCGAACTTAATCTCCGATTTGGGGGCTGATTACTGAGATTTTGTAACCTTGCATCTTACACTTATTAGTAGGTTGTTATTGCTAGTTGCATCGAAATTTTTAATATGTTATTCTTTGTTACTATATAAATGACTCTCGTTCCGAGCGCTATAGAGTTCTGACTTGTTATTTAATTAACTTAATAGTTTGGTTATTTGTATTCAGTTAAATTTACACCAATGGATTCCCATTACAGTCCTCATTTTTCCATATTAAAAAACCTATCTGAAACTTCAATATTTTATTATCAACTTTCTAGAAAAAGTTTATAAAGTGATGCACTCTGGTGGACTTTGCATGCAGTATTCACGCATTTGGAATAGGTTCCATTATTTAAAGTCTTGCGATCTAATTCGCATAGAGGATCAGTTCTGCATCAAAAGCCTTACAGCTCAAGAGTGTGTTTATATAAATGGAGATTACTCTCTATCTTCACACAGCAGCTGCATACACCAATTTACCATACAAGATTTGTCTACAATTCGGCAAGGAGGAAGAGTGTTAGCACCGGATTCACTTCATCCGGGAAATGATGTAAACCTTTACATGCGAAGTTCACTGAATACCAGAAATAACGACTACTACGCGTTTACTTTCCAGCAAGGTGGGTGAAGATATACGATTCTAATCTTATATGTTTGTTTGCTTGTTTTATTAGTAAACCGTGACCAGCATGTCTTTAGAAATCTCTAATCAACTCAAAATCATATTTTTTCTTCAATTTTTTTTATAAGGCGCTTATATTATGACTAACCTGCAAAATTGAGCCAGAACAAGGCCCTTCGCTAGTCATGGTGTTCAAGGAGGGCTTCCGGGTCCCATTTGCCGAAAATACGGGTGAGGCAGCCTTTATTTGCCGACAAAATCCAAAATTTGTCCACTAAGCGCCCCCCAAATGCCAGAAAACACCTCGTTTTTGCAACGGACTTTTTTTGAACTAGGGAGGTTTTTTCTTATCTAGTTTTACACCCTTTGTGCCCCCTCCTCTTTTTGTGACGGCCCTGGCCAGAGCACTGCAGTTAGAATTTTATTCACTATCGGAATCAAAACAAATAACATAATATTCGATTTTCAAACTTTTTAAGTTTGTGTTTATTATCAGATGCTAGACTTTCCAATAAAGTAGGCATGCCTTTCAGCATGTCATTTGCTTGCGCTTCGGTATTGATAATATTGCTTTTCGCGGAGCGAAACTTGCTTGATGCCTCCAGGCCCGCAAAGAGACACGACCATCCCTGGACAGCACAGGCATAATGAACAAATGGGCGGAGAAATTCAAGTGGATATTTTCAGGTAGCTATGGGTTTGGTTACTTGGAAAAGTGATGGTGAACGGGGAATTGTTGGGGTTTAAGGGGTAAATACGGGGGTTTAAAATCGTCATATTAGCATATAACCTCTGTGGAGGAGCCACCGTTTTGTTTACAACTTCAGAGCATGGCAAGTGCTTGTTATCATAAAAAAATAATCTACAGGGAGTCTTTTAGAGCCTCCTCTTCAAATTCCGACATATTGCTACAATTAGAGTAGTCACGTGACCAATTTTTACCCCTTACCATATTTGGAAGGTGAGCCTTTTCTAACAGAATACCCGAAAATTCTTTTGTTTAATACTCTTAAATGTTACAATAATGTATAAATCAGCAAGATTATTCTACAACCGAGCTGTTGTTGATAGATACCCTGAATAACTTTGAGTTTATGATTGTTTTTAACTATGTGAAGAATAATGGTTGCGAAGACATGATAATTTATTAGGCGTCATTAGCCGTTTGACGTCATGCGCGTTTGGTTATTGCGTGATGACTCCACATCTTCTTCAGATGCTGGGCAACTTTTTTCGCAATTCATCGCTTTGAAAATATTTGTACAAAGAGTAATACAAATATGTAACGCAATGAACCCAAGAAATCACGGAAATACGTAGCAGAACAAAAAGACCTGTGTGCATCATTACCAAGAAAGAACTGTTTTGCTCTAAGCGTCATTTTCAGTATGTAAGTTGTTATTTTCGCTCTGAAAATTGGATACTCTCTGTACCTTTAAAGTATTGAGGAGGTCCTGTTTTATTTATATTTTTAAACATGCAAGGCTTAAGCTGTATTGTTCATTACCCGAGCAAAGATTGTCTGTACAGTGGTATTAAAGATTTGTCTGACATCAATAAAGATAAAATTTATGCTGCAAAGGCTACTCGTTTACGACTTGGTGGCAAAAACCTCCACGAAGAACAATGCAGCTCCATTCCTGACGAGGTTGATCCAAATAAGCACGGATTTCATATAGAACCTTGTTATAAAAAATTTAAGGCATTAAAGTATCCATTGAGTTCTGTACCTTTGAGTTTGGCAAATCCTGATGGCGCGAGAAGAACAACAGCTAAAAGTAAACTACAAGGCATTATATTGGACCATTGTAGCAACCCCGTTGGTCACCCTAAAGAAACTTTACCAGACAAAAGGAATGTCTCTGCATTTTTAATTGAAATGATGGCCGTCATCTGCACAATAACGAAAATGACTGAAAATTAAGAAGACTTGACGTGGAAGTTCATGAAACCGTTGCCCAGAAATTATTGTAGAGTTGATATTGTTGCAGAATGTATCAAGAAGTGTATATCAAGTCATCCGAAAGAAACAAAAGAGGTTGCTCTGAAAAAATTATTATTCAGTCAGCTAAGTCTAAAATTCCACCAAATTTTAACGAATTTCTAAAGAATGAAGAAAATAAACGACATTTTCTTGATGGTCAATGTTCTTGTTGAGAACCGATTGCGTGCAATAGAAATGTTACAGTGCACAAAGATCTTCATTTCGACTGAAAATAGTGCATGAAGCTAACAGAGTTTGAAGCAATTGAGGAAGACGAACTTGCAAGCAATCAAGAGGAAGCAGATACGAAGTTGACCCTACATTGCCTGCATACTTTAACTTGGCATCCTTCGAAAAAAGTTGTTGTACGCTCTCCATCGTCAGATATCGAAATCTTGGTAATTGTATTAAATATTATTGAAGAGCAAAGTCAAGTATATCTCGATTTTGGAGTTGGTTTGAATAGAAAAGGACTATTTTTGTCTGATATTGAGATGGAAGATGGTTTGAAGAAGTGCAAGATATGCTTTCATGCATTCACGGGGAATGACTATGTGTCATCTTTTTTCCGCAAAGGGAAATCAGAATGTTGGAAGGTTGTCCAGAAAAACAACAGATTTCTTAACACATTTTCACTACTTGGGCAGGTATGGGAACTTGATGAGCAAATATTTGTTAACCTTGAAGAATATGTTTGCCATTTATATGGATACCGGCAAAAAAATGTCAATGATGTGAGGAAAAAATTATTTGACAAGAAGTATGTAAGACAAGGTAAAGCCATAGACATTTCACTCTTGCCCCCATGTCAATCATCACTAAGGCTACACATATTGCGATCAAAGATTTGGAAGTCATCGGGTGAAAGGTCCATAAATTTGCCAGATCTTTCTACTTTTGGCTGGAAAGGGAATCTGGCTATAGAATGGCAACGACAAGCATTTCCAGACGAACTGACTGACTTCCTCCTTGATCATGAAGAAACGGAGATGATGTAGAAAGTGAAAATGAAACCTAAAATGGATAAACAATGACAAATGCAGGTATCTGTGCCTTAACTTGCATCTTTTAACATTTAAGAGTATTAAACAAAAGAATTTTTAGGTATTCTGTTGAAAAAGGCTCACCTTCCAAATATGGTAAGGGGTAAAAATTGGTCACGTGACTACTCTAATTGTAGCAATATGTCGGAATTTAAAGAAGAGGCTCAAAAAGACTCCCTCTAGATTATTTTTTTATGATAACAAGCACTTGCCATGCTCTGAAGTCGTAAACAAAACAGTAGCTCCTCCGCAGAGGTAATATGCTAATATGACGATCTTAAACCCCCGTATTTACCCCTTAAACCCCAACAATTCCCCGTTCACCATCACTTTTCCAAGTAACCAGACTCATAGCTACCTGAAAATATCCATTTGAATTTCTCCGCACTGAGGTGGTACCTATGGCCACTGTAGCCTGGTCTATATGGGTCACAGGAAGAAAATTATTTATCATTTGTCGGCCAAAATGCAGAGTGAATTAACGGATCAAGCTTTCGAGAGGACGCAATGCTTAAAAGGATACTGAGTCATGACATCATTGTTTAACAGTTAGTGCAACACCAGGATCACTGTTCGAGGAAAAGTTGATATTAGTTTTAAAATTTGAAAGACGTTGATTGTAATGAAAGAAAACAGCATAAAATGGTCAAAGAACTACATAGAATATGTCACCTTTTCTATAAAGTCAGCAGAATAAAATGCTAAAATGATTCAGAATTTTTTGCCGGATAATTTGATGCCGGATAATTTGATGCCGCTTGATGATTACTGAGGCCAAGATCAGGGCCACTGAGAGGGGGGCAAAGGGGGGAAATTGCCTCAGGGCCTGCAATTCATTTCATTTTAAGAATGTAACTAATCAGACGTAGCAAATATGTGTCTAAAAATCGTTAAACATCTTGCACGATTTCAGGAAAATGACTGTAAGCGAGGTTCTGAAATGCCTTTTGAGCTAGTCTGAATGGGGTGGTTACGGAAATTTTCTCTGGGCCTCGTCGATCGGTTTTGCCCCTTACTGAAGAGGACTAGGCGTGTCCTGGTTACCGGAAGCTGGGCTTATATGGCAACAACGTGCAATGTCGCTGGTCGTGGGTTCGAGTCCTGAACTGGTTGTTTACCTTCGCTCACATTATCTCTCAGAATATTCTCACAAATCCTGTACCTCTTTTACGAACATTTTATAACCAAAACCTCTTTCATTTGCTAAAATTGCAGTTTTCCAGAAAGGTTTTGAATGCCTGAATGATGACATTCTATTCTTGTTTTATCGACTACCCAAAGATTGCACCGACTAGCAAAGTGCTGACCTACCAATCTTATGATAAGCTGTGTTTGAATTTGTTCCAACCAAGCTTCGAAAGACAGCTCGTTGGATACCAAAAGGCTATGCTTATCAAGCAGTGTCCTGGTCCTTCCTCTCAATGTAACCACATTTCGTGATTCCTATGCCTGGAATAACAGAGAGCATTGACTCGCCTCAAGCTATGTTAAAGTTTTGTCATGCCAGGGCCTCCGTCCGAGACCCTTGTATATGTGATCAGCTGACCATTGCAGTACAGGTGGCACACTCATACATTTCCCTTTGGTATTTCTCTTCACCTCCCAAACACTGTGATATGTATGGAGCAACAATTCCCCTATAACGGAGCTCTAACCTTTTCTAACAATCAACCATTTTTCTGAAATTATGCATAAAATGTCATACCACTAATAGTTCAGAAAGTTATATTGACTGGTTTCGTCTTTTTAAACAAATATGATTCTAATAATGCTACCGACAAAAGAAAGCAAAATTGTTTGTCACAAACCACGTTGATCGCGTGTTGCTTTTCGTTTGACTGCTGATCACTTTCAAGTTGTACCCAACCATATTTTTAATAACTAATGCGTTTAATGCTTGCATAAAAAGACAAAACTTTATAGTATTCATTTTTTCCCGTAAATAGCTAAAAAATGTATGACATTGCAGCAAAAAAGAAAAGTTTATTTATTGCACCTTCACAAGTTGAATAAAGGTTGATGTTTTGCTGTATGCCAACATTAATCTTAGCATAGTTGGCTGGAATCGATGGGAAATTTCAAGCAAGCGCAAAGCAGCTTGAAAAGGTCTTTTACTAAGCCTGAAAATTGTAAATGCAATCTGTAGTTTATTCGTAAGCAATTCGTTTCAGTAACAATATTTTCCTTTTTTATTGATTTCAGCCTCTGCGTTCATGGCAATTAACAGCTTCTATCCTCCAAAAAAGATTGAAGGTAAGTCAAATATTTCTAGTAGACGCTACTGATAAAATACGTTATGGTAAAATATAGAATCCTTGAATTCAATATTGTTTAAAATAGGCTGATTGCACAGCTATCTAATATAGACTCTTAAGACTGCTAAGCCGTTGGTATTATCGTCTTAACAGATGAAAAGATAAACTCTTGTCTATTTGATCAGTTTAAGAAAATCTTAATGACTCAAAGAATTTATTTGACAACTTTTATCATGAATAGAGGCGTTTTGAAACTTATATACATTTTTTTAGGAGTTGCCAAAGGGGAATTAATTTATACCGTATCAGTCTTCTTCAAATTCAGAGATCTGTCATTCTATGACAACTTTAGAGATATTACTGGAATCGAGGCAAAGTTTGTTCACAGAAAAGTAGAAGCAGAGGTATGCTAACAGTTTAGATGCAGATTATTTATTCACTATGTTTGTAGCTGTGGCTAGCCTTTCACAAGTTTGTTCTGATATCAACAAAATGATGTGTCGCAAGTGATTACAAGTTTCGGAGGAAAAAGTTTACAGGGCAATGATAGATGACAATAAGAGAAAAAGAAAGGATGTGTATCTTGCATGTTTTAAAGCAAACTTTCAACTAAAATGATGAAGAATTCTAAGTTTTTCTGATAAAGTTTTGAACATTTTGAAAATTTCAAAAGTAAATGCGCTCAAAGACTTTTCTATTCCTCTCTCTTCTTCCACTATCCTGGTTTTTGATTTACTAACCCTTGTTCTACTAAACATAAGATGTAGAAATTCCAGTAACATATTGAAAAAATACTTCAAATGTATTTTGGTCAGTGGTACCAAAGTTATCCCAGCTTTGGAACTCCCCCCCCCCCCTCCCTTTTACAAAGCCAAAAGGGTTTGAAGGTCACTTTTCTTTAAAAGTCTCTTTTGTAAAGATAGTGGAGCAAAATGATAGAAAACCATTCATTTATCTGTACGGAAGGGCAGGTAATCTACATCATATGTCTACATGTTTTCTGTCCTGACCTGACGCGTACAACATATAAAGATAACATATACTTACGTTTTAAAGAAATTACTGTCTACCAATGTGACATAAAGTGTTCGATACTGTAAAGGCAGAACTGTCCAGGGATTTTGGTGTATAGAACAGGACGGTTCTAAGTTGCCACTTTGAGTTTTCACTTCTAAAATCCCATCGAAAATGAAATAACAGACACCAACATTACTGGCTTCTCCTCTCTCTCGTTTATATTAAAACTCATTATTCATTTTAAAATCAATTTAACTAATTATGTAATAAACATTATGTTATGTTATAGACACCTTGTCCAGATTATATTTAAAAGGATTAATTTAATATAGATCCAGGAGAAAGACATATTAGAAAATTACATAAATTCAAAGCTACAATATAAACGATCACTGTTGAAAGGATACTTAAAAGTAATTATATATTAAGCTCTAGGCTAAAGCCGCTAGCTAATTAAATAGGATGGTCCTCAGAATAGTTGAGCTCCAAGTCACAAGACCGAAGGTGGTTTTCTCTTATAATTTTTTGATGCTCGATGCAAAAGGATTCTTATTTGGTCGACGAAAAACTAGACTATAAGGATATCTTGTACTTTCATTTGAAGCTTGAAAATTTCTTGCAAGTATTCTTGAAAAGTGCTCAATTCAAAAAACGTATATATGAACATTGCCCCATTTTCCAGTGATGTCAGCATAAGGTAGCATGTCATCATTAAATAAAATCCTCAGAGGCCTTTCTAGAATTTTCTTAATGATACCTCGATTTTATTGACAGCTGAAACAAGTCTTTGCAGAAAGCAACTCCTTTGTTAAAGTAAAGCTAGAAGAGATCGGGTGAGTGCCTTTACAGCAGAAATCTCTAATGGGATTGTAAAAAGAAAAATTGATTTCAATAGCATCATTTAATAAATTTCAATGTTTTAAGGCAAAGCATATTTGCGGAATGTAAGTTCCTTGTAAGCTACAGGCTAAAACTTTTTTTGGAATTGTTTATCTAGGAGCCAATCCAAATGTGATTTTCATGTCAATAAAACTGTAACGTTGTCTTGAAACCCAAAGCAGATGTAGATCAAAAGCTGATTTGCAGGTGGCTACCGCTAAGAATAGCAACAGGGAGGAAGCTTTTTTTTGTTGCCATGCCCTTAAAATATAACATTGGAATGAACTTTTTAATAATTTATTAGGCTGATAAAATGTGTCGGTTCGGAGACTTTTTAGAATTTATGCAAAGTTTTCAGCTTTATTTGTAATCAACAATTTAAAAATGGCAGTTTAAGCGAGCCTTTATTAATAAGGCCGACAGGTGTGACAAATTCATTGACCTTTAGGAGGGGTAATGACCCGCTGGCCGCTATAGGTCCTCTGTAGGCACAAGTGATGATGGTTTAGAATAAAAAATGCATGTTTTAAAGTGTCTGTGCAACTTTCAAAATTATAATATACCCTGATTCGGGACCTGTTAAATTTTAAAGGTTGTCAATATTTGATTAAAAACTGCTAGAATGCCAACAGGTTCTTTCTGTAGACAGTTCCTAGGTGTGAAACAGTAGAACCTTTTGGTGTGGAACAGTTTCTTCCTAGACCCGACCTCTAGAAATCATAATCACTAAATTTTCATCATTCAAAATGCAGCTTTTAAATACAGGTGGAATCAATTTATTGCAACTAAGACACCAAAAAAACAAAGTTGCTTAAAATAAACCAGTGATAAACAATCAGATAGTTTACACAGTCAAATTTTTTTGTACTTATGTATGAAAGCATGTTGAATTTTAAATGAAATCAATTGCTTGTAGTCCTGGAAAGCAAATCAACGAGGACTGCCCATTCGCAAATTGTTTCATACCTTTGGAATTGAAATTCAATGGAAGATTGTTCTTTTCGTATCTTTCTGCCTATGAAAAGGACATTCTCGTCTCAGATAAGTTTAATGGTGGTTATACTGATTGTCAAGGAAATGAATGCGCTTTTCAGCTGGACAAAAAGCAGAGGAATGGTTAGTGGCTCCGAATACTTCGAATTAATTGAAATAGGAAATTTTAATAGCCTGTTATAACATAACATTATAGTATGTTGTAAAAGAATGCAATAAAATGTGTAACATTATTGTAACATTATGAAGGAAATTATATAGGAAATTTCCCCTTCGGCAAAAAGGTCAGAAGTCCCATTAACTAATTGTTTTCTTGTTTAATTAGTTTTCTTTTGCGCCTGTTCAATTATTCTTGATTAATGATATTGTTGGTATATCTGAATATTTCTATCTTTTATTTTCTTATAGTAAGTATCCAGCGTTCTCCCTTGAAACCCCCACAAAGTATAATTCATTTTGAAGTAAGAAATATAAGATATTGATTTTGCTTTTCTTTCTTTTACAGTACTTATCAATCCTGCAAATGTGGTCTTTGTAAATAGCACAAGCACTTCACTCGTATTCAGATACATCCCTCGAAAATTCCAAGAAGCTCATGCTGGCTATGACATTTCATATGTTGGCATTGATAAACTGGTTTCATCTAGGTTCTTTAATGGAAATTTCACCCTGCGAGATGGCCTTGTCTTCAATGTGTCCAATCTTCAACCAAATGTTGACTATACCCTCACTGTAACGCCGCTGGAGATTCAAAATAGTGCCCTTCCTGCCATAATATTAATGGCTGCAACTCTTGAAGGCGGTAAGTAAAACAAGTCAGATTGATTTTTTATAAACAACCTCCATTCTTACGGACTTCATGATACGCGGAATCTGCAGGAAGCCATTGTTATCTTGAAGTTTTAATCAATTAATTACCAGCCATTTTAGAAAACGAGTTCATTAGAGGACCAACGAGCACTCCCTTGAAAAGTACAAGCAAGATATTTTTCTCCCCGTGATTTTTCATGCTATTTTAAGAAATGTCTTTAATCACATTCGTGTTTTTTCTTGTTTAATTTTAGATTTTGAAACACATATTTTTCTTACAAAAGATAGCTTAATGAATATCCTCAAATTTTTGTTTCAATCAAGTCATTTCATTTAGAATTATAAACTTTTGAATGTTGGAAAATAGGCACAGAAATGCCTAACAGAGTTTTGCGAAAAATGAAAAAGATAAATATGGCAAAATGTGCTTGTGGATTGAGAAAATTCTTTTTTTTAGCACCAAGTGGCACTCCAGTAACTCAAGTCACATTTGTGAATAGTACAGCATGTTTTTTGCAAATACAAGATTTGCCAAACGATCTTTGGAATGGGATATTAATAGGTTACCGTATTTATTATGCACCAAGCGAAAGTGTAATTTACAAACATGAATTTTCGAACAATGAATCGAGGAGATATAATTTTAGTGAGATAACTCACAGCACGGTGGGATATTCTGAATACAAAGCACTAGGCCTTCAAACATTTACGAACTATGTATTTTACATTGCCGGCTTTACCAATGGTGGAACGGGGCCCTTCTCGAGAGTTGAATGTCATACACTTGATGGAGGTAGGAACAACTTTTCTTACTTTGTCTTGCTTTTCCTTGATCTGATTTTGATAATTTTCAAAATCATTATTTGCTATATTCCATAAAGGAATTAAAGGAATACAGGAATTTAAGAAAACTGTTTTTGGTGGTACAAAATTTAGAAGTGGCTTTGAAATAGCTAAAAGTTTTAAGATGTAATTAAATGTTTCGCTTGACACTGTTCAGGGTATAAAATGCTCAAAATCAGCCAATCAGAGATGCGAACACGTGTCCTTGAAGGTTGCACAGCGAGTGCCCCTTGCCTAAACCTATGGCACTCAAGGTGAAGACGAACATCTTCTACAAATTGCATATTTCAAAATAATTTCAAAATTTGAGAAATTTACCAAAATAAAAAGAAATGAAGTTTTATATCTTGAGAAGGAAAATCGGCTTAGAATATTTGGGAAGAGAAATCTTACTGAAGCCATCAAATAAAGTAGCCTGATTGGAATTGCGATGAGAGCTGTTGCTCACAAGGCTGTTTAAATGAAAGATTTCAAAAGTGCTAGATAAACTAAACTCTTACCTTGTCCTGCATCTCCAAACGTATATATTTGGTAAATGAATCTTTTACATTTCTTATTTTGAGGCTCTGTTTGAATTTGTAGCACCATCCATAACTCCTGAAAAATTCAATATGTCGTTTATAAATTCGAGTCATGTTGGAGTCCACTGGAAACCATTTTCGGACGATTTCCGAATATGGAAAACGAATCAAACTACAACACGCGGATATTTAGTTAAAATGAAGGAAGAAAGCTATCCAAGAAGTCTCAAGATAGAACAGAACATAAACGTGACAGGACAGAACCAATCTCACGCTGTTATTGGCCCGTTGGAACCAAACAGAGTTTACAGTTTTAGACTGGCTGCTTTCAACCACATTGGCATTGGCCCAATAACAATACGGATTTGCTTGAAAATGCCGGAAGGAGGTGAATCTTTCAATATGTTTATCTTCTTCTATTCAAGTTAGGCTACATGCATTATTTTGTAAAATGACTAACAAAAACAGGGCACAAAAAAGGCAGATAAAACATCAGTACAGACCAAAAAAATGTGAAAAAGGACGAAATACTTTTCTTGCAGAGGCTATTTTTCAGGAGCCGTAGTTGATGTTGTCTATGAATCGAAGAGATGTCTAAGTAAGAATAAATGAAGGAGTGTTAGCAGTTACCAGGTTATTCGCTACTAGAACCAGGCAATATGCTAAAAATTTTCATCATTGCACAAATACAGAAATTTTGCAATTCAGACTAGCATCGCGATAGGCAATGTAGCATGAGTCCAGATCCCGTTGATGCGTTTTGCAAATAGGTTTTTTTCCTTTCCAGCAACGAACTAATACCCCAAATTCAAGGAAAGCTTTAATATCACTTAGACCCATTCATATGTACGCATTCACCTTCTTAAATAGCATTTAAAGCTTCATGAAAGATACAAGTTAAGTTATATATGCATGACTTGTATTTGTTTATTTAGTTTTGTTGTTGGTTATAGTATGTTCCGTATTGCAGGAAGCACACAAGAGAACGTACGTTTAGTAGGAGCGTAACAGAATATTCAGCACAGCGTGTATTCTTACAGCATGGTTCTCTACGACTATCTTATCAACTAATTATTCTAATTCATGCAATGTAATTCAATTGGTGCACAAATCATAACTTTACAGGTTGTTTTATACATTTGAACTTGAATAAGACATTCTTGAAAATTTCAACACAGAAAAAATTCAAATTCATTGCTGCGTTTTTTCTTTTCATTGTACAAATTGGTCATCGCTGCAAATTAGAATATTGCCTGACTAGAAAATAACCAACGTTTGATCATATAGTAAAAAAATGCAGGTATTGGAATGTGGCTTTGAAAAAAGCAAACATTTTATCATTTACTTAAGCTAATTCTGAAGTTTTAGACTCTGAGGAGTGTCAGACGGAAAAGCTTTAAGCATGTGGTGAAATTTTTGCTTTTTTCAAAGCCATATTCAAATTTCGTACCGCCAAAAAATTGCTCAAATTTAGGTGCTTTTGGTGACTTTTATCATGTTTACTAAGCTATGAATAAATTGTCATGGTTTCCCTTTGGATGTTGATACTTTGTTTTTAAAACCAATTTCATTTTTTGGTTCTCTGCAGAGGCTTGAAGCCAATCAAGCATGAGCTTTCCTGCTGCTAGAATGCAAAAATAGGCGTGTTTATAATGTTTTACTTTTACAGCTCCTAGCTTGGGTATAGACACTCTGGCTGTTTACTCGAATACGTCTTCCACACTCGGTCTCACACTCGGTGGAATGGATATTAAGGGTGAGAATGGAAGAATCCTGTACTACAATATATCCTATATGGCTAATCTTGCGAGCGAAGTGCTAAGAGAATCTTCAGCTGCGTGGATTTCAGATCTGATTTTTCCTGATACATCTTCCGCAGCTCAAGTTAATGCCACATGTAATAAAATGCAACGCAGGATTTTTTCAAGCACTGCACAATTCTTGTCTTGTCGCAACGAGACTAGTTTTTTGCAGCCAACAGCCAACATAATTAACTTCACAGTAACAGGCTTGCAGTACTGGACCTATTATACGATAAGAGCATCTGCCTGCTCTTACAAAGGATGTGGTCCTTATAACGATTCTGTATACATACGAACTGATGAACATAAACCGACTTGTAGCAGTGAACGCATTTCATCAAGCTCCATGGCATCCACTGCTTTAAATTTCTCATGGGTTCCACTTAGATCAAACTGTACTCATGGGTACTTTGCTGGATATAGACTTTACTTCGCAAATGCATCAGCCCTCTCTGAATTATTCAACCTCTCTAATAGCTTCCCATTGTACAATGCTACGCTTCAGCAAAGCAAGTTTTTCATTGAGACGGTGCAAGCCAAATGGAGTGTTGAAGGCCTAAAAAAGTACACTAACTACTGCATTGCGATATCTGGCAGCACCGTCAAAGGGTTTGGACCATTAAGCCATGCTCACTGTGCAACAACACTCCAAGATCGTAAGTTATCGTTTATAAAATGCTAAAAAGATCTTTCTTTTCCCACTGCTCCAAGAAAATAAAGCAATCTTAAATCGAAGATAGTTTCCTTGCTCAATTCTTTGTTAAACTTTTCATCCATTATCAATCAAGCACTAAACATCGTTTATCAAGCATTGATTGGGCTTTTCGATAAGCATGAACATGGAGTAACTAAGTAATAATCTTTTAAAAATTGGCCTTTAAAAATCATATATCAGTTGCATTTATGGGTTGGGTTTTCACGACTTGTGGTTGGCTTTATCTGCAGAAATTTGTTTTGCATCGAATAGGTTCAGTCCTTTACCTCACTTAAAGTTTTATGAATTATTGAAAGCTTTTGTCTTGTTTTACTGAAGATTTTAAGTATTTCACTTAATTTTCAGGTCCAGAAGGACCACCGAAGAATATACGGATCACGCTTAGAACAGCAGCAATGATCGAAATTTCGATGGAAGCTCCAGAGAAAGAAATTCGCAATGGAATTATTCTTGGTTACAATATTTACTTTTCTTGGAAAACAGTTGATGGCTTTTGGTCGAACGAACAGAACCGGACAGTTGCAAAAGATGACTACGAAAATGGGCATACAGTCACACGTTTCAAGAATTTACTTTACTTTACAAAATACAAATTTGAAATCGTGGCTTTTACATCTGCCGGCGCAGGGAACAGAAGTGGCATTTATTACTTCAATGTGACAGGAGAAAGCAGTAAGCTCATTTTAAATTCTTATTTTGGGGAAACATCAATAAATGAATTCCTTCAAGACATTACGACACCTCTCATTAAGTCAGGTCTTTAGGCTACATTCTCTTACCACAGAAAGCAACGTTGGGCCATTGGTGCATCGTTACAAGTTGCTTCACCTAATCCATTCAAAACACGTAAACCTTGGATACAGCTTGATTGACTCAAATACAAGCAGCTTAAAGTTCTGGGCGGGGAATGGACATAAAAGGTTCACTTCCCTCACAAATGAGCTTAATACAATTCAGCTAAAATAAGAAATTCTAGTAAAATCAAATTCTACAACTCCGTTAAAATTCATTTGATCAGCATTTTTTATTCAAATAGAACATATAAGGTTGTATAAAACTTGCTTATTCCTGCCTACATGGTTTTTTTCAAATGGAGCTCAATATTTAGAATGTATTTTGTTTCCAATCCACGCGGCAACGATGAATGTTAATACTTTGAACACATATATGTTTAAAAACACTTTCCAGATTGGATTTTTTTGTGAAAAGCTGTCAGCTTGAAACTCCCTCGGCAGAGAACATGCCATAGATAACTATAAGCCATGGGCTATGTCTCCACACCATTGAGAGCGAGCGAGCATTTAGCTTCTTTGGTGCAAATCGTCCAGCCAACTAAGGTTAACTAGGTACGCAAAAACCTCAACATTCATTGATTTCAGGTAGGAGGTAGACGAGAAAAGCATAAACCCATCAAACAGAATAAAAGATGCTTAAAAGTATGAGAAGCTTTTATGATGGCTAAAAAAGAAGCTTTAAAAATGTTAGGGTTATATAAAAAAAATGCAAATTTTCATATTAAGAAAGAAAGGGAAGATGGAAGCAGTACAAGGAACGAGCATTTCAACTAAGGCTTCAGTAAGAAAAGTTGCAGCCTCTTTATAACACTCCTAGCTCGACCAAAGGAATAAAATCCTCAAAAGACCAACAGGAAAGGTATTGCACATAAACTTGCAAGAGCGGGTACACTTCCAATCTTGACGAGGCACGTCACAAGAGACCATCTCGAATAGCAAACAATGACAAATGTAGCAAGATTACAAAGTACAAACCCTTCTTCGTTAGATTTTGTCTGGTTAAATTTCATTAAATCATCATTTCGGTACACTCCCAAATCAAAAGTTCTCTAATAGTCAATGGTGAGTCGTGACAAATAACAATCCGCTCTTTCCCCATGATATGCAAAAAATTGACTGCTTTAGTTTCCAAGACTATCCCAGTTTAGTGAATTGTGCGTAGTCAAAGAATAGTTCTTATTCACCACTAAGATATATGATTGTAATTTAGAAAATTTCTTTATTCAGCACTTATGCTTTTTCCACAAAATCATATACACTTGTTTACTTTGAGCATCAAAAGCTGCAATGGCTCACACATCAATGAATCATCTCCTTGAGCAAGCTTGTTTATCGTTTGAAGTGAAAAATTTGTCTACATCTATTCTTAAATTTTTTTCAAGCTCCTTCAGCTGCGCCGAGGAATTTCACCGCATATAACATATCTGACTCGGGTATTATGCTGCAATGGATGCAAGTCGAAAGGGCGCGACTTCATGGAACGTTCCGCGAATTTAGAATCACTCTGAACGAAACGTTAGCAGATAGAAGCTTTGGCACGCGGAGGGAATTTTATGTTGCTGCCAACATGGAGCAAATCACTCCATCGGATCTCATCCTTGCTGTTTATAATATTTCCGATAACGTCAAAAGCAATTTCACACTGGCTAAATACGACAATGGTACTGCAATGTACTACCTTACCTTGATTGGTCTAAAGCCCTACACAAACTATTCAATTGAGTTGGCCTCTTGCACAACCCCTGGTTGTGGAAATACTACCGTTGTTAGGCTGACGACCAAAGAGAGTTGTAAGTAATCGAATCTGTAATAAAACTTAGTTTTTTAATAAGTGTTTTCATGTGTACATAAAGTGCTGGTTTTGTTAGCACTGGCGATTTTTATATCATTTTATTTTGATCATGACACTCCTAATTCTTTGTTTTGTCATGTTACCGCTAAAGATTTTTAACTAGACCTAAAAATAATCTTTTGAAGAAGATCACGCTTCACTGGTTGCAACTCATTTGGTTTATTCTGAAACCAAATTTGCTTTGTACGTCTGCTTTTGCACCCTTTTCAGGGGCGAAACTACCGGGGGGTGTGGGGGGTGTGGGGGGGTGTAACACGGTTTCGCAGGGCAATCGAAGATTTCGCAGGGCGCCAAGAACGGAACAGGTATGTAAGGAAAAGCTCCGCTATGCATTTTAGAGAACGGAACAGGTATGTAAGGAAAAGCTCCGTTATTTGCAAAGCGAAAGCATTTCTTACCGAAAGTCATAGCCAATGGATGCAATGATTGATGCATATGTTTATGAGGGCAAGGTTGAGTCCATGCCTATTAATTTAAGTTGTAAATTATTCTTATGACAAGCACGGCGTCACTGGAGGGGAATAAGAGGCTGAAGGCCCTCACTTAACAGTGCAGGAACTAAAAAACATAATAAATCGTTAAGATACCGATTTTGTTTCATCTAATTGCTAACTTTTTCACGTATATTTTTATTAATTTTCTTTTATTTGCATTAATTCAGTAAATCACTTTCTGTATCATTGCAATGTTTTAATTTTGGATGTGTAAACATAGCCTTCTCGATACAAGAAACTGCACATTTCTGTCCAGGAAATAAAATTCCCCCAATCAAAACAACATCTTCCTCTGTCACTCACAACTACGTGCAATCTGAAACGAAAGGTTGCCGTTCCTTTCCTTCCCCAACGTCTAACACCAGAGTTTTAGCATGCCATCCCAACCTATTTTTCCCAATAAACAATAATATTTTCAATAAACAATCAGTTCTTTTAGCACATTAGTATTTTGCTAAATTTTTGTCTGAAAGATGCTTTTTAGCCCTTTTACAAGGTATAATTTCAAAATTTTTCTTCACGTCGGACCCAACCATGGTGGGTCCTCCTATCTCACTAAACTTGATTCTTAGCCCCACTGGGCTAAATTTTGTTGCGCTGTCTACATCATGTACCCCTCCCCCCAATTAGCTGTTTTTTAGCTTAATTTTGCAAACCAACATTAAATGAAGTGAATATAAAAACAATTTACGCTCAAGTAGAGAAATATATATTTCATAGGCAATGAAGTTTCAAGTTTGTTCTTATTGCTTAGAAGTTTGTCCTTGGTAAAGACCAGTGTACACTGGTAAAGCTTTCACTAGTATCCTATAGACAAACCGTTGCTACGAGGTCTGCAGGGCACCACTCAGTTTTGCAGGGCAGAAACCCTTTTCACCCCCTCAAACCTATTGGCCCAAGTGACGCCCCTGACCCTTTGTGTGATACAATAAAAACTGTATGTCTAGGTCACTTATAATCCTGAAGTAGCAACAGAGTGCACAGTTTTGTAGCAGTAAAAGTATGTAGATGTGCAATATTATTTTTCAGCTCCCAGCACAAACTGCATGCCTAGGCTACTTTAACTAAAACTTGAACTAACAGCAGATAGCATACTTTTCCGTAGTTGACTTATGAAGTTTTAAAATATTCCTTTCCAGCTCCTGCCGTATCACCAAAGATTTCGTTTGTTGCAAACTCAACCCTGTCAACAGAGTTAGTTATCAAATGGCTTGAAATTCCAGTTTTGGAGAGAAATGGTGTTATCACAGGATATGTTCTACGTTTGATGAAATTTTGTGACTTTCTTAAGCAGCTAAACAATAAAAAGACCTTATTTGACTGCAGCCGTTCTCTGTATGACAGTGCAACTAATTTCAATACTGAATTCGTTTCCAGTCACCTTCTGCAGGCAACAATCGGAAATTTATCCTCCTACACTCACTATCTAATCAGAATTGCAGCTATGACATCTGCGGGCACTGGGCCCGAGTCAGAAGTTATTGTGCTTACTGCAGAAGATGGTAAAGGCCGATCCTTCATTTCTAGTGTTTATTCACTTTTGTTTCGTGAAAAAGCACGGAAATAAACCATTACCTTCGTAAATTGTTAGATTCCGAGATCATTACAACTTCGAAGCCATCGCTTCTTTTGAAGGAGTAAGCAACTCTGTAAAACATTCAAAACCATTTCAGCCAATTAATATTAATATTTTAAATCATGATTTAAACTTAGAACTGAAGGTTATAGAAGTTTCATCACTTAAATGTGATGAGAATATTAAAAAGCTATCATTAATCCTTTTTGAAGATAAAATTCACAAAATTCGAAATTTTAGTTAGATTTGTCGCCAGTTCTTAATAAAGCTTGGCAAAGGATGCTTCACATTCCTATTTTGTGTATTTTTTATATTTCATTTCAGCATTATTTATTTTTACTATCTTTGGTTTTCCTGAAAGAAAATCTGATTTTGTTTTATTTTCTTTTAAGTTCCAAGTGCAGCGCCTGTGATTACTGCTGCCTACAACACCAGTGGAAAGAGCATCAAGCTTGAATGGATCAACATCCCTCTGCCATATCAAAAAGGCATACTGCTTGGCTACAACGTTCGATATATCAGAACCAATGCAAGTAGTGACGTCATCGCTGATTCCATCAACTGCACTGATATTTCACAGAATGTGACGCAGTGTGAAGTAAGAGGCCTAGACCTCTATGCTTACTACAACTTTTCAATAAGAGGATATACAATCAAAGGTTTGGGGCCTACAACGCAGGATATCGTTGTCAGAACTGGACCATATGGTATGATTTACTAGACAGCTTTTTCAACTTAAATACTGGTAGTGGTCAATCAATTCTTTTAAGGCAGAAATTGCATATCTGTTGTTTGATAGCAGGAGTTTTGGTAGCCAGATATGTCTATTTTGCCCCTAGGTAAATTTACTGTTTTTATATTCAGTAATCCAAATTGCAGGCTTCATGTTATTGTATCTTAACAGAAAGCTGCCTTCTACATTTGATTCGGAATAATGATTATGTTGACATGGAATATCTGGACTTACCAAGTAAAACTTTCTCATTTAAATCAATTTTCAGCACATGGTGGCTGGGCAGAATGGTTGAGTTGGTCGTCATGTTCCAAGAGCTGTGGTGGTGGTTTGAGGTTTCGACGTAGAGAATGCACCAACCCTTCCCCTTGGAACGGAGGAGACTACTGCAAGGGTTACAGTATCAGCAATGAAACGTGTAACACAAGACGTTGCTCAGGTAAAATATTTGAGGCATTTAAAGTTTGTGGCTAAGAACAAATATTTCATTCAAGCATTCATGCTCTGTTTACAGGCTGACTACACTGCAAGCAATGCCAAACATCTGAAGGAATGATGACCTGTTTGTAAGCTTTCTTATACATGCAAACTTAGAACAACGAAGAATTAAGAAAGATTGGAGAACAATATGGCGAAAAATATATTTTGCTAATTAGACTCCCTCAAATCAATAGAAGCTTGTAGAGATAAAAGCATCCTATAATTTTAGCCTTTCTATTTTATAACCTTAAGCTAGTGCTAATACACAAAAACAAACTAACTAAATACACAATAATATTTACTATGTTGAAAAATATTATGTGAGCAAAACGACTTTCAAATGAATGAATGGTTTCCATCTTCATTAAGGAATGTACCTGGCTCTTCTTGGAGAAGACTGCTTGAATCACTGTGCGACAAGAAATTTGACATGTACGCGTCAAATCAAACTTAAAGACTCCCCAGCTAAGTTCGAGCAACTTGGGAAACAGTGCGAAGACAAGACCAGCCAAGCCACGTGGAAGCAGCCTTTCCATCCTGCGTTCATTGAAAATGACAACATCTGTGCAGGTTTCAAAGATATACCAGCTCTCATTTCATGCAACGCAACTCCGCCTAGCGATGAGAAAACGAGAAGACTGTGCAATTGTCTACATCCATGTGAGTTTAACAAATTATTTACTAAAGAGTTGTATATCTAGAGAGATACGCTTATTCAGTGTCATTTAAGAGCGCTTTTATATAGTGTTGCTATTGTTACTTTCGGAAATAATAATATGTGGAATTTAAATGACTGAGAAGTTGTAGAAAACATTACAATGTGCTGACCATACTAACCTGACATTGAGCAGCAATATCAACCACCACACCCCCTTTTACCTCACCGTCAACTTCAACATATCTGGTTAAAGCCAGTAAAAGATTATGTTTCAGGTTTTGGTAGTAATAATGAGCCTGTTGGTACTCTGATATTTTTACAACATCAATTATTCTAAAAGATTGCATTCACTGTATCTTTATGAGAGCCTTATGTTTATTGTAGCGGACATTGGCTTCGGTGAGTGGACAGCATGGAGCTATTGCACGAAATCCTGCGGAGGAGGAAAGCAAATTTCAAGAAGAAACTGTTTGTTACCAAATGGAGGTTGTAATGGTGACGGAGTAATGACAAAGGATTGTAATACATTGTCTTGTCCAGGTAAAAGCTTTTTTGCCCTTTACCCATAAAAATTGAAGTCTGATTAGTTTGTTCCAATGCGAACTAACTATTAAATCAATACAATTACTGCATTCAGGCTAACAGCAGCGCAGCAAACGTAATGATATAAGATAAATAAAAAAACATATAAAATTTGGGTTAAAATTCCGAAGACACATATTGTAACGATATATAATTCTAAATGATAATCAATAAAAGTGAAAATATGACGAAATTAAAAAAACATGATATCAAAATTCTAATTGCAGCTTCTGTTGCGTTTGCTGTTTGAAAGCCTTAAAGCAATACACCAATTCAACTTACGGCCTCATTTTGAAAAATTCCTCAAAAATTTTTGTGCAACATTTTGACTTTAGATAAGGATTTTAGTGTACTTGGAAGTTTCCATCATGGTCTTGCTCACGATATGGATTTATGTCGACATAAAGATTAAAATTTTGTAAGGGATTTGACCGGGATTGGCGACTAGGGGGGCAACGTTTCACCCTGAACGCTTTTGCGGTCAAATCCCAAACAAGTCTTCAAACTTTATTTCTTCGTAAAATCTAAAATAGAATCACAAACAATATGAGAAATTGTGTCCAGCCTAAAATTATGGTGATAAAACCAAATCTGAGCTTAAAAGAGTCGTATAACAAAGTTTGGAGAAATTTCCAGAAGCGAGGCTGTAAGTCGAATTGGTGTATTAAAATGATGATTACTAGTGACACATCAAATTTTTCATGAAACACTGAATTGTGAATATAATATCTAGTTTCAATTCTGACGTGAAGTTTGGTATGTAGAATAAAACAGCATGTTCCGGCGAACATAATCCAAAAACGGGCTCGAAATGAGAACAGCTACTGCTTATATATGCAGGCTGACAGTTTGAACCTAACTGTGCACGCATAATGAGTTAAAAAAAAGTTTTTAATTATACTTTTTTTCATCAAAGTGGCAACTTTGTTTTGTCCTTTTGTGGATGATTAAATATTTACCTAGTCAAAACAGGACCAAATATCTAGTAAAGTATGAGTTTCTTTCGTAGTTGATGGAAACTGGGGCCAATGGTCGACTTTCTCGCAGTGCAACAAGACTTGTGGTTATGGTTATCAGCATAGGTATAGAAAATGTGACAATCCGCCCCCTGCAAATGGAGGAGATGACTGCTATGGACCATCAGTTGACCAAGCAGAGGGCTGTAATCCACAGCTATGTCCAAGTAGGCCTAACATTACGTCATCTTCTTTCATTGGTCCCTTGACCCTTTGAATTTTAGAACTTGGGTATATCTCTTTTCGCAGTATACTGTTCTCTAAGTCTTTCTATTACAATCACATCGCAATTTACCTTTAACCTAGATGTATCAACCATGAGGATAATCTTAAGGGCATTTTTTAGTATCTCCTGTGTTTCATGCCGTTAGTACCATATTTTTCTCTGCTTGAAAGGATAATTGCTACTTATATTACACTTTCCTGGAAAAATAGTACGCACATTTAGAATATTTGCAACTTGAAGAATGTGAAACGTCTAGTTTACTTGTAGGTGACAGTGTGGCCAGATGCTTTGAAATCTGACCCTTTTTGGAGTATGTATTCTTTATTATCCCAAAATTTTCAAAGGGAGTTTTTTTTAGGTTCAAGCTGCTAGGATTTAGTCTTGTTGCAGTTGAGATACCAACGTGCACATGCATCTATGATTAATCTGGACCAGGTCTTCTAATATGCCTAGTAAGAGAGGTCCTTAGATCAGATAAGCTGGGAATACATAATGATTTAATTGTCTTATTTACACGTTTTTATTTACTTCAGCACATGGAGGCTGGAGTAGCTGGGAAGGCACAGGTGCTTGCAATCAGGCCTGCGGAGGAGGTCAAATGGTGCAGCTTCGTTACTGTGATAATCCAAGACCTGAGTTTGGCGGGAAATTTTGTCAGGGAAGTCCAAATAAAACAGAGCCTTGTGCATTCAAAGAATGTAAAGGTGAGCGTAGCTTTATTCTAAGTAAGATGATATGTTAGTCTTAAAGGTCTATATATCTTTACCCACGACCCAAGATTTGATTTGTATTAGAGGGGTAAACGCTCGAAATGGGTTGAATGGCGATAATTTGTTTTTAAACATCTTTCAAGCTTGCATAATCACTGAAAACTAGCTTATTGGAAAACTTAGCCTAAAACTAATGTTAAGTTCATTAATTTTTCAGCTGTTTTAGGGGGGAGGGGCTCATTCGAGACGGGTGCTTATACGATAGGAAGCTATTTAATGATAGATGGTAGTATAATGCCAATAACTAATGTAGTGGGTTTCAGGTATGGTAACTCACCTCGAGAAAGCCGTCCACAACGTCATTCTTCCGTCAACCAATATTTCAAAGAACCATTCTTATACGTTCAACTTACTTCCGGCGCACTAAGATATATCAAATACTTCAAAACCTTTAAGAAATATAAATTCTCACGGGTAGCTCTCTGAATTCATGCGAGCAGCTACAGGAGTAGAATACATACATACATACTACATACAGAAGTAGAAGTAATATCAATAACTATAATAAATTATTGTTTATATCTATCTTAGTCTAAGATCGTGTTTCATCATGCAGCATTGATCGAGTACATTTTTTCTTCAACAGGTTATCAAGTTCTTTTCTCCTTCACTCTTATTGATTTTGAATGGGATTACAAGTATTTTTACTTAAGCAGTCAAATATCGGCCCATCTCTCGGCAGAAATACAAGCCAATGTAAGTAAAATCTAACATATTTGTATCATGTTTCTATTTGATCCATCGCCCCTTAGGGATAGACATTGTTGCACAGTCTTATTTCAGAATACTTTTTGAAGCATGTATTCCCATTCTTTCAGCTCATTGTCTTCAATGTTTTGATAAAGAAAATCACTATAGTTAAACACTCTTAGCCTCTCTGATATGGGACTGGCTGATACTATCCACTGTTTTTGTTGCAGAAAATCTGATCTTTTGCAAGATGCACACAGATAAAATATAGCTAATCAAGATCTAATTTGAGAAAAAATATGGTGAACTGTGTAGAACAGGCCATTGCCCCTCTTCCAACCCCTTCCTCTCTCTTTTATTTTCAAATACTTTAAGATTTGCTAGAAAACTGAGTTAAATATTTCTAGAATATCATGACTGCAGTGACAGTCTCAGGTGTTTCTTGTCGGTTTAAGTGTGAAATTGTCCCGCATAGAAGTCATTAACCACAGCGCCCTCTAGATAATAACATTGTTTGATAATAATCAATATTTTCTAGATTTATTCACTTTACAAGAACGCGCCTTATGTATCTGGAGTAAGAATTCAGGGATTCAGGTGACCTATCAGCTTTCTAATTACTTTTTTATCATTTCAAAAAAACTTGTTCTTAAAAACTTGATGTTATTAAGCATTCTCAAGCTTTCTCTGGTTTACCATATGTTTGTTTTGCTTTTTTGACATATCATTTTATATCCTTTATATAAATGCTTCTTGTGAGTATTATGTAAAAGAATCTTCAAATGTTCAATCAAAACGAAATGAGAAACTACCGTAACTTTTTGGTAAAATAGGCTTGAAATATCTATATCTTAATTAAAAATTTTCTTTAATTCACATTCATGGCATTGGTTAACTGTAGTCTGCATTCCTACAAAAAAAGAATAATGAATGAGAAAGGACATCTAGAAAGGCCTTGGCATTGGAATTATATTTTGCTTTATTAAAGTTTTACTTCAATGTTTTTGAAGGCGAAGTTTGGCAAGCAAAAGAAAACGTCGAGAAACCAGGTATGCAAAGCAAAAATTAAAATTACAATGAGTCATGCGAAATGAACTGAAACTCGACTTTGAACATGAAACAAGACTGTTTGCAAGGCCCCCTTGCAGACTAAACTGTATTATTTGTCAAAAGAAAGGTTATTTACAAAAGATTCAAGTTAACTTAATTTAAAGATTAAAGACAAGAATTCAATCAAAAAAACTCAACTGTTGATGAAAAAGTTTTGAAAATTTTGTAGTACGTCACTCAGTCTCAAACGTCTCTGGTGTTTTGTCGTTTGTTTGTAGTGCGCCACTTTGTGATCCACCTTGTGCTCCAAATTTGCTTTTAGTGTGTTCCAAATAACTCTCAGTTAATAGTTCATCCTCCCAGGATATCGTCTTTTTAATGCAGTATGAATTGCAAGTTTAAATTTGTATTTATTAGTGAATTACTTTGTAATATCTTTTTAATAACATTCAGAGCTAAAAGACATGCAGTTTAATGTTTTGTAATGGTTTACGACAAAAGTCTGTAGTACTTTGACAAAAGGTCATGTGGTAGATTACCTAGCTACCTCTTAACGAGATATAAAAGGCAATCGGCAGATATAAAAGTGACTTTAGCCAGCTGTCAATCAATATAAGCCAATCAAATAGCGTGTAAGTGGAATCACACTCACTGATTGGTCAATTTTCAATTGAAATATAGCTTAAGTCCCTTTAGTATCTGTCGATTGCCTTTAAGGTTAATGGCAAACATGAGTATGAGCCATTTAAAAACTTCAAAAGCTAACTATATTGTAATTCAAGAATGAAAAAACTGAAGTACTCTGGTAGCTTTAAATAGCTCTGTTTATTATTTAATAAAGCTGAAGTGTCTAAAGTGTATCTTCCTGTTTATTGCAGAAAAGAGCACGTGATTGCAAATACAGTTATTTACTACTCAGAAATCAAACAAGGAGAGGTTCTTTATTTGCAAGACTACGTCACTTCTAAAGGAAAATTGTTTAATTTGACAATTACTAAATTGGATACGAAAGCCTTAAATGGTGTGTATCAGTTTTTGATGTTGTTAATACCTAAAATGTATCATTTCTCTAATAATGTGGTTGTAATATTATCGAACACATCGCCATGTGTTTTGAAATCTGTAAAACACGGGATATTGGTACGTAAACGGAAGTATATTTGACCAAGAGGGATGATTCATCTGAACAGACTGCCTATCCTTGTTGCATATCCGTTGCTATAAGTAAGATGGCACAAAGGCGTCACAAACAACCTAGGGTTTGATTTTAGTTCATTAAGGCACTTCATATTTACTCTAAATGCCTGTCGATTTTTTGACAGTGGTCTTAACTCGCATAAAGCCCTGTATGTTAAATTAACGCCAATGCTGTAACAGAAGGCACGGCTTTCCATATCGGTATCATTAACAACAAAAATACTATGGTAGATTGTAACATCAGACATTGATTGCTACCTATCTTTTTACCTTTTTATCTCAGTATGTTTCGATTAAAATCATGAAAAATCATTCCTTACCTTTCAGAATTGCCCGATCCTCCACAAAATCTTACAGTATCTCCAATTGACCCGAACACGCTCCACTTATCCTGGATGCCGCCGAAAAATTTGAGCCAGTATTCAAATCTCACCATGTACTATGTGTTCTATCGTGAAAATTATAATGAAGTTGGCCAATGGAATGTAAGAGGTCTTCCGATAACTAGTACTGAATTTAACATAACCCGGTTGACGCCAGTTACCTTGTATACAATACGAATGACCGTCTCCATCACTAATGGAAATGGTCCTGCCACCAAAGAGGTACTGAAAAGAACGTCAGAAGGAGGTAAACCTTTTTATCGCATTATCTCTTTGCTCTTATACTCTATCACAATAGCGTGGCTAAAGGATGAAATAATGAACTTTTGACCACATAATCAGAAATGACACGGTGAAGTGCTCTTTAACCTGCAAATTCAGCTAAATCTGTTACAGGATTACTTAGATATGGTGAGGATAGACTCGAGTTCTACTACTGAACTGTGGTCTTTTTGGCCTGATTCATAAGGATGGAAGAGATTCTGTGCTCATTGGCCATATTTCAGCAGGTGACAGATCTTGCTGATTTCTCACAAATAGTGGTACTTCATGATGTTCTGTTAGGTTATATCGTCGAAATTCAGAAACTTTAGATATAGGTATGATTATGTCATCAGTTTTCCTCAGCATTGGGTTAATAAGAGATTCAGGCTGGAGTCACTTTACCATTCAGAAAATTGTAGACCCAATAGAGAAGCTGAAAGAAATATCCCATCTAATTAAGAATATGCTTTTGGTAATCAGTTACCTTGTGCTTTGCTTGGTATTTTTCCATCTTGCGTTGTTTATTGCAAACCCTGTCGATTTCAATCTGACTAGTGTTCAAAGGGCTCAGTAACTATTTTTCAAAAGCCAAATGAGTCATCATTAATAGCTTATATTTGTCGTCCTCTGATATGATGCTGTTTTCAATTTTTCAAAAATCTCTCAAAAATGGGGTAGGAGTTTCAACAAATGGGATAGAAGTTTCTTAAATTTTCACATTTTCCTACTCGAAAGCAAAATGATTAAAGCATCAATTTTGCAATTATTTTTTAATCATCTTTCAATTTTAATGACCCGCAGGAGACACCCTCAGAATACTCTGGTTGAGGGTACTATTATTTATCAGGCCTTATCTTCCACCATCTTAAAATCACTACCTTTTCTGGTGGATGCTTTCAAAATCGCGTTTGCCACAGACTCAAACTATCCAAAACAATAATTTTATTTTATTTAATATCTTGCAGCTCCGAGTATTCCTCCTAAAAACCTTAAGCTGCGACCCATCAAACCAACGCAGATATACGTAGAGTGGGACCCTATTCCGTCTTATTATTATCATGGAAATCCACTTGGCTACATCGTCTATTACAAAAATTACCAAGAGAGCAGTTATCACCAGGCAAAAGTACCTTATGGAGCATCAGACGTGATTTTAAAAGATCTCAAGCCATTTCAAATTTACCTCGTAATCGTCAGAGCATATACAGCTGTTGGGGTCGGACCGGGGTGTACAGGCCTGACGAAGACTCCAGAGGGAGGTATGTTGCTTAAAAGTTACTGGCTATTACATTCAATCCTTGAATACAACTACAACTGGCAACGTAATATATATTTTGATATAATCTGGTTTGTTTTTAGTTCCAGCCGTCTATCCTCCAAACGTTCGAGTGCGGGAGAAGTATTCCTTGGACAGTGTTATGGTAACCTGGGATGAAATTGCTGCGGAAAAGTCAAACGGCCGTTTAAAAGGATACAAAGTCAAGTACACGATAACCAAAATGTCGAATGTAGATGTTCTGGTAACTAGCAGTAGTACAAAAGAGATAATCCTCGATAAATACACGTTTAGGTTGAAAATCACTGGCCTGACCAGCTATACAACGTATGCCGTATCAGTCTGCGGTTTCACAGATGCTGGTAATGGGCCCTATTCGGATCCCGTTATTGCAGGTAGAAGTTTTGCTTTTGGATATCAGGGCCCTTACTTATTAAGACTTTGAGAATTCCCTGTATCTCTGTTCTTGTTGGTTTGGCCGTATGTCCGTTTTTAGATACAACTGTACACGCTTTCATGTGTAGAACAAAACAAGTCTAAGAAGCTAAGACGGCTCTAATTTGCTACTCCGAGTTTTGGTCTCTTGCGCATATTGAACGTGAAGCTTGGAGAAACATCTTAGAAGCTATGATCTATTGAGAACAGTGAAGCATTATCATGTTTTTCTATCTTTACCTAATGCAACGTTTTCTAATCATCAAAGCAGACCCATTTGGGTTTGTCTAATATTTGCTGAATCACTTTCTGAAACAACAAAAGCAGATTTTGAGAAGAAAACACCATTTTACTAAAATCACTTCCTATCTGTTCCCGCCTGTCCATTTTTGAATATAAAAATCATTACATGTACCGTTAAACTCTTTTGCAGACTTAAGATACACCACTAATTCAATATCAATGTTTTTCTGCAACAGAAACCTGCAAATGCCCTTCCAATATATTCTTAAACTGGTACGAAAGCAGACCATACGTGACTAAATTTGCAAATAATACAGTTCATGGAATTTTCAAACAATCAATCGACAGAATGGTTAAAAAGTCTTGTGGAACTTGCAACGGAATCGCGCCATTCGTTAATTACTACATAGGTCCAAATGGGGAAAGTCCAGAAAAAAATAGCGGATTGGCAGTTAAAACACACATTGGAGATGGCTATCACATTACCTTTCCAGTCTTTGGGAGAGCAGAAATTCGGAACTTTATGGATCACCATATATTTGTGTTGCTTGTACAGTCTGGAGGCAGTGCAATGATTGTTAGTGGGGTCATTGATTACGCTGCAAAGACGCTGAATGCATTAAAATCAGCTAAATCGACCTGGCCGATTGTGGCAATTTCACTTCTTATGAGCATCATTGTTGGTATAATGATCTGGTCTGTCGTAAGTGTCAATTTCTTTACCCAAGCCTTGTTTATGATTAGATATATTTTTAGCTTCAGTCTTGCCATGATTGCAGTACGTTATATGACTATATAGTGGGTTGAATCATTCAGAGCAAGTTTATTTTAATCTTACCTTTATGGACTCATTGCTGTTTTTGTGTATGATAGTTTATCGAGAAATTCCGATCTGAACTCTATTCCTGCGACCCGGATACCCAAATAATGAAGGTTAAAAAGGCTCTACTCTTCGAAGTATCGTCGTTTAAAAGTTATTTCATTCGGTATTTCTCGTAGATGGTCTCTTGATTAAGCGACTAAACACTATTCAGCATTGCTTCCTATAGGGCAAGTCTTTTTATACAAGGTTTGTTTTATGCCAAAGCAATGTATCTCATCCGTTCGTCACAGAATGCTTGCTTGTTTTTAGGAACAATTTCAAAATGAGGAATTTTCACGTGGACGATATATATTTGGAATTTGCCAAGGACTTTGGTGGGCATTTGTTTCTATGACCACTGTCGGGTAAGCTGTTTGGAAAATTATTACTTCTTGCTGATAATGATTAATGACTTTAATACTTTGATAATACATATTATTAAGCAAAGTAATATATTTGATGGTTAATTATGTAACTGCTCAAATTGTATACAGCATTGCTGGTTGCAATATAAAGCTGAAAATCACAATTGAGTGTCTTTTAAATATCTTTCATAAGCCTGTCAATATGCGAAGGTTCTATCTATCAACAGAATTCCTTTTGAATGAACGCAAGTTTTCTATTTCAAAAATAACAGTTTTCAAATTTTTTACAGTCATCTAACGTTCATTTCAGATTTCTCTCTATTTGAATTCTATTTGACAAAAGCTTTATGCCTTTTAAGATACGGAGACATAACACCACGAACCTACCTTGGTAAAATAATTGGTATGATATGGACGTTGATTGGCTTAGTGTTAACTGGAATACTAACAGGTGCCTTGACGTCGACGGTCACTGCGTTAAGTATATCACCTACAGCTACCCTGTACGATACAAAAGTAAGTGGAATTTGCATCAATAGCTGCAATTTAATGAAATCTTTCTGGCTTGAATTATCTTTTAGCCGACATTTTCCGATTTTCTTTAGGCTTATGCTAAAATTCGTTTCTTGAAATCTATTATATTACCCTACATGTATTTTTGTTCCGAACAGTTTTTCATTGAAAAGGGACAAATTTGACTTGTTAAGCTGTAAAAACCTGTCATAGCAGATTTAGGCCTGGCAAAAATTTTGTTTCAATGGAAATTGGTTTTGAAAAATATTTTTTTTTGGTTATCAGTCTCAGTCATTTTATAAGTAGCGAGCATCAAGTTTCTTTTGATGGTATCATTTTGGTTCTTTGTATGAAAATATGATCAACGTTTTGAAAAAGGGAGCTATTGATCCTCTGATATTCCTTAAAATTGCTCTGTGGATTGCTTTTACTAGTCATTCATAAAATTTCTTTTAGACTGCTGTTATAAATAGCTCTTATGAGTATGGTTTGGCGGTGAGACGAAATGCAAAAATTGCTTCCAGTGAGTATGACCAATTATCTGTAACACTTTCACCATTGTTTCTAACACTGTCACAATGGTCAATTCCACATTTTGAAAGATTAATATTTCTTTTATAATTATCTTTGTCATCAAAAGTTATGGATTAGAAACGAATAAGGATTAGAAACGATAAGTGATTGCAGTTGAACTCAGTTGGTTGACAAATCTATCATGGGACAGTCGTTCTTGATTGAACAACAACTTGAACATGTTGAATTTAGGTAACTTGGTACCTTTATTGTGTTTGGAACCCATACTAAAAACACACAAACACCATCATATATTCTTTTCTGTTCAAGCTACCTCAATAAAGGTATCAAGTTACCTAAATATAATTTGTCATATAACACACAGTTTCTCATAAATTCCTTGCCCAAAAGACCAGTAACCGAAAACAACTTGAACATATTAAATTAATCCAGAATCTTACGATATTCAGATGAAAGTTGGGTTCTATTCTTACATGCTTTCAATTCTTTTCAAAGACGCAAGATTTGAAACTGCTGCAGAGGTCCTCTCTGCTTTGGAGAAGAAGCAAGTGGACGCAGCACTTCTGGATGCCTTTGTAACGGCAAGTCACACCCCAACGATCAACAGGTTGAATCTCAAAGTGAAGAAAGTCATTCCAGGAAATGCAGGCTTTGGTTTTGTTCTTTCTAAAGAGTTAGTCCGTCTTGAAAGTGACTTCCGGAGTCATATTTCTTCAGAGAAAACCCTAATATCAGAATTCGTTGCTCAGATGACAAGTATGCTTGAGGTAAAATTTAAGAACTCTTTCTTCAATTAGCACGCCATTTATTTCTGCTATGACTTATGGCTTACTGTAGCAATTCCTAACAAAGCTAGCCTTGCAGATTTTTCGCAATTCATGTTTTCTAAACAAAGGCAACCTTTAAGTATTAAGTTTTAGAAAAGTTTTTTGATGTTTTAATCATGAATCAGACCATCAGGATTTCTTGATTAAAATATAATAAAGCTTTTAAAGGATATACAATTTTCTTCGTGAGAGTTTAGCACTCTGAAATTCACGTAGCACTTTCTCCATTAAGTTAGAAAAAAGCATTTAACAAGAATTTTAAAAAAGATATTTGCTATACCAGTGTAACTTTGTAAATAATTTAAAAACCAAGATGAAGATGATAATTATGTTTTATTCTTTGATATCGTTTCAATTCATTTCACACAAACTATACTTAAACACTATGGGAATCTAAATGCTAATCAAAATTCGTCAGGATATGGTTCCTTTGAAGTACTATTTTCTTGAAATGCAAACTGTTTAATTGATCCAGCTCAATATATTCGCTAGTTCATAATTTTCATTCAAATAATTTGAAGTAATATTTTTCTGACCAAGTAAACTCACTAGATTTCAGATGAAAAGCCGCCAAAGATCAAGCTGTTTGATCCAAAGACTCCAGTATTTTGGATCATCCTGAAATATCTTTTGGTAATGCTTGGAAGCTTTGCCTTGCTAGGAATTTCCTGGACAGTATTTAAAAGATTTAGGAAACCAAACAAAGTTGCACCTGCCGTCGGTAAGTCTGATTTCCAAACACCACAGTAATACAGCATAAAATTTCACTTTATCTATGTTATACATAAAAAACGTCTTTACAGCCTTGTTAAAGCATTTAAGTAACCAATATCAAAGAGTTTTTTTTTTCTCTTAAAAATTGGATATCGAATGAAGGTAAAAAAAGCTGGTAAATATTTTCCATCTTGACCTATCGACCCTGATTCTGGCGTTTTGGGCTCTTGGGGTGTCAGGTCAAAAGCTTTAATGTGTTGTAAAAAAGTTTGCTTTCTTCAAAGCTATTTTTAGATTGAGATGAACCAACCTGAAAAATAGAGGAGAAAAAAATTTGATATTCCACACGTGCATAATGTTTTTTATCTTATTCCAGGGAGAATGAAAAAGTTTGTTGATTCTTTTGAAGACCAATTGGAAGACTTTAGAAAGCATCTTGAACATATAACAGAAGAGATGAGTGAACAAAACTTAAATGATATATTGACATTAACCTATCTAAAGAAGAGCCTCGGAAGACATCAATTTCGTATTCAGAACTCGTAACCTATATAGTGCTTTCCTGCTCATTTTTGTCGTCTGATTGAATGTATAATCATTTCTACTTCAAACTGATGCTGATCCAAATATGTATCTGAGCATGTATATATTTTTCTTATGAATTTAGCGTTTAAGTCCTTTCGTAAATAAGTTGATGTTAAAGCGATAAATTTTTCTAGAATAGAGTAATGATTTTCTAGTTACTTAGCGTATAATTTAGATTCCAACACGTGTGCAGGAGTCAGTAGAAATCAAGCATGCTTTGACGCACCGGTAAATAGCCATTGTCATAGTGCCTTAAAAATGTGAATGTGTATAAAATAAGCAGTTTTCCATTCTTGGAATGCGTCTGATGCAGTTTGCGCGGTTGTAAAAACGTGTGCTAAAATTCTTGATTTTAGGTGGAAAGTCTCTGAAAAGTGTAGTATAAACATATTGAGAGATTAACTTGGGAAAGATCCTAGAGTTCAGTTCAGTTCAGTATTATTTTAAATTCCACTGGATACATACACTTGTTACAAATTAGAAATAATCCAAGCTTAAAAGTATAAACAATGCAAAAGGAAGTTAAATAATATAAACGTAACATAACAAATACAGAGTAGTGGAGAAACAAGCTAGTACTGTAAACAGGGAATTATTTAAAGGATGCCTTAAGAGGCTCTTTGTTAAGGCATCAGATTAACAGTTCTCGTAATGCTTGCTTAGCAAAAGTGAATGATTTCGAAAAGAGTGATTTCCTTTCTAAAATGTAATCTAGACATGAATATGTTGACAGTCAACATGACCCGAAATTGTTTATAAAGTCACCACGTCGATGAATTAAAACATTGATATTTGTAACGAATGAAGTGGAGGATAGTTCTATCCTCCCTACGGTACTGTGACCTCCTTATACCTAGTTCAGTAACTATTATGAATTTGATAATATGAAGGACTCTTTATGGTTTAATTAGTAGGTAACTTTTAAGTTTGAATTCCTAAATATTTTCTTAGTCTATGATAACAGTCGAAATTACTGCTTGTTGTTCAGTATGTTGATCAGTAACCATTTTACAAAGACTGATAAACCATTTTGATTTAATAGAAAACTCGCACGTGAAAATCGATAGTGTTAAAATAGAGCAATCCTAGCATTGGGAATTTCTCACAAATTTCGATACTTTTCCCACGGCGACAAATCTCGTAATGAAAACGAGGCAAGATACTTCCGAGCTGTGTTGATGTCAAAATGGCGGGACATTTCTCAGGTCTGTAGTCTGAATTCACTTTTATCCATAATTGAAGATAGAATTTATAAGATCTAAATATCTGCAAGTAGTTTGGGTAGGTTATATTTATCTAAAAATATTCAATTTTGGGTAGACTTATATTTAAGATTTACCACTGATGAAGTCCTTCAGGCCCTTTAAATATATATTTCCCAAAGGTTAGGTAATTTGTCTTACTAAATTTTTAAAAAGCTGTAATTCTTTTAGTTGTCTAATTTAGGGGCGGATCCAGGATTTTTGGTGACTATAGCTCAAATCTTTTGGAATGGGGACCACGCCCTCCTTGCTTGTGGGACACGCCCATATGGGCAAATAATATAACCATGTGTGTTTATAGTTGCTTCGTATTCATAAATATTCCTTCGAACATCCTTTTTCTGTCTCCAGGGATGCCAGAGAAGGGGGTGTGGGGTACAACCGCCCCTGTTGCCCATTGACAGAAGGGGCAAGGGTTGTTTTTAATAAATTTCCCTTGAAACTGGCCAATTGTAATAATCAGAGAGATTCATATGAAATTCTGAACTTCTCAAAACATGTAAAATAATTCCTTATGCCGAAAGTTAGCCAATGTTGAAGATACCTACAGATAATAAATTTGCAGTTACGTATGAATTTGTAGAAGCTGAGAATCATCTTTCAAAAGCCCTTTTACTCAAGCCTGCCCCCCCCCCCTCTTGCCACTTGGTTGTTCCGCCATCCTTGTCTATTCCCTAGTAGCAAGATAAAATAAGAGAACTAGTTCTCTTATTTTATCTTGCTAGTAGGTCCTTGCCTTTGAAGCTACATTACAGGGGACCCAGGATGTGAAAACAAGCTGTAGTCCACTGTTGCTTTACAGGGGACAGAGAGCGGAGAAGTACCGTGGATACTCATATTCTATTGGTTAAAAGGCCATTTTCAAACCTGACTATAGCTTCACTATAGCTCGCGCCAAAAATTATAGTACGGGTTTTATTGTCTTCGATGCCTTTTCCAGAGCAAATCCCCAGACTGACTATAGCTCGGAATATCCACTGTAGCTCAATTCTGGTTGGCTACTGTCAACAAAGAACGAAACTTCTGATTCGTCTAAGTTTTAATATTAGACCATTCTGCGCTCAGTGTTTTATATCTTATCTGGAGAGGCATTGTGATGACACATTGCCAGCATTGCATGTTTGTTAATCGCATTTGAATTTGATAACCTATACCGCTGCTTTCAAATGTTGAGAGGCTTGATAGCGGAAGAAGAATTAACACTTTAACTTTGAATTCCGAAAATCAAACACAGAGATTTTGACTATAGCTCAAGCTACAGTTGCTATAGTCTGGATCTGCTATAAAAAATAGTTGATTAAACCCTTAAAAACACTTTTAAAACATCCTTGCATGCCAAGGTTTCATTGAAATTTTTGTATCCATCGATCTGGCGCATGTAAGCATATTAACGCTTTTGCACGGGTCAAAACAAAGGGAATATTTACCGCCCTACAAAGGCCAATATTTTAGCCGAAAATCTTATCTATAATGTTGTTCTAGAGTATTCTTGGTTGAATATATTTGATAATTTGTAATTTATAGATTTTGTTTTCAAAATTACTGGAAAAAATCTACCAAACTGAAACAGCCATTTTGATGTATCCAATCAGGTTGAATTTAGGCCAAATCTGCCAGCTTTATTTCACCTCTTCAGTTTCAGTCAGTTTCAGTTTCATATTTTTAAGTTTTCAACATACAATCTATATATCATTAATACAATTAAATTATTAAACTAAACTACACAAGTATAAATATAAATACAGGACAAAATAATTCGTATGAAGGGAATTCTTTAAGGAGGAGATCTCTCAATAGGTAAACTAATTGAGGAGAGACTTCTTTTTGTTGCAAAGCAAGTAAAAAACTGTGAGATTTATGCAATAATCCTTATTTCTCATACAAGATATATGCTTAAAATTGCTGTGTTAGCAGCTGAAATGTGTGGTGTCCCTTTGAAAATACTTAATAAAATTTAAAGATTCATTTCAGATCCAAATAATTCATATGTTTTCAAATCTAGTAATTCATATGTCAATTGATTTATTTAACACAAAATATTTTTTAACTTTGATAAATGGCATATAAATATGATTTTGTGCTTTTTATTTAAGCGTGGCCCCAATCTCCTAATTTTTTCCTAATAAATAAAGTGATGTAAATTTCTCATTCCCATGTACATACTCAATCAGGGCAATGTGACCCTATTACACAATCATTCTTTTTTCCCTATTCACATTTCATTTCCATTTTAATCTGTTTCTTCTTTGTTATATTTTCCATCTAGCACAACTTTATGAATGTGTTAGCACCAAAGCACATTTTATGTGGTGCTCTTTCAGACCTAAATTCTAGGATATAAAGGCTAGGGCATATTTTTCAGACCTTATCATTTGAGATCTCTTTGCTAAAATTCAAATCTCTGAAAATTTAAAACTGAAAACTAGTTCAAAATAGAAATACTGATTTAAAGTTAATCTTTTACAGAATTCGGACTACTCCCAGAACTTGTTCAAGGAATTGAAGAGATTGGTTGGATGTAAGTTTGTAGGCTTTTTAAAAATTTAGAAATTCTCTGCCAAAAGTCAACAACAATGATAGGCAAGTTTGTGATTTTTGTGTTGCTGATGAATTATTGCTAGATGCAATAAATGATTCTTTTTGTTTTTAATATACTCATTTTTCTATGCAAGTCATCTTTGCTACATGTTAGGGCACTTAACTTTCAATTATGTCCAGGATACTATCTGCCAGTTTTTTGCTTTCTGGTCTTGTTTGTTAAATATTTGAATCAAATGGTTAGTTCTGATAAACCATGCTAATGGTTTAACAAAATTATTTATGAATAATATAGTTTTGAGTGGAAAAGATTTTCCATGGCCACTAGTATTGAGGTTAAACTATCCATCATGTGTAAATGCTTATTTTTCAAGCATCAGCAAGTAGAAAATATCAAAGTGTGTTACTGCAATTTTATATGATAAGGAAGCAAAATTGAAATGTTTACCAGACTTTATAGACTCCATTTATTCATATCAGTTTTCATTTTTGGTTTTGATTTGTATAGTACAATACAATGATGCTTTGTAAAATGCTTTGTAACCAGGTTGCCAACTGATATTCAAGCAGAAGCAATACCTTTGATTCTTGGAGGTGGTGATGTCCTAATGGTATGATATTCACTATTTATTCAATGCTGTTTCTTAAATTTTTTTCTCTTAATTGATTTGAAGATATGTTTTTTTACTTTTTGACATCATAGTGAACAGCAAAGGACTTTTTATTGACTACCATGGCCTCTATCAAACTTACCTATTTATTTATGTTTATTCAGATGAAATATTAACACTTTCTTCAATTTTTTTCTTTCAACTGTCAACCAATCTTTCAGGTATATTTCAACTGTCAGTTTTTTAAACAGTAATTTGAATAATAAATTTGTTCTGTGAATATTGTATGCACATTGCTCTTGGATTTTGTTTAGAGCACATTGTTGAAGCATTAGTGACTTGCTTCTGTGGCATATTTGAGGTACATATTCATAGAAGAATAATTGTTTTCGTAGGCAGCAGAGACTGGAAGTGGCAAGACAGGAGTATGTATATCTTGTCTCAATGGTGTTTATATAAAATTTTCCTATTCATGGCAAATCTCATGCTTCTTAATAAATTCTTTCAGCAAAAATGTAAAGTTGCTTTTGAATTTACCATACTATAGAGTATATTAACTTTTGTGTCAGCATTATTCTTGCAGCTGTATACTGTATCAAGGCTTCTCAGCAAATTATGTCATCCTTTGAGGAAATATTTTTGTTATTAATAAGTATTTCTGGCATTTAACTGCGTAGAAGTTTTATTATGAAAATATGCTTTTGCTTCATTTAGGCATTTTGTTTGCCAGTAATCCAAATTGCGCATGAAACTTTGAGAGATGCCAAGCAAGGGAAAAAGGTCACTACTAGCCCAACTGGTGGTAAGTTTTGTAATATCAATGTGTTATCAGTTTTCCAAGTTATAATTTGTTTCATTTGAAATTTTTAAATGAGCAAAATTTTACCTTCTTTTATAATAAGTGTATTTACAGATAATATTTCATACATTTGTTTTCCATCACAGAAAATCCACCTGTGTTCTACCACCATCTTCTTTTCTAGCATTCCAGCTCATATTTTTCTTGGAATAATATTTTTGATGATCTTGTTTTGTTGGCTGCTTTTAATGCTTTACAAGCCACACATTGTCCCATTCAAGTTCGAATCATCCAGATCAATCGCTATTTTCAAGTTTTGATACAGCCACAATTTAGTTATTCTTGTTCCAGTCATAAATCATACTACCAACTTTGTATGCCCTTTTCTAAAATCTTTAAGAAAGAAACCTTTTATAGAGAGTGTCACAAGTTCCTAAAATGATTGCCATTTGATAAAGCCATTCTCAGTAAATGTACAGACATATTTTTTGATATTCCTTATCATATAAAACAGCATTGGATCATTTTCTTTACATTAACCCAATTATTTAGATTAGTTCTAGTAGGTGCAATGTTTCCTCTAAATTATAGTCTTGTACTGGCTTTAATGTATCATTTATGTGATGGTTCTATCTATAAAAGATCAAGTTTTCATTTCTAGCTAGTTTTGTTTATGCCTTCCAGATAATTTTGAAACATAGAGAATTAAAAACACTCTTAATGATGGAGGTGGTATGCTTGCAATCACTATCTTTCTTCCAGAAGCCACCTGTGTAGTTTAATAAAATCAGTAAATTACATAGAGACCCAGTTTGAAATGTAGAGAACTTTACATAGGTTGAAACAGATGATAGCAGCAATATGTCTTCAAATTAGGCAAAATTTGTTGGATAAACTGCAAAAGATAGCTCTTGCTTTATTTCAACACAAGTGGTTTTCAAATAAGGTGTCTTTGGTAAGAGAGAAGTGATATGCATGCTTTTTTCATTGAAGCCATATGGTTTCACTTTACACCAAGATTCATGTATCAACTTCAATTTGTGTTCAAACAAAGCTTTTTTTTAAAAGAATTTCACCAGTTTTATGTTTCTTTGCTTACAGGGCCCGAAAAATGGGTTATGAGTGCAAATGACAGGGAGCCCTCTTTTGGTAAGTCGAAAGATACCTTTAGGCCAGGTAATAAGTATATGATGCCGAATTAAATGCAAAAAATGACTTTTTCCTGCAGTTGATTTTAAACATATTTTACCTGGGATACATATGTTTATACTATGCAATTGCTTTCCAATTGTCTCAGCATCAATCCTTGCCATTGCATTGATCCTGGTTATTGATTGGTTGATAGTGCCTGGTTTAGAAATAATTTCTAATGCGTGCCTGATCTAGTTTGCATGCTTATTGTTTTTGCTAATGCGTGCTTATTGTTTTCGCAAAAACGCTGTTCACATTGGTCCAAATCTGTCTAAATTTTTTACGGTTCATTGTTTTTTGTATGAAATCGGTTTTATCAATCATAATCATTTGAAAACTGTATATATTCTTTACATACTTTTGAAATTGTAGCCATTGACGATACTGGGCTATTGTGCCAATCACGGGAACATACAAAGTGGCAGGGGGCAAGGGCTGCATTGGGAGTTACAAAAGGTAAGTATGGTGTTCAGAAGCCTTAATGTGTTGCAGTCTTTTCAGGTTAGCTACTACTTCATGTATCACATAGACTTTATGCAGTTTTAAGGGTAGTTTCATGTTTTCATTTTAGGAAAATGGTATTACGAGGCTACAGTGACAGATGAGGGCCTTTGCAGAGTAGGCTTCTCAACAGCTAAAGCTACTTTTGATGTTGGTAGGCTATCAAAAAATGAAAATAATGTTTTTTGGTGCATTTTTTTTTAACTGAAGTTGAATGCATGCAATTTTATTTTATTTAAGCATCATACCTATCTCTTGAAGAACATGCTAGCAATGCTTAGAAATACAAATTTTGGTAACTAAAAATCCAGAATTTCACAAATGTAAAGAGAATCCTAGAAAGCTGAGAACTAACACAGAGTTGAGATTAGGTAGAAGAATCTGTGGACAGAATATAAAAGTAACTCTTTGGTCTACAGAACTGGACCACTTTAAATTACAGCTCCGTAAAAAGAAAAACTATGTATAGTTAATCAAAGTTAGTTAATCATTGCAAAATCGTTGGTAGTATCAATATGTTACTCTTCTTTCTGTAACCTCCGAATTTGCTTTTATAAAAGCATAATTAAAGAGCTAAGCTTTTAAAGTCATAGGCACAACCATTTTTGTGATATGAAGTGTTTTGGACAAAGTGAGCTTGAAATACGTTTTTGATGCAGGAACTGATCGAGAAAGTTTTGGTTTTGGAGGAACAGGGAAGAAATCTTTTTCAAGGCAGTTTGATTCGTATGGGGAGGTAGGGACTTGTTCTATAAAATTCGCTGACTATTTGAGTTTTTTTGCTGCTTCAGAAGTCAGATATATCCCTTATTGAAAATCATAAAGCATTTAGAATAGTTAACAGATATTTTTTGATTGTATGATTCTTTATTTTTTAGGTCGTTAAATGCGTTAGCTGGATTCATTTTTGACCTGTTTTGTGTTTCTAAGTTTTTTCATGTTCTAAGCATTTTCTTTTGCAGCCATTTGGAATCAAAGACACACTTGGTTGTTATATTGATCTAGAAGATTACACTATAATGTACAGCAAAAATGGTATGCAACCTATTTACAAGCCAACAGTACTCAAGATTCTCATGTAATGTTCATAACTGTTGTGAACTGTGCCACTTGATCTCTAATGCATCGATATTCTATTATGACTCTAATAACATCATAACAGAAAAATTATTTACGTTTTAAAAACTTGCCAGAGAAGCAAAATGCTGCATAGCATGCATTGGATGTCAGGTAAAACTAAGCCAACGCTTTTTCCTTTATTGGCTGGTTCTGGGACGCGTGTTGTTTTCTTTGGCTGTCTGAATTTGAAGTTGTTTTACCATTCGCTACCTCATACTAGATAAGATAAGTTAGTTTTCAAGTACCGCCATTCTTGCTATGCTGAAATTTTGGAACACTTCACAATTTTTAAGAGTAGTATTTCTTTGATTCGTGTTGTTTGCCATTCGATAATTACTCTTAAGCAACTTTTAAAATCGTTTTAGACCGTTTTTGACCAACTCGTAATCTTCGCAAAGAAGTTCAAAGATTTCTGTTGATTCTCTCTAAAGAATTTTTTACGTTTAGAATTTCGAAATGTCTTCCAGGAAATCTACTAGGAAGGGCATTCGATATTCCCAAAAATCTACACGGATCTGCCTTTTTTCCTTCCGTCACACTTAAAGTGAGTTATTTTATTATTATTTAAATATGTTTTATTCAATGAGATCAACAATGAGAACAGGAAATTGTTGCATTGACAAAGAAAAAGGGTCGATGCATATTTTATATTTGAGATCGTTTAAATTCATATGTTTATCAGAGTAAATGATGAAAACTTCCATCACCAGAGAATTTTCACTCTGTAATCGAAATATTTTTGCCATCATCTTACAAATACTTTCCGACTGATAATTATAATTTCTCAGCTGTTTGATACAGCACTTTTTATCGATACTTTTTCTTATGCTTATCAGCCTTTGAATTTTCAGCAATAAGAATTTTTACCCGGATAGTTCCATGAAGATTTTAACCTTTTTATGTTCTTATAACAAAAACGCTTGAGGGTAGTACAGTTTAAAGTACCCTAATCATACCTAACCTCTTTATAAAAATATAATTTCTGATTTCAAATAAACCTTCTTAAATATATTTCAGAATGCTGAAATGAAATTCAACTTTGGTGATCAGCCATTTGTGAACAACCCAGTAGTAAGTACAACCTTTCCATTGCTAACATTCACTTTTTTATTAAAGCACTCCCTAGTTTTGTTATCTTCTATTATATTTTTTATAAAACAATGTGTTGAAGAACTGCAGTGGACTTTTTTTTAACTTTAATCCATGTAATTCGCCCTTGATGCATCGTGTGTGCTCTTTTTGTTGGTTTTCCCTCCCTCACCCAATCCAATCATTGTGGATTCGTCCAGTTATCAATTGCCGATTCCTCGTAGTAGGTCCAGTTGTTGAAAGATTTCTTCGCATACAGTCGCTTTTCTCCCGTGTTTCGCCTAGACGTTGCCATTGTTTGAACATAACCTGCGAATTTCGATAATTTTGATGGATGTGCAGTTAGGTTTGCATTTGGTAACCTCTGTGAATTTTAGTCAGGTTATGCTGCAATATGCAAAGCGCCAAAGGACCTGGTTAAGAAATCACAGCAAGGTAAGCCCTTAATGCTTACCTGCGTCTTCCGTTTGCTTTTTCAATCTCATTCTGTGATTTATTTTGCTTTTTTTATATCCACGTGGTCTTTGTTTGTCTTGCTTATTAGCAAACGTATTATACCATACACCAAGGAACCATATGCTTTTGCTGAACTCATCTGAAAAGTTTAGGGCACCTTTACTGTTTTCACCTAACGGAAACTCATGATTGCCTTTTTATTTCTGTGTTTAATTAGTTATTATATTCTAAGTTATAACCCTAACCAACTTTACCGAACTTGTTGGGATATTTACAAAGATAGCAGTACTTGACAATGCAGTTCACTTTGTGTAATGTACCCTGCGCAGTGTTCTTGCCTGTTTTTTACAGTTGTGCAGAGATGCAAAAAGTCATTGACTCTCCTCCATTCCTGCAATTTATAGTCTCAACCTTTCTAATTTCAACACAATATAAAATACTGAAATAGCAGCTGAGTGGTGTTTTATATCAAACGAAAAGAGGTTTTTAGGGACCTTCATTTGATATGTTAATGTTCTAGTGCAGAATTATCATGTCATCCACATGATTTTTAGTGGTTCTAATTATTATTGATGATTTATTATCCACAATGAAAAGAGCAAGAACAACAATTTAAAACGTTTGTGTTAAAAAGCCTTTGTGCAAAGCATTATTCCATCAGACACTATTGTTGCAATTTTCATAAACAAGCTTTCTTTACTGCAATTTGTTATCTTTGGATATAATCTTGTGAATTTTGTTACCACCTACAACTATGGCCTCCTATTATAATAAAGTTTCCAGCTTCTTAATTGCTGAAAATGGTTTGGATATGCCAACTTTTGCATTTTTTACGCTGTAAGAATTCTTAGAGCATACAAGATCAATCATTTTTTTTCTACTGGTAGTTCGACGTGTTACCATTAGCAGATTTACTGCCCATGTCCTGCCTACGGCTGTCAGATTTCCATTTCCATGAAAATGCAAAAAAGGGCCTACAGATACAAATACCATTACACACTCCTGCACTATTTCTTCTGTAAAAAGGTTTTAATACTTTTTCATTTTCTTTAGCTGCCTCAACACCTGCAAAGTTTACCAATGTTTGTTCACCTTCCAGCATAATAATGGAGGTATGCATTTGCTAATTACCACTGTCCTGGAATTTATCTAATTCTACATCTTTCTTCTTTTATGAAAAATATTAGCTTTTGACAGTTTTTTAGCAGTTCACTGCATTTCCCCAGTTTTGCTACAACTCCGGATGTTACAAGGCAAAATCGTGAATATATCTTGGTTTGGCGAAGGCAGTTTACAACAGGGTCTTCTACTGAATAATCAAGAAGCTCTTTATTTATGGTTTATTAAAGAAAATGACATAGAAAAGGTCTTTTGCGGTATGCGAAATGAAAATGTCTCATCATGTTTAATGAAACTTCACTTATCTAAGCCAAAGAAATCACAAACGACATGGGTTAGTCAACCAATCTAACCCGTAGCCAGTGTAAGACGAGTTCCAAAGGTGCACCAGGAGCCGGTATTAATTTCTTCGATCTTAAATGGAACGAAATAAAAGTTTCAATGAAGTGAAAGTATAGTGTAACGATGATGCAGACATGCCTGCTTTGTTCACCCTGCTTGAATGCTTTCGGTCAATATTGAACAGTAGTCACCTAAAGTTTTATATTTGATTTCTGAAATCTTTAAAGTTTGCAAAATACTCCACGTTAATACAGCCATTAGCGCCTCTGAATAATGATCTTTTTAAAGAGCGATTAAACATTTCTTGCGACATTGTATTCTCACAAGAACTAAGTTATATTCCATTAGTAAACATTAGCAAACTTCCATTGGTAAATGAGAACAAGGACATTTTAATAAATTCTAGATCAACGTATTCAGATCAACGGCAAACCTCTAAACGTTTTTAGATCAACGTATTGAAACCTGGAATATATATCGATTAAATTTGTTCAAGAATCACTTTCTCGCGATCAAAGCCTTATGCAAGAAACCAAAGGTGAAAAGACACTTTCTTACATCAAATAGTAGCTCTAGCTTATATCCATGTCGTGTGACGGCTCAGCTACAATCCTTGACAAAAGTCCTTTGAATACCCTGCGGCCTATGAAAGATTTTGATGAAGTAAAGGTTTCCGGCCGCAAAGTACAGAAATATCCCCTCCCCCCAAAACAAGGTTGGTTGAAAATCCTATTACTTACCCTAGCTGATGCAAACTTTTGCTATTCAACATTGTTTAAAGAGGGATAGGGGGTTGCTACTGAAGTTATGCGAATTTTTAGCTTAGTGTACCAAGACTTTTGGCAAAGATTGTACATATGCAAAGCTTCATTTTCTTTAACGGATTTCTGTAGTATCGTAAAATTACAAGTCTTAGTTTTTTAGATAGTTTACATAATTTCTTTATCTGTTGGTCGACTTAATGATGATGAGGTATCCATTAAGTCCCAATTTCTTGCTTGTATTCAGAATAGGTAGACTTAGGAAACTGTTTATTGGTTACTATCTTAACTTCCCCTGTAACTTGATTTGTTCTATTTTAGCCGTCAAGAGAGCTTGCAATTCAGGTATTTAAAATCCTCTTTAATAATTTTAATTATTCTAAGCCTATTCACACCAATTAAAATCTTTTAAAATTGCTGCTTTTCTTAGAATATCATCAGTGATTGACAGTGGCTAATATACTTCCTCGAGTGCACTTATCTTTGAAATTAATGCCTTTTTCGAGCAGCAGTTGCAGCACAAACCTCTTATTCTTCAGCCTTGAAGTTGCTTGTCTTCCATTTTACACTATATTTTGAGGTAGCGATCTACCATTGCACCTTTCCGAAAAAGGAAATATCCCTTTGTAGTATCAAATGATCCTTTGAATATGTTACCATTATTTGTTTCTGCAGCTCTTCATGATAAAATTGTCTTATTTTCAGACCAACGAAAACATAAAAAATTTCAAGAAGTACATCCCTGACCCCAGGCCTACGTATGTGAATTTTTTTATAAATTCGAATTTTATTAAATGTTTTCTCAAGTTGAAGCAATTTAAGTATTTCACTTTGTTTGCTTTTTATCTCTTCGTGGCTCTGTTGATAAGGTCAATATTTCCTCTAGTTGCAAAATGATTTTGCCCTTTATTCCACTTCTCCTTTCCCCTCAACTTCCTTCCTCTCTTCTTTCCCTTTTTACTTCCATCCCCTTTCCCTCTCTCCTTCCCTCTCTTTCCCCCCATCATTCCTCCCACAAACCACTTTAAGACATTGATCAACCAATTTTCAGTTACTATTCAACCTGTTACTCTACCATTTGTTGCATAGCCAAGAAAATTTCATGTTTTAGATGCACCGTCCTAGTTGGTGGTGGTGACGCGCGAGAGATGATTAGAGATCTGGAAAGTGGGGTGTGTTTTTATCTTTGAGTTTCTCCTTTTGTCAACCAACATTCTCTCACAAATCGCATGCTATTTCAGTATTAGCTTCACTGGGCCTAACATATATTTCTAGCTGCCCTATTTGATTGTGATTCTGACGCCCTTTTTACTTTCCGTCTCAATTGTTCTAACATATACGGTGGAAGATGCAAGCACTGTTGAAAAGGCGATATGGAAAGGGCGTCAGAAAAAGTCATGTCCGCTTAAGTTTTGATTGCAGAAAGAAACTTGGGGAGTGCTGTCTGCGATAACGCCTCATTAGATAGCGCGGTGCTGAGGACTGACTTGATAGTTTTGTCATTTTCAATACCGTTAAACGTTTACCTTTAGGAAGTTCACAAGTAAGATTGAACCAAATTAATTCCTTTGTTTTCTGTTTGTTTGCTACGTAGCTTCAAACTCTTCTCTTATAGATTGATATCGTGACTGGTACACCAGGCAAACTGATTGACTTCATATCGACAGGAAAGTTGAAACTGGACCAGGTGCGTGTTTTTCTTATTCTGTTTAACAAAACTGAAACTAATGGCCTCAGTATCATACAGGCTGCAGGCTGAAAATGCCGTTTTTAGTGAACGTGAAGGATTTAAGTTCTGTTGCATAATAATGTATAGAATCAGGTGTGGACAATTCGGACTCCTGCGCACCCAAGATGACCGGTTTTTTTCTGCGGGAAACCGTTGATCGTTACGCAGGGTAGCCGCGGGGCGACCAAATGTTTACTGGAAAATCTCCACCCCAATCACCAGAATTCCGTTTTGGGAGGGCCATATGCCAGAGACCACTGAAAGAGCTGCTGGTCTCCCACCGGGGGACCACTTTTTTACCGGAATTGTCCACCCCTATGTATAGGAAAATCCTAAACGCTTGTTGGATTGCTTGTCATTATATATAGAGCATATCTTTCCAATGTAATGCAGATTTTTAACACGCTTTGCTTCTTCTCTTCAATCAAATGAATGCATTTTGTTGCCAAAATTGAATTTCTTCCATCTGCCATTGTTGCAAAATTTCCAAACCCGATTTTACTGCGGTTTGTAGTTTTTGTAAAAGTGTGTAACATTACTTGTGCCTTTCTGCCTCACAATCGAACTCGTTTCAGTAGACGCTTTTCAAAGCTGGAACATTTTCAACACCCTACAGACGGTCGTTATATACGTTTTAGAACCCATGATACCGATGATACCGATTGGGTTTTGGATGTCATTTTTGGAAAGCTGTTTCCATCAATATGCATTTACTACTAACCAATATACGTTGGATGTAAATTGCAACCCCGTTATTGCTAAAGCCGACACGATGACGTATAACTTTCCGAAATTTGCATTGTCTCTCCCAACAATGCAATTTTTCGTGTAAAGTGTAAAGTGTCAAAAGTAAAGTGTCTTTGTTTTGAGATTTGAGAAATTCTTTAACCACGTTTCACTTCTTTCCGATGCATTCAGATTTTTCCTTTTAATTTTGTGTATTTTATTTTTTGCCGGCAGGTTAGGTTCTTCATTTTGGATGAAGTTGTGAGTATATTTGTGAACTCTTATACTTAATTCATTTTTACTTGATTAATTAATGCTGAAAAAGGTTTCATGCCACCATAGGTTTCACGTGTTCGGTTTGAAAAGTTTTCAAGAAACTGCGCGTCTCTTGGAGGACAATAATTTGTCATTGATCAGAAATGACTTCCTTGAGTTCGTTTTCAAAATGTTTTTGTAAAATCTTAAAAGTATTTTATTATTTAGCAAAAATTTGTTTTTTAAACAATTAAAGTTTGGCACAGATATTGTAACTTCTATTAAAGCGTTCGAAACGCAAAATGTGTTCTCGGTACAAAAATATGTTATACCTAATGACTAAAGAAAATTGAAGAGCCTGTTAATCAAAGCCCTGTTCACACCGGATTCATTTGCTATCGGATTGCATTTCGTATCGGAATGGCGCTCTGTTCACACAGCAACATTTGAATCCGATACGCCATCCGCATCATAATGCAGAGCGAAATCACTCAGGATTGGATGTGGTTAGTGAGTGTATTGGATTCGGATTACGGTCGGGCTTGTGGCAATGCATGAATCTGATACACTATCCAATGCACTGCAGAGCGTAGCGCCATTCACATAAACAGAACTCATTTGAATCTGGTATCGTTTGAACTACCTTGATGTTCCAATCGGATTTGGTTAGCTAATCTGAATCTGATACGTAAGAAATCCGTTATAGTATGAACAGAGCCTAAGACTGATTTGAGCTTTGCCCCATCAGCTCGATATCTAGATAATACATTCTTGTTAACAGCAACAGTTAACATTTGGAATACTTCTTGATTGTATTTGCATTCTAAGTTAAGGGAGATGCCTTTCGGTAATTCTAAGACATGTACAAGAAATCATGTTTTTTTCTAATAAATTTTGGTATATATATTTTTGCAAAAGATACTTGGTATATATTTGTGTATATAATTGAACAAAATTTGATATACTGACATTGCTCAAATTTGTGAACTTTTAATTCTTTACAGGATGGGCTTCTGTCTCAAAATCAGTCAGAAACGATCAAGTCTATTTACAATAAATGTCCGAAGACCTCTATGGATGGAAAAAGACTTCAGGTGACAATAACAGACTAATACTTTTAAGCAGTGGCGGACACTTGGGGGGGCAAGCCTATTGTATTAATAAGATGACACATTTCCCATTGTTTTAGAACAAAATACCATTGTTCTCTAAAGTATTGGGGGGCGGTCGCCCCCCCTCGCCCCCCAAGTGTCCGCCACTGCTTTTGAGTTAAATGTATCGCATTAACCTCTTCAAAAAGTGAGGAAAGAGCCTTCGTTTCCTTTCTGCTGTACATTGTTCTCATTTCGTACTGCAACTACTGCCCGTTGCTAGTTAAGTTCTTCAATCTGATCTGTCCGACAGCAGCCTAAACCTTCTTAGGATTCATTTGAGATACATAGGTAACACGTTGATAACAGGAAAAAAATTAATTTTCTGACGTGACATACCTGTCAAAACATTTCTTTAATTAAATAGATTAAAATATTAATGACGTCATCTTGTTTATCATTTTGAAGGAAATTTGTTAACCTGGTCGATTGAACTTTATTTTTAGATGATTGTCTGCTCAGCAACTCTTCACAACTTTGATGTTAAAAAATTGGCAGTGAGTCTTTTTGTATCTGTTTTTTTCTCACGAAATGCTTATCTGTTGTTATCAAGTATATAGATATTTGCAAGATATTTTTAAATACTTACAAAAAGACGAATAGCTTGGAGATACTATTCAAGGTGTTTTTATATGTGATTGACCGGTGAAGAAATTCTACGTTTTATGCCTTTTTTCGTGCATGCTTTTTGGATTTTAAGTCGGTGAAAACATAGAGATTATCAAAACAGAATATTCTCATCAAACAGAACATTCCTTGTCATATTTCTAACTCAAACAATTTTGATAGCAAATGTAACTAGAACACGGCTAAAGAATCAGTTTACTTTAGCTAGCACTTTTCAATGTGTTAAACTTTGCTGTCTTGAGACTTTAATTAAAGGTTAATTTATATCTAGGAACAACTCATGCACTTTCCTACGTGGATCGATCTCAAAGGCCAGGATTCAGTCCCTGATACGGTTCATCATGCTGTATGTTATATATATTGTGAATTTAATGTTAGGTTTTAAGTATAAGTTATTGAGTATATAAAACATTTTTAGTACTTTCATCATTAGTTACAAAATTTTTATTTTTAGTTGCAGGGAATAATTTTAAAACAGTTACTGAACTAAATTGTAACCCCGGATAAATAGTTTTAAAATTAAAATGAATTGCAATCATTCTGTTTATTGCAAGAGTATCAACAATTTTAATCTGGTTCATCATCTGTTCCGTGTGCTCCTAAAATCATCTTTATGTATTAATATGAATTTTCGAGGAATTTACAGTATTTTAAGACCATTTTGTACAAAACCGTGTTTTTCCTGTTCAAGAGAAAGTTTTAGAAAGGTAAAAAATTTATAAGCAAACTTTAAAGAAATATTATATGGTAATGGATTCTAATAGGAAGACTGTATGAGTTTTTAAATCTGTAACACTTCGTGTTTTTCATTTCGGTAAACATGGAGGTAAGACATGTTCGATAATAGATAGACACTGCAAGCCGTTGGTCCGTCATTTTTTTGTGTGAATTCTATTTATCTGTTCTATTTTCAATAAAAGTTTCTGCAACTGGCTCTCTTTTCAGGTTTGTAGAGTTGACCCTACCAAAGACAAAAGTTGGGCCAGTCTAAAACACCAAGTTAAGGTAAATATGCATATTTTTGCCTCATGTATGGTGCTGTCATTGCCTTTCAGGAATTGCCTTTAGGGTTGTAAGTAATAGTGTTGTTTGCAGATACTTTTCATTCACCGTGATGAATTTGTGATCAGCTAAGCAGTAAGGGGAACGACGGATTTTGTGACGATATCACTAAAGCGTAATTAGTCACCCTCTGCACCAACATTTGCTAGAGACTACCTTCATCTTTTGCTACATCTCATTGTGTTTTCGCTGTTAGTGCATTCCCAAATTAAAAATCCCTGCATCCCAGGCGTATAGCAACTATACATAAAAGTACCTGTGCCCGATGATCGTCTCTAGTTAGGACCAATCTATTCTAAACACCAAAGCATGTACCACATGGCTTCTAACTCTCTGCAATAAACCAGCTAAAGGCACATAAACCCTTCATGTCCACCAAGCTAGATGATTTGCTTACGCTTTCGCAATTCAGCAGTCATATACTGCCATAGAAGCGTTCCTCCATCTTCTTCACTTTGCAAAATTTGTCGGTACTATCACAAGCCACACACTTGGTGCGAAATAGAAGGCGGCCAAACATAGAGGTTTGCTAAAACAAAATCATTTTACCGACAGCAGTTAAGGCAGGTCTTAATAAGGTTAACATAAGTAATTTTCCTGTTCGACTATCTCGGAAATTGACTAGATCCAAGAGGTTTTAGCAACAATAACTCCAATTTTTGCATATAACCTTGGTAATAAACATTCATTTATAGCATCGCTAGCTCCCTGTTATTTTTTGACCATAAAATGTTTCCTGTAAGGATCTTGTAAAGGTTATTTTTTTTAGTTGTTTTTTTACCTTCTAGACTGACGGTATCCACGAAAATGATAAACTCAATCCTAGAAGTTTAACCCCAGGTTAGAGTCTTTGGCTATAAATGGTGTATTTGGTTTTTATTAAGCTGTTGTTTCTCCACTTTGAGGAATTTTAGGCTAGAAATACTGTCCGTTATCAGGTTTCCTTTCCCAGAGTCTACTCTTCCAAAACTTTGACCGTGATGGAACAAAGCCGTATGTCCGTTATTCAGAGGCGCTCGCTGAAAAGAGGTCATTTAATGGATAAAGCCTATTCGACTTCAGAAATTTCTCGCTCGTTGATCAGTCCTCAATCGAAACTGCTCAAATTTATACAAGTGATTCAGACCGCCTTGTTGGTTCACTTCAGTTATATTGATTACATTCTCAACAACTTTGTTGATGATGATGATGCATTTGTTGGGTTTTAATTACTTACAAGCTTGCTATCTTATGTCAATGTCATATATCTTATAGAAGAAGTATCTATGCAGCCTATGTCACCAATTTGTTTTCAAGCAACATGTCGTGCCATTTTACCTCTCAGATATCCATAGAATGTTGGTTCAGTACGGAATAATATGCATTGCCCCACAAAAAGGCCAACCCCCTTAAATGCCCGGCTCAGTGCCCCTCCTTATTTCAAGCCATCCTAGAATTCAGTTGATATGAAAAAAGGAGATAACGCATAAGCCACGAAATCCAACGGTTTTGTTTTTGCCATAAATTGGGAAACATTTCAAAGGTACTATTTGTCTAAATACTTCCCAAGTTTTGTCACTTTTTGATAACTCTCAAAAATTACCCTACAATTTTAAAATCATTTTTAGGAAATCAGAAACTATATCTTGTTTATGCTCGATATTTTGTTACTAGAAGATAATTTTTGTGCATTCTAACGAAATGCAAAATTAGTAGTAAAGCCTTTTGTGAGGAATCCCCTTTTTGATGACGTCTTTTGCGTCTTGTCAATACCGTTTATTTGCATTAACTAGAAATGAAATCCGAAGCGGTGAAGATACTCAAGGCAGAATACTTGCTGAAAGCGATTGAGGAACATAAAATGGATCAAGCCATTATATTCTGTAGAACGAAATTGGATTGTGATAATTTGGAGCAGCACATTATTGCCAAAGGCGGTGGTGATTACTTTTATTAAGAGTTTTTCTTTGTGTTTAATTGGGCTTTGTAATGTGTCGATTTCCAATATCCTTACGATCAGCAAAACGTTATGTTTTCATCCATCTTAATTCATAGCAAGTCAAAGAAACATGCCATTTTGCCTTCGAAGTTAATTCTGTCAGAATTGCAAGCGATAAATCCTAAAATTTCTTTCTAATTCCGCTCTTTTATCGACTTTGTATTGAATATTCTTGCAAACTAAGAATCATCTGATGACGAAATTTCACTTAGCCATACAATGATATTATTTTTTGTTTGTTTAGGAAATCGTAACAACAATAAGTATTCTTGCGTGTGTTTGCACAGTGATCGAAGCCACAAAGAGCGACAGGGCAATCTTGCGGCTTTTAAGGTATTAAATGTATTGAGAAATTTTTTTCTCTTTTTCCTTTTTGATTAAGTAATCTATTAGACACCTGCCACATTATTTTAGAAGCTTAGGCAGTGGAGTTTGCTGCAAAATAATTTTTCTGCTGACGTCTAATAATTTTTGTTGAAAATGTTCTTGGATCCTGTTTGATGTCAACAGAAAATATGAGAATGGGGTTTTATAGCTGTTGTGATTGTCGAGAAGGGTGTTGCTCAACCCCGTTTAAACAAACCTAATCCCGAAAATCGCAAGGGGGGGCACGCAAAATATAGACATAACGATATTTCATAAGTCGATTTGTCTTGGTCAAACTTTTGCCCAAAGTGATATGTTGAGTCAAAGACGGGTCCGAAATGATATTTCGGGATTCAAAAATATAGCAAATACATCTCTGATGTAAGTAAGTGTCAATTTTAGAGAAAGTGATATTTTTGTTATGGAGAAAAGTCAATATCTAATTCAAATGAACTATAATTTTTTGATATTTTTATAGAAGATGCCAGTAGAGCTGATATTTTCAGGTTTTAACAAATAAATATAAGCCGATTTTTTGGTGCCCTCGGACACGCTGCCCCCCCCCCCCCCCCCCCCCCCCCCCAAATTTAAATTTCTCTTTGCGATGAAATTGGAAAATTGAAAGAAATTATATTGATAGGGTATTCATATGCACTTTATGTTATATTTGGGGCAAGATTTTATTCTTTAGAAATGAAAAAGATGCCTTTCTTACATACTGTAATATCCTGTACATTTTAGAGTGGAAAGGCAAAATTTCTTATATGTACTGATGTTGCGGCAAGAGGTATCGACATAAAAGGCATACCTTTTGGTAAGTAAATTAATTTGATATCAGCTGTTTACATTGAGCGGAACTATTATAGTTTACTATAAAGTATAGGATTCACCTTATCTTGCAGAGAAATGCAAGAAACTTGAAAAACTAGTTCCTTCACTTGTCTTTTTATCTGAGATCCAAAAGTGATTTTATCTATAAGTATCATCTACTGCTGATAATCTTCTCAGTGCTATCACATTGCAACTATTTGACTGTTTATTCACAGCGACTATATATCTGTAGATCGAAAAATGTCCTGGTTCGTCATTAAGAGGCCATCAACCTAGAGTTTATAGTTGTGCCAGTTGCTCGATCAGTTAGTCGGCTTCTTTCAAGTTTTTTTCAAGTCAGCTTTTTTGGTTAATAAAATTGCTTGCTTATGTATTGGTCAAATGATATCTGTTTTTTAAAAAATGTGCCTATTGTGGAGCTTTTTCATATTTCATTTTTGCATTTTAGTCATCAACATCACCCTACCAGATGACAAAGCCAACTATATTCATAGGATTGGCAGAGTAGGCAGAGCTGAGCGGTACGTGGCGTCGCCTTTAAAATCTAGATGTTTATTTTGCTGTATTGAGTATTGGGCATCTACAACCGCAAATCTGCATGAAGATTCCATTATGTGGAGAAACTAAGAAGAGTCATGTGCATTGCAGTGTGGGTATTTCGCTTTGAGCCCTGGGATACTTTTGATACCTGCCTGCAGCATACGAAACAGTTTTCAATGTATTTCAACAACCCTATACTTCAAAAACCTGGTAAAGGAACATAACATACTTTGCATTTTTCTATCATATATGGCGGGCATAATGCTGAAATGAGAAATCGTTTTCGTTTCGTCTTGATATTTTCAATAGATACTTGTGGCCGAAAATAAATCGTAGAATTTTCGGCCATATGTCTACATAGTTCTTTATTTATTATAGGATGGGCCTAGCACTCTCTTTTGTATCTGCTGAAAAAGAAAAGGTAAGACCAATGCTTGTCAATCGAAAATCCATATAGACTTTTGTATTAACAAATGCACCAGGACCCTTATCATATAAATTTAAAAACCTGGATGCAATTTTTGAGAATCTGACTCTCTTTTCCATTCTTAGTAAGGGAATGTTTATTTGGAAGAAGGTATCTATATTGAATTGGGGAAAGTGTGCGAATTCACAACATCATCTGTAAAATGAACAGCAAATTAGATTTCAAGATGCACTCTTTTACTGCATGTACTTGGGGCTTGTTGCAGATATAAAAGAAGGCCATTTTGGATTATCTGTTGAACGATCTGTTTGAAATTGTTAATGCAGAAATTTCATCAGAAACCTAAGCCTTTCTTTCCATGACCAGTCTATTTTCAAGCTTTTTGTGTCTGTTTCTGAGAAAGATAGCTCCTTTTTGTGTTGCTTGCTTGCATTTATTGACGGTTTTCTCACAGGTTTGGTACCATAAATGTGAAAGCAGAGGCAGGGGCTGCTACAACTCAAGGCTGTTAGAACAGGGTGGTTGTGCAATTTGGTACAACGAGATTCAGGTAAGTAAAGAGAAACCTCTCTTGCATTGATCCCGTTATTTTAAAAGGTTATGTCACATATTGACAAAGTTTATTCCTAACTCGTCTTACTGCTTTCATACTAGACAAATTGCAGGAACAAGCAGTTCCCCTGGTTCTGTTCAATGCAATCTTTATATTGACAGTGGGAATATTTTTTTGTGCGCAGTGTTTAGCAGACATCGAGGAACATCTTGGAGAGACAATTAGCACAGTCGAACCCGATTTCAAGGTTCCCACGAATGAGTTTGATGGAAAAGTTACGTACGGTCAGAAAAGATCAAACAAGGGTAAGTTAAGAGGAAAACATACAGTTGTTGCAACTGTACCTATGGCTCACTGATACTTAAGCTTTCAAAACACCGTATATACTAGGATATCTCTATGATTATTGAGATGTTTCATAACAAAATTCATCAGGAAGTTCAAATTTTCACATTTTTTGAAAGGGTCAACCTCAACAGTCATTGGCTCGTGTTTTCTGATCGGCCTATTTCGATCCACAACTGGGTATATATATTTCCTAGCGTAGAGTTTTCTATCTATGTTCTGACGTTTTATACTCTAAAGGGTGTCAGACGTAAAACTTAAGTATGACTCAAAATGTTTGCTTTCTTCAAAGCCATTTTCAAAAAGGGAAAATGACGCAACAACTTTTTTGCCTAAACTTCAAGTACGCTTCAAAACCTTTTTAAAATTCTCAATAGGATCTCGTTTGAGAATTGAAAGATATTTAAAAGACACTCCTTTATAAAACGATTAAACAGAGATAGTATTTTGCATTAGGGGTAGAAATCGGCACAATTAACCAAAATGTAGTGAATACAATTTATCACATTCTTGTAACGATCATTTGCCTATATTCCCCGCTAATAATAATTTTTACTCGGTTGCTTTTCAGTTGGTAATTTTTCATATCATACTCAAGAAATTGCATCTTCGGTTAAAGAATTAGCTGCGCTGGAGAAGAAGGCTCAGTTGTCATATTTACAATTGAAAACTAATTGGCAAAAGACAGCTGCTTAAAGCTTAGGTATCTAATATTCTAATTATATTGTGTACAATGAATTTCATATTATAATCAGAAGCGAATCGCACGCAAATGTTGAAGATTGAAGCCTTTTTCATGTCTTGATATCATACTATGACACCCCGATACTATAACATTAAGCTAAACTAGGCATCCATGGAGTCAAAAATTTCAAAACATGTTAAACTATTGATTTGCTAGAAGGCATACCTCTGAGTTTCGTTCACAGGAAGCGTTTCCGAATACCTACTGTTAAAAGGAGTAAGTTAAAGGGGCCAGATGTTTACTGAATCATTTTCGCAACCATTTCTTCCGTTGCACGAATTCAATTTATGGCCTCGTTTTGTGGATGAGTGGAAAAATTTTTGTACGACTTTTTGGACTCAGACTAGTATAAATTACCATGTTTTATGTCCAGATACCATTTTTATATCTTTTGTGCTTGATTTGCAGGTTTTCTTATGTCTAAAACTTATCATAGTCTCGACTTTTACAATCGTTTCGGGAGAAACTTTTCATTATCAGTTATCAATCATGGCAAAATCCCATTCATGACCTGACAAAGTCAATACATGTCTGGCTAACATTGAGGTCCTAGATCCAAATTCTGAAGTATTTTTTAAAACGACACCGCAAACTGAATTGTTGCTCTAAAAAGATTGTATGTTGCCTCAGATCAAAGTATCTGTCTTCCTAAATTTTCAACGTTACCTCAAGTATTCCTGAAATTAACAAATCTCTTGAATCTTTCGTTTATTTGTGTGACTGTTCCTTAGACGTAAATACAATAGATTTCAACCCTTCTGCTTTGGGGAATCATCCCACAGTTACGTCCTTTCTGTTAGATCTTCCATTTTATAACGGTGCTAATGTATATTTGCTAAGGTTCAGCTTGCCAGTCTATGAGTCTCCCTACATTGTATCAGACTATCTAACAAACAAGACTGGTATTTTTTAGCTTTACACTCATTCTCTTTAAAGAATACACTTTATAAGAACACGTGGCTCGCATTGCTAAAAAAATAAGAGCAACATAAGAACATTTTCGGATTCAGATGGAAAATTTTTAGTAAAAGCAATGTGCTTTTTCAAATTTCATGTTAGCAAAACTGTGCTACAAAAGTTGTCATGCAGAACTGTTTTTTTGGAAACAATTTATGACGTGCAGGGAAGTCGATGATGAAGTAAGAGCAATATTTAGAACACCCGAGCCTCAAATTATCCAAAAAATAAAAATGTCGAGGTTCTGCACAAAGTATCTGGTCTTTATATGAAAAATGAGTGCATTGAAAGTAAAAATGGATTGTTTTTAAAGTGAATGTTGCTGTGATATGTAGCTGATGCCCCGTAGGCTTGTTCAAGATACTACTAGATTGTCTTGTGTCTTGTCCTGTGTCCCAGTCCACAAATATGGGTTTTTACTAGACTGTGTCCCAGTTGACAATTTGGAGTGAGGCATTTGTGGCATTTGCAAACTGGAGCACAGGCTAGTGTTTACATCCCTGAAGGAAAATGATGTGAAGGAAAATGAAACTAAAAGTTATGAGGTGTTTTCTGCTGTTAATTGGTAGTCAGTTTGCCTTGCGGGTTGTAAAAATGGCTTAAATTATTTTTATTATCCAGGGTCTATTGTCTAATTTGTGGAGAAAACAAAACATAGTGTGCTCATTCCCCGTACAAAAAATGTGCTTTTAATAATAAAACAAGATGTTATAGATGACATAATGAATACCTATCGGTTTTGTTCTGTGGCCATTTATCATATTAACAAGTCCAATATAATTAGAATGTAGCGTTTTCGTCAATGAATCAAAACTATTGAGTGCTAATCATGTGTTCTAAGATATAAGAAACTAAATTATGATTTGCGATAATGTGGTATTTGCTTCATGTTTTTGAGCAGCATGTTGTGTTGGTGTTTGCGTACCGTTTACGTAAAAATAATTAAATTCGGAAAATTAACCTCAAGTTGATGAAAATTTCGCTTAGAATTTGAATGCGGTACATTGATATTCATACGTGCTGCAAAGTGTGATTTGTTAGCCAATTGCGTGCTGAGTCGCTATTTTTGCATACGAAGCCTATCTCTCGAAAAATTATCCAATAATATGCATTTACAAGTTAAAGTTAGGGTCATGTAGGGCTAGAGTCAAGGTTGGCATCGGTTCAGAATTAGGATAGAGATAAAGACAAAATACATATCCTATGTCTATGTAACTTGTAAACATATGCATAATATCACGGTAATAGAGAAATATTACATTCGATATTATCTGTGTTGTTGAATGATATTCTCTGGCCCATTGTTTTAAACTCTACCCATATCGAAGTCGAGAAAAATCATCTTGGACCGTTGTGTCTGCCTTTGAAATTACCTTGGGCTTGTGTGAGGTTCGATTGCGTGACCAGCTATGTCCTGCGGTCATAAAGCAAATCTGAACAAGGGACTTGAGGTTCTTTGTTCTCATTTTGTATTTAATAAAAGGAAAAATGTTTGTAAATGATACATAAAGAAGGCAGACCTTAAACTCTTTTGTGTTGAAAAAGTTTTATTGTTCGTCCAAAGATAACGCTGCGTTCATTTACACGGTTACTCAGTGAAATGAACTATATCCATTTTAAAGAAAGCTGCCTATTAAAAAGACAATTTTTCTAGCTAGATACCATGTGACCCATCTGGAAGGGTGATAAAAATATTCAATGCAAGTCATGGTAGTTGGCATAAAATTATAATATTGCGGAAAATTTACTCTAGTGGAATTTAGTTAACATATTTCACTTTCAAAGAAAAATGTTGTTTAGTTTGCAAGGCAGGAAGGATTTTCTTTTTATTGTTGTAAAATATAGGGCATTATTATCTCCAATGAAACATTTACAAATGTGAAGTAATTTCTTAGAATTTTCAAGCCAGTAATGAGAGTAATTGCTCAGCTGTATCAGTGATCAATTCTCAACAAATATTTTTTGACAAAAAGTAGCTATGTTATATACTGTTTTTTTTAAAACAAGATTCTTTTAATTCTTCATAACAAATGGAAAAGAGATTTGAAAAAGTGTTTCTTACAGGTACTGTAACATTTGAAAAAATTATGTTTTCAGTCGAGGGGAGAACACCCCATGAAAATCACGTACACCGACGTAAGTCCTTTTTCGTGGACGTCTTGTACACTAATAGTGAATTACCCCTCGTTTCCAAGAACCAGAAAACATACACTCACCCCCACTCACTGAGTACGTTGTTCATTTATTCTATATGTTCCGATAAATGCCCCTTAAAGGGGCATTTAAAAGAGGGCTATTTCTCGCACTCTATCATTTTGAGGGGGTTGTTCAGTCGAAGGGCCTGAGTAAGAAGGCGTTTATTGCAATCTGGTATCAAGACTGGCATTAAAATGTTCTGTTACTTTTCGCATACAAATGTTTATTGACATGGCCTGGTGTATTTCAAACTTGATATGGTCAGCTTCCTTCAATTTGATTAATATAGTGCCGCCTGCATCCGTTTTTTCTCGCCATACCAGGTCGACTGCAATATCAACATCTGTTTAACAAAATCAGCTGATCAGATGGTAACTTGTAGAGTCACGACACAGGATAGATATTGACAATATCTATTTTGTGGTTACGAGATCATAAGCTCAAGTATTTTCTGCTTTTAGGCAGCATTTTCCCTGTGTTTACGTACCCGAGTACTATTTCTTATTGGCCTGGCCCCTGGTAGCCAGAACATTTCGATACACGTTAATTCAGGGGTAATATTAATCCATCTTGGAGTTTTGCCAAAAATAATTGATTTCATCACACACATGAAAACTCGTAAATTTTAAAGTACCAAAAAAATCCAAAATTACTTATCAACAGCTGAATATAGAAACATAACGATAACCCTTGAGTTTACAGTGGCTTTCCTAATTCAAGCAGACCGTTGCCCACGCGGGTGAGTATGATGATTATTATGTACGTACATGTTTCAGATTGCGTGACCACTTCAGCCCGCTTTCTTTCCGCCTATTTGCTTAACAATAAACATGAACAGTTAAAATAATTCGATAACCTGCATTTGCTAAAGATATCATGTAAAACAAGGCTTCTAAGGGGCGACACGCTGGTGACTCGTGTTTATTACAGTGACTAAAGCCGACGAAAAATGTGGGACATTTAATTGTTGTATTTTTTTATCATTGAAATAACGATGATGTTGTTACAAATCTTGATTCGTTAAATTCATATAGATCAGATTCAAGGAAACAAACTTAGCAAAACTGAGAAGGATCAGGGGATATTACTCCACTGCAGCCGGGCATTCTGTTCTGTTTTTTACAATTTCGCTAATAGCAGATCTGTTTACTTGTGTGTGGGGTAAAGACATTGTTGGAACGACAAAATTGTGTGAAAACACCTGTGTCTTTGTTGCAGGGTCCTATATCGATCAAAGGCCCCGGCACATCCTTGGCGACACCTTTTCACAGTTCTCCCACAAGGGAATCTATTTTTTTTAAACAATTCTATTTTATTTATTCACGATTTTAAAAAGCCCGAATCAACAATTCATTACTGTAAAAATTCCCATACACGGAGACATAAAGCCCATTCCCGTATATGATTGCCATAAAATAAGATTTCTATAACCATGTCTGTTAGTGGGCCGTGGTGGTACGGTGGATTGCTCCCGACCCATTTTTCTCTAATGTCTTTGAAACAGATTGTCCTTGGACACGGGTTTTCTGAAAAGATTATATACCTGTAATGCCAAGAAGATACCCTCTAAAAGCCATAGCCAAAGAACACATCCCAGTCAGTTTTGAGGGGGAGGGGGGTCCGATAACTCATATTTCTCCACTCTATCATTTGATTCAACCAGTTAATGCTGTTGGTGATTGCTGTACAGTACTCGATGACATGTAATTGATTGAATCTCGAGGTAGAAGCATAAATCTGCCCTGTTTTCACATTAGACCGTGAAAACACTTCATTATTCAAAACACAAATAAACCTCTGACAAAACCATAAGAAGATGGCGAAATTAAGTTTGAGATTTCAAATGTGAAAATGAGACAAAGTAATCATCAAATCCTGACTTTAGAATAAAATGCAAAATCAGCTGTATCTGGAACAATTTGGCTAAGGTTTGCTAGCGAAAGACTAAGGTTTTTAGAACCAAGACCAGGTTTCAGTGATTTCTTATGGAAGGAGCTTGCGTCCGTGTAGGAAGTTTCCGGAGAAGTATTCTGGTACAGTGAGATAGGTATGCTCGGGGTACTTTATAGGTTTAGAATTTTGGTTAAAAAATAGTTTTTGTGTGATCTACTTGTTCCAATACCTATATTGGGCAAATGATTTCCAGGGATTTTAAGATAAAATGTTTAGAATTGTTATTAATAAAACTATCATCTACCCTTTGGCTGTCCAAATGCAAAATCCCACAAAAAGAGATTTAAAAATGATATCGTCAACCAGACATACTCGCTCTGAAAGTTTCAGAGAAACTTTACCTTTAATTCTGATGCAATTTTTCATCATACGCAAAGTTTTTTGGGTTTTAATGGCGTTGTTATACTTTTTAGATATATTTTAAAATTTTAAAGTTTTTGTTCTTATTTCTGTTCTAAAAACATTAGCATTAAGCTGACCAGCAAAGGTATGCAACGATTTTAAAAGGGTTTCACTGGATACTCCGTTTCGTGGTGCCTTTTTGGCATTTTTGTCAATCCATGCAAAATCTGAATTCTGGCAAGTCCCTTTGGTCATAGTGCTGCAAGAAAGCATTTATGCTCTTTATTTGTTCCTTCGTTTTTCGCCTCTTGCCTCCCAGCCTCTGCAACACTATCATGTCCCAAAAAGTCAGCTAAAGTGAAGTTACAGCTTTTTTGACACGATCCTTATGCTTTTGCAGGTTAAAATCAGTTATAGCAACTTCATTTAACAACTTTAGCAACTTTCCCCTTTTAATCTGTTTTCGTGTTCTCAACTAAGTCATGTACATAGTTTTTTCTTCATATTCGAAAAAATTTCGAAGTCATAAACTTGTCAGTTTTACCTCAGAAACTATTATCATTTTTATTTTCACAGCATTTGCCACTGGGCCCGAAAACTGCTTTGTTTATCTCAGTGTCCTAGGCAAAACCTCTATTTAATTAAAAATAGGATAATAAGATGTAATTTTTTAAAGCAAATTATCAATTTTTCCTTTATCGTAACCAAATCCTATTCTTTTAAGTAACTGTTGTCAAATTATAATGAATTTGAATTTGAATCATTACACTTCTATTTTGAGTCCAGGCTAACTGTTCTTAATTTTTTCGAAAATCTGAGGCTGGATTGTTCTTAACTTGTTCTTAATCTTCTAGGTTGTAAGCAGTGCGAGTGCTAGCTTTCTCGCTTTAGGGATAGGGAGGAAGTCAGGCCCGATGATTGGTCAGGTCTCATTTGTCAACAAAGTGAGTGAGAAACCTTCGTTTGCTGACAGGTTTGAATATTCACCGAAAAAGCATCCACACATCGCTAAAAATCCTCGTTTATGAGAAAAAATGTTGTTCAAATTGTATTTTGCAAAAGCTCAGCCTCAGGTTATTCTTAATTTATTCTCAACTTTTGGCCAATTTTGAGGCTCGTGTTCTTATAAAATCATTTTTATGAAAAAAGAGTGTAGTTACATAAACATAAACGCCCCCACTCTTTTTTAATGAGAGCAATATAATTTTACTGAATGACAACTGTTTTGATTTCTTGGATAATTTGTGGCTCGGATTTTTCTAATGTTTTTCTTATAATATTATTGATTATTCTGCAAGTGCATACTATAAATTTTCAATACCACTAAAAAACGGTTTACAGGCTAATTTTTCATTTGAGGATTGGTATGTTTTACACTGTTAATGTAGCTCAGCTTGGATACCCATTCTCCTAGCTGCTAAATCGCACGAGTTTTAACAAAATTTAGGCTTTTCTTGTCACTAAATCTTGTTTGAAAGGGGCGCAGATATTATTGGAATAACTTTAGAAAGGTCAATTAGATTTTTATCAAATCTTAGCGATATCTATGAGGAAGATAAACAATATCAACCGAATATCTAAGAGACGAGTCAGAGTGGTTTACGATCGCGGCCAATGACCGCCGTCGGTTTACGGGTACGTCTCAATGGATGCACGTGAGATGGCAGGAAGGAGCTATGTGTACGTAGTCTGGATGAAGCAGTCACGATTTTCAAATTTCCTTTCTTAAAATTGTTTTCCGGTCTGTGCTGGCAAAATATGTGCTGGTATTAACACATCACGTCCTCGATTTCTTTGACAAGTCTCTTCAAACTTCAGGGTTTTCAATAGCAGCTGATATTTTTGTCATTTAAAAACGTGTTTAAATAGAAAACTTGAGTTTTATATGTGTGCATACTCTAGGAGGGATCTGACAATCCTAATCAAATTACCAAGCAAAACCAAATCTAATTGCTGTTGCCAAGGTAGGTGCCTAGAAAACCCCCCAGCCGCTGCGGGATGTGTGCTGGGATCTGCTGTTGCCCTTGTTCAGTTTGCTTAGCTGATATGTAAAAGATAAAAATGCAGAAAGCGAAATTCTCATGGCATCAGGTTCATTCATGATTCAGTCATCAGAACATCACGCAAGAGTTTTCGGTAGATGTGCAGCAGATTCTTTCATTTCGTGATGGTGTTGCGGTTATTATTTGTATTCTTCTGGTATACAGAAGCCGGGGTATCCCCAATGGCATCTCAAAAGAATAGAAGTAAATCCCATTGGTTAAATTTTGACATTTATCAATGTTTTGAATGACAGGTACATGATTGTACATAATGCCAAACCACGTGAACTACCTCTGATTCGATTGTTTTAGTCACTGGCGCCTAGCACAAACACTACGCATTTCCATTCCATACAATGAGAGGCTAGGCCACTCATGTCTGTCGAAGATCGTTACACAGCCCAGCTCTTGGGCGAAAGCCTTGGAAGCCTAGCTTACAAGTTAGACAAAAAGCCAGCAAATGGAGGTGTATGGACAGGATTTTCAAATGGCCATGGGTTCAAGAATTCGCTCGATCACACCGATAGTAATCGGAAGTTTATGCCCAGTGAGACGCGCTTTGGAGATTCAGCTTCATGTTTCTTATGTCTAAGGCAATTCTCTTACTTAAATGTGAAAGTTTTGCCATGTTTACACTCATTTTGCCTTGATTGCTTGGAGGAGAAAGCTACAAGAGCTTTGACGGGGGAACTGAAGCTGAATTGCCCTTCGTGCAGAAGAGAAGTTAAGCTTTCAGACAATGGCCTAGAGAATCTACCATCGATACCTTCAAGTACATTCATGCAAGATATATTTCCTGATGTTATCGGTAGAGACACATCAAATGATACCACAAATATGGTTTCCTCTACATACAAACCAAGTGTAGGCCTAGGAGCCGTTGGGCCTTTGCTACCTTCACAAGGCCCTTCTCAAAGATCGAATTATACTCAGTTTCCAGAGTGCCGAAACTGCGATGAAGGGGCGACAGCCAATTCTCTATGTCGTCAGTGTAATGAATACTTGTGTGACAAGTGTGTTGGTGCTCATAATCGTGTGAGGCTGACCAAGGAACATACAATCGTTCCGTTCCCGTCCTTCCATGATGCCCTTCGCCGTGCTTTGTTGTCCGATGAACCGAATGCCTTTCCGTATGGTGCCTACAAGCAACAATCAACGAAACAATTTCAGTCTGAAGATAATGTTCAACTTTTGTCACATCCTAATAACAATTTCCCATCTTCACAAGCCTCGAAGTTTCCAAATGTAAATGAAAGGCAATTCCAGGCACAAGCTTCCAGTAATTTCCAAAGACAAGTTTCACACCCATTTTCAAGAAATGATTCTTCTTCCAGTCTCACGAATCTGACCTCACCTAAACCAACAACCAGAAATGGGACTTGTGATCTTCATGGAACAGAATTAAACATGTTTTGCTCCAGTTGTTGTATGCCAGTTTGTAATGAGTGTTACCAAACAGAGCACAAAATACATGACCTTGTGCACATGTTGTCTGATGGCGGACAGAGTCAAAACAGCGACAACAAATACAGGACACTGGTAACTGAGGTTAAAAATGAAGCTAAAACTATGGAAGAGGCCCTGAAAAATGTTCAAATGATGAAAGATTCAGTGGAGATTCGCTGTAAGAGCATTCTTGCTGAAGTGCGCAACACGATGAAACGACACATGGCTGCCCTAGAGGAAAGAGAAAGGGAAGTCCTTCGACGTGTTGAACAGATCAGGCAAGTCAAAGGAAAAGCTTTATCAAGCCAAACCGAGCGCCTACACCTTCTTTTAAAGCCCGCAAAAATGGTTTGTGACGAATCAAGAAGTATCATGGAGCAAAACTCGGATAGTAAATATCAAGATCAAATACACAAGTTAACTGAATTACTCCAAGAAATACAAAGTCAACGATCACTTTTTCAGCCATGCGAAGACGACGCAGTTTTGTTTACGCCACCTGACCCTGCTCTTCAAACAGCCATAGGATCGCTCGGAACGATTAGCAGTAGTGCTTATCCACCTCTATGTAGTGCTGTTGGTGAAGGTTTACTACGGGGAATTAGAAACAAGCTTGGGATGTTTACAGTTATTGCGAAAGACCACCAAGGTTCAGCAAGATGTATTGGTGGCGATGTTGTTAGAGTTGTGATCGAGGATCCTAATGGCCGACGCTTTGCAGGCGAAGTTTTTGATCGCCAAAATGGCAACTACACGGTCACCTATAGGCCACAGGTCGAAGGTGAACACACAATTTATGCGAGTATCAGAGGGCAACCAATAATGGATTCACCTTTTCGAGTGAATGTACGCCAGGGAAGAAACTACTCTGGAATAGGGCAGTGTTGTTTACAGTTTGGACATGAAGGCGAAAACGATGGGCACCTATGTAGGCCATGGGGAGTTTGCACTGATCGAGATGGAAATATCATAGTCGCTGACCGGAGCAACAACAGGATTCAAGTGTTTGACAGTAAAGGAAATTTTCGTTATAAATTTGGCTCTGCCGGCTCACGTAATGGGCAATTTGACAGGCCCGCTGGTGTTAGTGTGGATAATCAAAATCGCATCATTGTTGCAGACAAGGATAACCATCGTATTCAAATTTTCAAAATAGATGGCACCTTTGTTCTGAAGTTTGGTGAGCGTGGAAACAAAAACGGCCAATTCACGTACCCTTGGGACACTGCTGCTAACAGTGAAGGTCGTATTTTGGTATCGGACACTCGAAACCACAGAGTTCAGTTATTTTCATCCGATGGAACCTTCATAAACAAATACGGGTTCGAGGGTCCGCTGTGGAAGCACTTTGATTCACCAAGAGGTGTAGCATTCAACCACGAGGGTCACATGGTCGTCACAGACTTCAATAATCATAGGCTTTTGGTGATTCATCAAGATTTCCAAACAGCAAGGTTCTTGGGATCCGAGGGAAGCAACAACGGCCAGTTTCTACGCCCTCAGGGCGTAGCCATCGACCACGAGGGCAACATCATTGTCGCCGATTCAAGAAATCACAGAATCCAAATCTTTCAACCAAATGGAAATTTCCTGTGCAAGTTTGGCATGTGTGGGAAGGCACCTGGGCAGATGGACAGACCTTCAGGCCTTTGTGTCACACCAGAAGGTATGATTCTTGTTGTTGATTTTGGAAATAATCGCATACAGGGCTTCTAAGCCTATACTTTTTAAAGGGGCATTGGATTGCACCCTCAGTTTAACAAGTTTGAAATCAGGTCTGATGAATATTAACCTTGACACGAATTTCTTGTGTTGTAAGGTTCCTTGTCCAATCATTGAGAAAAAGTTGTTTTCTTCACCCAAAAAGTGAAATTTTCCCGAAACATTTTATCTCAAAACGTTGCTTTTCTGGAAATAGAAAGGTTTCTACAAACATGGTTTCACCTTTGGGAAATTTTGACCTTGGTGTTTGTATTTTGTGAAAAAAGACATTAGAATTTCTTTTTAATATTTCACAGGCCTGATTAAACTTATATATATATATAATAAATATGCTTTGCTGTTTGAGGATGTTACATTAAATGGGAGATACTCCCCACAATTTCTCTTGAAAAGATCATTCATTTTTCTATTGCATTCACCACAATACGTTCATGCTATAGCTTATAAGCTTTTTAATGTTTTAGATTTGGTTAATGTCCTTTGATTTATTTGAAAATTTAGTGTTGTTATGAATCATCTAATGAATTAAGCCAAAGTAAATCTTATCAGCCTGGCAGTATTGCAATAAAAAACCAGTATTGCCAGTGGAGTATTGCCAATGGAGTATTGCCTTTCTGGATTTTATACAAAATGTGAATTCATAGTTATATTTGTGTCTCCACCCGTATAGTTTTCTTTATGTTCAGGCTGATAAGAAAATTCTGTATTCAAGATATGATGTACATTTGACTAAGTGTTTTCATGCACCACTTTCATATTTTAATTCATACATTCCCAGCTTTGTATGTGGTGTTGGTAAACCTGTAGTATCTGAACGGTTTTCACTTGAAGGCGCTAACTTAATTGACCATTAGCTTGTTTAGCAGTTTTTACTGTTGATAGATAAATGGCAGTAGTTGGGTATAACGGCAAACTAGTTTCTGAATGACCTGTCAGGCTAGTTGGTTTGCTTACAAAAGAAATTTGTTATAAAAGATTTTGAAGGTTGACAAATATATAGTGTAAAAAACACATCCTGAATTTCTTAGTGGATTTGTATTATATTGTTGTTTTTTTTAAAACAACATCTTTAACCAAAAAGGAAGATTTTGACTTGCACCTTTTTTGCACTATTTGAAACTTATTTCAAGGCCTTCTCAGTTTTCTCTCGACAATCTGATATTCTTTGCTTGACATGGAAGTTGTAAATACAGTCAAGTTTCTGAAAGATTCTGAACTGAATATGTTTTTTACTGTCGTTTAATAAAATAGAGCTGACTAATAGAATCCGATAGTTATTTGTATGGGCTCCATTTTGTCCTTACTTTAATCTCTTGTTAAATTTCATTTTGCACTTAAATTAACCCCACTGAGCCCAATTGTGATTTCCTTTGGTCTCAAGGTGGCATCCATGCTGGAGGTCGTCTTGTTAACCAACTTTCCACAACTTCCTGTAGTGCTATTCATGACCACTTTCATTGCATTTTCAGCTTCGTTTCAGAAAACATTACCAAAATCGTTTTAATCTTCCTTTATAACGCCGATTAGACAAAATTTTGCGCAAACGATAAATTATATCTACTTCAGATTTCCAAACATGTTCAGCAACATGTTCAGCAAAATTCCAAACCTGTTCTCAGTAGGCTGTCAACAGATGTTTTCAATTTACAAACACATTGAAGAAAATTCCCGTTTGTTTCGTATTTCTAAAAGTTTGATATATTGAAATTTCGGTGTGAGATTCTCGGTTGAATGTGATGCCAAGAAAAACCGAACTAGATTTTCAATTTGAATTTTGGGATTTGAAATAACCGGTCTAGACAGTTTTAAGATCGAGGAATGATTCAAGTTTTCTTAGGATTGCCTAGCTTGCCTCTTAGGATTGCCTAGCATTCAGAACGAGTTGCCAATGATAGTAATCGAATATTTCAATATGGAAAAATTGATTCATTATTCATGCCAAGCAAGGGCAGATTATGTTTCATGTATGCATCTATTATCCCACACACATTGTTTATTTGTCACAGCATCATTTATCAACACCAGGAGTCCTGCGAAAGGAAGACCGATTATCAAACAGTTTTTCATGCTGACAAGATGATTTGGGCGTTTTCTCAAATCATCTGCTCTGCTCCTGCACAGTATCTGTGTTATGCAACCACTGTTGATAAGTCAGACTCCCGGTTCATTGCAAAATTGATTTGCCGAAATAAATGCTGTTAGTCAGTGATTCAGCCCGTGCATTGGAAGAAAGGATATTACGATAGCTTGGTTGCAAAACAAAAGGGTTCTTGTAGATAGTAATTACGTATAGATAACTTTGTTTGAGAGATTAAGAAATTTCTCTTTGGAAATGCGTGGAAATAAAGCACTGCTGAAATAGCACTTTGTTTTCTTTGCAAGAAACCGCAAAACAAGGCAAGCTCTTGATTGCAAAATGACGTAGGCTGTTGTTAGTTTCAATGAGAGGCGCCTTTAAACAATCATGCGATAGGTGTCATACAAATAATCATCAATTGCTTGCATTCCTGCCTTAATACCTTAAGCGGGTTTCTATGGTACCATTCCCACTAGGGTTATGCCCTTTAATCCCTTCAATTATTGCGGCTACTCTGTGGTAGCCCCTGACCTGTGGCCTCTCATGGAGAGGTGATAGGACACATTTCGCAACGAGCTTTCTATTCAACCAAATCAGCTGAATTGGAGATGTTGTTTGAATTATCTCATGCTCTATTGTTGCCGTTATGCCAACCCGTTTTACAGGGTCTTTTGAATTATTTCATTAATAATATAAGAGCTGTTTCCCAAACAATTGAAGTTCATTCGCTTTTTTCATTTGCGTAAAGTTCAGTTTTATTCATAATGCCTTATGTTTTACTTCATTTCTCCATTTGTGTGAGTGACTCAGTGTTCGGTAAAATGTCGGAAATTGAAAATCATGAAAGTGAGAATCGTTAAAAGTTCAGAGAAACGTGCTATCGTGTTTTGTTTACGGTAGTATTTGTTTAAGAAGCTGATTTCCCAAAATGATGTAAGCATGCTTCTAGCCTGACAGGTCTCCGCTATATTACGATGATATAGAGATCAAATTTCATCTGAGAAAATTTGAGGTCATCAACCGTAACATTTGTAAAATATTGCTGCCAAACAAGCTAATGGACAACACTTTGCTTAACATAGCAATGACAAGCCCCTTGTAGGTTGAAAATTTGTCTATGTGCCTGACTTTCACATCGTTTTACAACTCAGGAGAAAAAAATGGGCAAGTTTAGTTGGAAATTCGCCTCTTTGGTGTTTGTTTTTTTAAATGTTAAATATTATATAAATAAATGTACACGTACAAATAATCTGTATTCAATAGGCATAAGATCGTTAAAAGTGATTCTTTCACATTTACTTGACATGTTTTTTATCACATTCACTATCATACATCTCAGGTAAATTATTTTTAGTATTATGGTTAGATTTTCTTGTTAAACACACATGCTTATACACGCAAACGCTCACGCATGGATATTAACATTCTTCTTGGAGGGATGTAAACTTTTTATCTGCTGTTTATCAACGCACAATAAGCATTCAGCTTGATGGCTCTAGCCCCCTATGCTGAAGTTAAACATCCGTAGTGCGTAATGTATAGCAACGTATCGTATACGCGGCAGCATCTTTGTTGACATTACTGTGTTGAACTAGGTTCTCTATGAACTAAAAGTAGATATAGGCGTAGTCAGTGCCTCTAATACCAACTTGTTAGTGTTGATTTCCTGCTCAGGGACGCCAGAACCAGGGACAACGTTGTCAAACTTTCCCAACACAGTTACATTCGGGTTCACTCTCCCCTTTTTTAGACCGTTTGTAAAACTTCTGACGTCCCTGTGGCCGCTGTATGGTCAGAAGAAAGCGTCCGCCTCACTGCTATTAGTACTGTTTATATCCAGCTTATACCCTGTGCAGTAAAATGTAATAAATTGAAAAAACCAGTTACTATCCTCCCGCTCTTTACACGCACCTTTTAACGAAGCAACATGCAAAGCAATCTCCATGGTGCTGGATACTTGCTAATATCAAGGTGGCGCGAAAATTAGAACTGGCCAATGCATACAGTATGATATAAGATCCAGTCAGAAAGCTGCCAGTTAATAAAATCGTTAGTATGATTTGATCGTAGATACGATTGTATTGTATGTAGATCTTGTATGATTAAAAAATCGCAATTGTAGAGGTAACAGAATTGCGGGGAGGTGTTTGCTGTCTCCAAAGAAATAAGTTATTTCTGAGCCTTGATAAATCAATCCCAAAAGTTATTGTCAGAAGCCCTTTTCGAAATAAGCCTTCTTGAGCTATATTTTAGAAGGTGCACATTAGCACGTTCCCAGGTTGATGTAGGGGTTTCAAGAAAAGTTTCAAAGAAACTTGAGATGCACAGAATTTGCAGCACAAGACCAAGACGACATGCTAATTGGAAAAATATCACCATATTCCTCCGAGACCCAATAAAGATGGTTAAATATATCTTTATAGATTCTGTACATCTCAAGTACAATTACAATTTGTACGTTCATCCTGCGAATCTGTCACTTGACATGGAAGAATTTATCACCTTAAGAAAGCACCTCCTGAAACGCAATCTTTAAATAAACATCGTTATATTTCTCTCTTCTGTTTGAATAAATAGTAGGGCATGATTTGATTTTTATGTATAGTATGCCAGTTGATGTTTGATCTTTACATACTCAATAATCGAGAAAACAGCATTAGTATGCAATTTGACTGTTTATTGCTGGACTGCATAGCAGTTAAGAGGACAGAAGTTTCAATTGTAACCGTAAATTTTCTTATTGATTACAATGTAACCACGCAGACATCGTAGATTGTTCGTTCGTTCACGTTGCACTACATACAGGAATTGATTAATTATAGTATGTCGATTAATCATCATCATTTACCCATTGCTTAAATGTCCTAACTAACTTTTAATCAAGGGAGTGGTTTACTCGAGTGTGGTTCAGTATCTCTAATATTGCCTAAATCTTGCAAAAGATACGCGAAGCCAGGTTTTCATCTACTCATAGGAAACGGTCTATCGACACGTTAAAAGGTCCTATTCTTGCATTGATTTATTTTGCTCTTTCCAATACGTAATTCTTCAATGTAATTTTTAGACGAGTTTCGAAACCCTTTTTAAAAACATATGAAATCAAAATGTCTTTAATATAACTCCGGTACAGCCTCCTCTTTTACTGGACCGTGATCGAGTAAACTTAACCTTCTGTCAGCACTTATTTGCAGCAATAATTCTTTAAATCATGGCATTTTTTTTTCACTCGAATTACCCAGCCCTAACCCTGTTATTACGATTCCCCATGTTTGTGATTTTGCTTGCTATGCTTTGAAGCAACCTTTGAGTTCAGTAATTGCATAATTAAGTCCTTAATGTGAAATACACAACCCTATATAGGATAATAAAGTAACTTTCCCATGCTATATGCAATTATACTGTGTTCTGCACAGAAGATTAGAATTTTTATTGCAAATATAATGACAAAATCTTGATGTGCATTTGCTAGCTCTACTTATCTACTTGGCCATAAATCCACATGTTGCCATAAAGCCATAAAACCCTATTATAATATTCCTTGTATTTTTCAAAATCAGTTTACTGATACATTCTTCTTTTAGATTGTATGCAATTAAGTGACATAGCTGCCTTCCAAAGGCATTAAATAATGACTAACAAACCGTTGATCCTTCTTATATTGTGTGATTAAAGGGTTCTAAATTGTAATGAGCTGTCCAACAACATGCATTATCACTATATATATAAAAGTTCCTTTTTTGCATACATGTTTTATTTTTGTTGTTTTCTTTTGGTGAATCACATCATGGTGAATTACGTATGACCTGAGAAAATTTCATTCATATCATATCTGATACCTAAATAAAATCTTAACTTCATTTTTAAATAGCATTTCCTTCATTATCTTTGAACACAGAATGTAACATAGTTTTTACATCTTTCTATTAGGCTCACTTGATCCTTCAGTTTTGTTCCAAAGAGAGATATATATAAATAGTTATATATATGTTTTACATATTTTGCATGAGGATCTAAGGAAGGTATAAATTGGCATAGCACAACTTTCATAAAAAAATTAGTGAAAATAGAAAACAGTTATTTACACACTATAGCTAAAATATTTTCTCAAAATTTTTCGATTGTACTTTGCAAACATCCCCTTCAGTTGATTGCCAGCTCCAAGTTCACATGTGCGGGTTGTTGATGCCTTTTTATAAAGTTGTTGAGCAATTGCCTGCCACTGAACTGGTTCTGCTATTTGCCTTACCAGCAAACTGCATTAGGAAGACAAATATTTATGCTAAAACATGGAGTAATGTGCATTGAATCATGAGAGAAGGAGACACAGGTTATACTTAATACACTTAATCATGATCTTTCAGTTCCAATACTATTGATGGAGCCTGAGTCTGATCACATTTAATTACCTCATACTGATACTGAAATTAGAAAATAGCTAATGACTAGTTATAATCTTGGTTATACCTATTTCCTGCCCACTCTGTAGTAGCTAGCACAGCCACTGCATATCATCTAAACATATAGCTTAATCCTATTCCCTTATATTCTTCTCAGTGTAAACAGGCCTTTGCTGCCACTGGTGGAAAAATCAATTTTCCTTTTCTAAATGAAGTATAAACTGTTTAAATCAGGTAGAATATTGAAGTACCATAAATCCTCGAATTAGCCCCCTGGGGGCTTATTCAGTTTTGATATTTTTGGATGGGGGCTTATTTGAAGGGGGGGCTTATTTGAAGGGAGGGCTTATATGAGGGGGACTTATAAAGTTATTGTAGACATTAAAAGGAAATTATTAAAAGACCTTAATTTATTTTTGCGGGAATTTCTTTATGAGCATTTAATCAATTTTTATCAAAAGTATGAATTTTTGAGGTAATTCAATAAAAAGCCAAAGACAACCTCAGATGGCAAAAATCATCAAATTTAAGGGGGCCCATGCAAGGCTTTACAGTAGCAGTGGGAGCTTATTTGAGGGGGGGGGCTTTTTGACAATTCCTAGTTCTAGGGCAGGGCTTATTCGAGGGGGGGGGCAATTCGAGGTTTTACGGTATAGGCTAAATTAGCAATGTCTTGAATAGCTAAACACACCTAACCAAAGCATGCTTTGGCCCCCTCTAAATTGAGGGATTTTAACAATTGATTGATCAACAAGTAAACATAGGAAAAACCTTTTGATTTCCTCAGGCGATTTATAGACCTCTCCAGTGACATTTGAAAACAGGTCATACTTTGGCATTTTGATATCCATCTTCTCAAGGGTTTTGTACAAAATTTCCTGTGCTGGCTCCATTAATGGTGTATGAAATGCCCCACTTACAGGTAGCTCTGTTACTTCAATCTACAAAAAAATTGATGTTTTGGTAAATACATTGTACACGAAGACCCAAATAATACAGTCAAATAATAACTTGACTGATTCAGTCAGCTGATAATTTAGTTTGCAGGCTATCTAGTTTAGGATGAAGGCTTTGGTAAGAAAATAATCAAATGTGAACTTTACCTTGTCAGTGGAAAGCTCCAAAATATCCTTTGCACAATCAACAGTTGCCCCAACAACATGTCCCTTTGGGTACGAATCTATGGCAATGCCTATAAATGTATTAAATTTTGGTTTCTGACCCTTGTTCTTCTCAAAGATCATGTCACACTTCTGTTGAAGATCATCTTTTGATAAACCATGAACAAAAAATAATACAGATGCAGTAAGCTCAGATGCTCTCTGCATTGCTTCAGCTCTTGCTTTTGTAATAGAAAATGCTGAAAGATAAAAGCAAAAGAAACTAGCGCACCTTGCTTACTTTGTAATCTTTAAAATCAAACTGCAAATTTGCAAGGGCAAATATTCAGTAAACAGTAAACAGTAAATATTCAGTTCCCACAATTCAGTAAACAAAAGTCAGGTGTGAAACAGTAAACAAAAGAACTCTGTTGTAGTGAAAGGAAATAAAATCATCACAAACCTTGGTGCACTGTTATTGAGCCTGCCAAGTGTAATGCTGCAATCTCACCAACACTGTAACCAGCAATCTTTGGATACTTTTGGTCAAGAAGAAGTTGATGAATACAATGAAATCAAAGAGCTTAAGTCTCAAAATATTGCTACCGTACACTAGCATTTTTGTAAGGTTAAAGGAATCATCATTGGGGTTTATTATATGCAATGCTTTTCTAAGAATTGTTTCTGATTTTTTCGCTTCAAGACATACAGGAGGACTAACAAAAAATCTGAATTGGTGTGATAAAAAGGTATCAATCCTTTTCTTGCATAAATCAGTAAGTAAGTTAGCATGGTATATATTTTTGGTCATTGCAAAATTGAAAATGTCCCTCTCTAAAAGCTGGATTAGATCTACCAAGGTAACATAAGTCAGGATCAAGCTCAGTGTGATATCAGTTTCCAAAAAAATGTGTTTTATGTTGCTTCTTCAACAGTGATCGAATTATTTGCTGTCTGTCAGCAAGGCTTATTTTTTGGGAGGATTCATTTTGCTCAGTGACTACATCCTAACTGACATAGCTGATCATGATTAGCCATTAGAAAGCTTAGACCTGAATGAACATTGGTATCCATGGCATAGAGAAATAGCTTACAGTTTCAAAGATCCATGGTTTCCCTTTCTTCATCAATTCAGAGCCAACTAAATTTGCAAGGGTTACTGCTGGCTGACATTGGACAGTCTTATCTAGCTTTGACTTTGGTCCCTCTACACAAAGACGGACAATGTCATATTCAAGTACTGAATTTGCAATCTTCATTAATTCTACCATTGGTTCTGTAAGTCTATTTTCCCTTTCAAGGTTCTGGAACATGCCAACATATTGAAAGCCTTGACCAGAGCAAAGAATGACATTTTTTGTTGTTTCACTTGGTTTTCCAAACCAATCAAATTCTTTCCCAATAAAATTATATCGCTTGAAAGTTTTGATAATGCTTTCAAATTTGCCATTTCTAGTTAGCCTCAAAAACATCTTCCTTTGCTGCTGAAATGAAAAAAATGTGCAAAATTAATGCATTTGTGGACTGTGAAATAAAATGCAACCGATATATTTTGTAATTTTCCAAGTTTGGAGAGTTCATAGAGTTCTTGAGCGATGACCTCATAAGAGTATATCTACTTGGAATTTCTAAATTGAAAAAGCTGATAGGAACTCATTAAACATATCGAAAGTGTTAAGTCAGTTTGTCCAGAAATCACTGTAATTTGGTATAGATATATGTTTTAAACCTTGTGAATTAAGCCAAACAATGGGTAATTTGTATAACAGAATTCAAACATTTAATCATACCAAACTTTAAACTATACACCTGTTTCCCATTTTCTCAAGTTTATTCAAGTTGCTTCCAGTTTTCTCAAGTTTATTCAAAACAATGGTAGAACGAGTCAAGGCAGCGGAAAGGTGATTTCTGAGGAGGATGTTGAGGATGTCATGGACTGAACACACAAGCAATGAGGAAGTTTTGAGAAGAGCGGGAACAAAAAGAGGACTACTAACATCAATCAGGAAAAGGCAGATGAAGTTTTTTAGGCACGTGATGAGAAGGGAAGACTTGGAACGCCTAGCAGTTACTGGAAAAATAGAAGGAAAGAATGGAAGAAGACCAAGAACTGGATATGTGAAGGCTTTGAGCACGTGGGCAAATGTAGAAGCTAAAGAATTGATTAAGACAGCTAAGAGCAGAGTAGAGTGGAAGGCCATGACAGTCAACGCTTTGAAGGAGCACGGCACTTAGAGAGAGAGATTCAAGTTGCACGTCAGGTTGTGAAAAGAAACTTGTGACGTCACACCTTTTAAATCTATTGTATTCACAGAAAATCAGATAAAGCTAAAAATACACTTGCAAATAAACAAACAAATAACCAAGATGTTTTTCAAAGATGGTTGGCAAAGGTGAGAAAAACTATCAGTTTGCAGCCGTTTGCAGCATTTGAAAAGCTCATCTTAGAACAGTAAAAAGAATTTCGCCAATATTTTCCATGCATGCTTTACAATGAGATTATTGTAACTATCGCAAAATCACCTTCTAAAGAATCTTGCTTGGAACAACTATCTACTCTATCCAAACCTTTTTCATGCCATGAATAATTTCAAAAACGCAAATGAAATAGACACGATAGAAAGTTTTGACCCAGAACATTCGATTAGAGGGCTTTAGGCCCAAAGGAAGAAATATAATTTTTTTGCTGATTTTGCCTGACGTTGCAAAAGGCCTAAATCTGTCTTCAAAGCGAGGCATTTTCAAAATTTCTAGTTATCAGGATTCAGGATCTCAGGATTGTGAGGTAACGGTTGATGAGCTCGTTCTTGTTGTTGTTAGTGGCGTTTCCGTTCACACTTTTAATGGTTGCCTGAATACCCGAATGGAAAAAGGTGTCGTTCTGCTCTTCATTGGTGTCACATTACTCTTAGATTAACAGGAACCAAGGCGGTTATAATGCTTAAGTCCATAAAAGATGAAGAGTTTTGGTTGTGGTCATCGATAAAGAAATGGATGGCTATGACGAGGACATAAGCGAGAATCCATTTTACAAAGCTTTTATAAGCAAAGGGAAGTCCTTGTATAACCTAGCTGCCGACAACAGATGGACGGTATGTTTTCTTTCCTTTAGTGTTGATATAGATACAGGTCTGTCGGAACCGAGGGGGGGGATTGGGGGGGAGGGGGCTGGAGCCCAATCATTGTTAAACTGTAGTATGTTTCCTTTATAACAGTGTACTGAATGAGAAGGAAAACAATGGGCGGCCCCTTCCCTAATATGAATTACGTTCCGACGGCACTAAGATATCGTTAGGCATAAAGTAAATAGGAATAAAATCGTAAATTATTGCATTTCCTAATGCTATTCCATCAACATTTTAGATATGTATACCAAGAAAAGGAACAACCAACAGAAGCCACCATACAAATCAAAGTTTTGAAACTCATATACTGAAACCAGTTCAAGGGCAGGAAGAAAACCTTTATGTAACACAAAATGAAAAGGTTAGTTTAACAAATTTTCCAACTAATATCTTAAGATTATGATCTTTAAATATTATTAGTTATACTAAAGAGGAACATTTATTTGAAACACAAAGAACCTTCAATAGCAAAAGAATGCTAAAGGAGATGGATGAATTTGAATATCTTGAAACACTTCAGTTTTCACAAATTTGTTTTAAAGACAAGTTCCCATTTGATTATGATTTTTCTCTTAATTTTTGGTTTTCAGTCAATTTTTTATTCATCCTTAAAATGGCTACACACAAAACCGAATCAGTGGATGCCTAGATCCTTCATAAAATCAATAGTAGGCAAAGGCTCCTTTAAAGGAAGCAAAATTTTCCAAATCCTTGGTTTCCAATGCTTAATAAAAAGATAAAAAAAATCCAACAGCTCGATTAAGATGTATCAGGTTCTGTTGAATTTAAACATTAGAGCACATATAGGAATCAAAGAATTTAAAAGTATGAATTGGCTCCCAACGAAAGAGAGATTTGAACAATGCACTGCTACAAAAGTTGCCTGAAGATCGCATTAAAGAGCTTCTAAGGTAAAAAATTAACTTTTAGTTTAAAAGATACATTTTACCAATCTGAATTCAATTCTTTTTTGGAATTGCTATATCGCATCTCATTTAATTGCTTTTGCCATTCAAAGTTTTGCCTTAAAAATCTTTGACATAATTGGGGGCCTAGTGTTTTGTGGTTCGATCCACACAAATGGCTGTGGAAGTGGAGTTGACAACAATTTAAAAGAACTGGGATCTGGTTTGCTAACAGTATCAAGTATATAATGAAGCTAAAAAATATGCAGAGATGCTTAATTTAGGTTCAGTTCACCTTTCGCCCTCTGTGAACGAAAATGTAAACGAAAATGTAAGTATGATCATCATCGATACTGGGTGACTAGTCAAAATCAAATTATCAGCAGCTTTCTAACTCTGGTTCAAAACATGTTGAGATAAACACTATTATTTCCTGGTTTTAAGATCAAAACATTCCTAGTCATAAATTTTGATTGCTTAATACAGTATTCGCTTTGGTCCATTCCATTGCTAGCCAGACGTGTTGTTATTTTGCTAGTTAAATAGACCTATTGTATTTTCATGCTCACTGAGCAACATCAGCAACGCCTCCAGGTGTCACACGAGGCATGCTTTTTTGACTCTATTCAGTGTTTTGGCACTTTTCTACATTCTATATTTGGAAATAGTTTGATTCTGCGAAATTGGCAAAAAATTTCACATTGGTTTCTGGCAAAAAAGATGTGGTTTTTTGGACCTTAGAAACACTTCAAGTGTGAAACTAGGAGTAGCAACCTAGAATTATACTGTTCTTTACGCCAAATAGCGTGTAAAGCTTTGCCTATATGGTATCAAGCACTTTATGACAGGCCAGTAAACAGTAATTTTCACTAAATGCATATATACATACAACTAGGTTTTGCTTCATAATTATTTATGATTCTGCTGCAACAACATGTTGATATAATTCTAATAAGATGGGATCTGAATCAGTGTAAGGAATAGTTTTAACATAACAAAGTTTTCACTTGACAATATTTAAAGTAATTTCATCATTGAAATGTGAAATAGTTGTTCCAAATGAAATTATTATAGCCAAAAAGAAGAATTGCAAATTATTTATTTTATTCCTTTTTTAAAGATAATCAAATTTTTTCAGGAAGTTAAAGTCAATGGTGGTGACTACATTGTAACTGTTAAAGGGTTCTCTGATGTGAAGACAGTAAGTATAGAGTTTTTCATAATCAAAACCAAATTATTTTGATGCGGCTTAGGAAGACTGGAAAAGGTAATAAAATATCCTCAATTGAAAATATTTTCCTTGTGAAAAGCATTTTAGAAGTATGCTTTTATGTCTTTTAATTTTATTTAGGGACAGAAAACTCAGAGTAGGGGTCACAAATGATGTGATTAACAATATTTTAAATTACTGTCATTGAATAGCTTAGCTGTAACCTCTGTATGTATTCAAATATTGTAAACTGATCCTTAAATGCAGATTTTAATTTTGCCAAATTTTTAGGTACGAGTCCTCTTTGAAGAGACCTTCTTCAATCCTCAAGAAGAAAGCTACCATATTCTTTGTATTGATCAGCCTCTAGATGGAGAAGGTTTGTCTTATGGCTTGATTATTTCAAAACACTTGTAAAATAAAAATAAAACTGAACTAAATTATTTCAAATATGTCAGAGACTTTTAATTATACCTAACAATTTACAAAGACCAAATTTTGTGAGGCACATTACAATTGTTAAATTCATTTGTTTTCACCTTCTCTCTAATTTCTATATGTTTAATTTTCCATTTCACTTGTTAAGCCTAAATTCTGATTCTTGACATGCATATCTTATTTCTATAGTGTTCAGAGTTGAGCAGCCTGTTCTCCAGAATCTTGAAACTCTCCAAAACTGCATAGAATTTCTTTCAGCAGGAGCAGGTATTGTAAAAAGTTTTCATAAAGAATGTTTTATACAAAGTTGAAACATGTTTGTAATTTGTGTTTTTTGTAATTTGTGTTATGAATAGATAGAATTCTTAATGAGTTTAGAAGCCTTTACATGTGTCTTTTATCTTGAAATTTCTATCTATCTAAATTTTTATCTTGAGTTTTTTTTAGTTATCTTTGCTTTATTGTGTTTTCAAGACTTCTTTAAATGTTATTCAAAATGCCCTCGTAACTGTTCTGCATTTTATCTCAGGGAAAATTCTGTTAAAAGAATAGAATTTATTGAATATATTGAAAGATAAAAAGTCAAGTTGTTAAATGGTTTTTATTCAATTTGATTTGTTTTCAACTCCATTTTCCTATGTTATTGTTTAATATGTTAACTTTCCATAGCAAGTTATATCAAGGCTCCCTAATTTTTTCATAGGAAGTAAAAGGAGTCGGAAGAAAATTGATGAAGTAGTTGACCTTTTTAACACAACATATAGAAGGTTGGAAACAGAGTCAATCAGACATGCTATGGTTGGTGATTTCAAAGTTTTATTCAATTTCTCCAAAGAAAGGTTTTCCAAAGAAAGATATCCAATGACTTTGCCACGTCTTTTTGACTTGGTTTAAAAGCCTGAATTAATTTTTGAAAGTTAAGGAAGGCTTCCAAAATATTGAATAGTTTTATTCTAGTGAAGTAGTCACAAGAAAACATTTCTTCTGCTAAATCATCTTAAGCTTGTCTATTTGATGTTTATCAAAGTGCAAAAGAATTATATTTCATTGCAGGATGCAGCAAATGCTGTATTTACAAGGGCAATGCAGACTGTACTTAAAGAGCCACATTTTGTAAGCTTTGATGAATTATTGTAGTTATGTGTTTAATTAAACAAATAAGTTTTGTAAAAAGGATCAAAGCAATTTCTTTAGTCCGTTGTCACATGTTGCCTAATTTCATTGATCCGTTGTAGTCACCAATCACTTACATATATATGTTTGATTTACACTTGCCAAATTATGTATTACATTTGTGATACATACTCTTTTCGGTTCGAGCTCAGTAAAATTTCTAATATTACCGGCAAAACATTGGTTCACCTAAGTGGTCATTTTTCTATGCTTGTGAATGTTCCTTTTTGCCAGCTGGGTATTGTTTTCAGGATGTGTTTTCAAGCATACACCTGCCTAAGTGGCTTATCAGATTTGCTAGCCATTTGTTTGGTCAACTTTAAAAAGATTTTCATCTGTTGAATGAAGCAATTTCATATTCAAATTATATTACTAAAACAGAAGTGTTGTGATGATCGTTTTTAGGTAGTACTCTTGGTGCTTTGGATAAGAGTGTTTAGGATAAGATTTGTTACCACTGTTGGTCAAAAGCTACCATCCATTACGTAGAAGTATGGGTTCCCTGAAGGTTACATGCCAAACCATGGACCGCAGGATAGGAAGTTTGGGACATACCGAATTGGCTTTTGCTTGCAATTTTTCTTTATTGAGAATTATCGGTTTAATTAGGTTCACTGTATCTAAGCGTTCATGCTTTTCCTTGTTGAATTTGCTGTTCAATGCTTACTTTTAATCACGGGTTTTAGTAAATTTGTTTACTTAATGTTTTTGTTGTAGCGAAGGCCAGCTGATGGTAGCAAAGCCTTCATGGACAACCTTAAAGTAGCCATAGAGGTATTTTAAACAGTTCTTGATGATATCATACTTAGCCCGCAATTTTCTATTGCTATTGTTGATAGCGCTCAGTTTGAATTTGACTACTGAAGTTTCATTTTGGGCCAAAAATCTTTTAGGAATATTATAGCCAGGAACAAAGCAGAACGACGATGAGAATCCAATGTTGTATAGTAGAATTTAAATTAAATTAGATTTACTAGATACTGATATTTTGCCCCGAATTTCCCTACGAATTTCTTCGCACCTTTTTATATGCATGCATTTCTGAACATGTACGTATGAGCAGGTGTTCTTTAGTTAGCAGTAGCAGGGGCTTAAAGATGCGCAAAGAGCAAAAGCATCATGAATCCTGCTTACACTATTGAATGTTTTATCATCATCAACAAAACTTGTTCTACGTTTGATATACTCAGCCTTTCTTATTGCTAACTTGCTCTTCACGGAAAGGTTTGCATTTCTCCACCCTAGTACTGCCTTTCTTATGAAGCTCTTTTTGTTTTGAAAATTGAACTGTCAAATCTGTGAACTTGTGCTCTCTTTCCTTATTCCCTCTGAGTTTTTTCAACAACAGACCTGTGTTTTTTAGCATACTATAACCAAAAATGAATATATGAACTCTTTTAAATTCCCTCATGTTTTCTTGATTACCATTTTGGTAGTCTGAAAAATTCGACATGCTTTTTGCGACAAAATGCCATAGTGGGCTTTCTTAGGTATTAACAACAATATTTTACGATAGAACGCAGCTAATGCTGGAATTAGATCTAATGCCCTGGCAAAACGACTAAACATTTCACTCAACTTTTGTTTAGTGAAGTTGAGCGAAGTTTAGCGAGGGTGGCAAAACGCAACTAAACTTTTCACAAAACTTCATTCAACATTTTTTAACTGCGAGCTGTCTGTGACGCTGTTGGGTTGTAGGGGATTTTGCATAGGAATTTGCTTTTGGTTTATTTTGTTGCATGCACAAGCAGTGGATAAAAATACGAATTGGATGAAGCGACGGGGAAAGAAAAGACTTTTTAGATCATTGACAACAAAGTTGACTGCTGAAGAAGAGACATTGACCTACAACTAGATATTCAGATGTTTCATAAAGGCTTTTTGGGTCACGTAGAGACAGGAAAACCAACGATAACCGACGAAAACTTTTGGATTTCACAGCTAGAGCGTCTGCGCGATCACAATAAATGTTTAATTGGTGGCAAAACGACTAAACATTTGCCAAACAACACTAAACAACGCTACCAGGATCAAACTTTGCTCAACAATACTCAACACGACTAAATGACACTAACCAGGGTGGCAAAACGACTAAACTTTTCACTAAACTTCTGGCTAAACAAAACTTGGGTAAAATGTTAAGTGAAATGTTTAGTCGTTTTTCCAGGGCTTAAGAACTAAGAATTCTCGTCGAGAATATACATTGATTATTGGCACTGTTTGATTAGCAAGTTTAAAGGTTTCTGTTATTATAGTTCATGAAATTTATGCCCGTACTTGCTATCAGCCGGTTTAAAGTACCTGTGTTTGAGGCTTTGGAACAATTCCAGTGAAGAAAGGGAAAAAGCACTTGAGTTTCGTTTCCGTCACTTAAATCAAGCTTAGCTAGGGTCTGTCTAACTTTGTTTGATCCAGGTGCTCGATTCATAGGTCATTTAAAAATATTCAAGGGTTATTCAAAATGAAGAAATCCGTTGTTTTTGCCAGCTAATTTAGACCTTAAAGCATTCAAAGTGTGGAGCCTGTCGTCATATGATAAGTGTTTTAACTTTGCATGGTATCGATTTTATACACGCTAAAAGATTAACAAACAGGGTAAAAGAAAGATATGGCTTCTGTTTATAATTGCTTTGTACATGACACCTTCTCATTTTCCACAATAAACTGTTACGGGACACTCTAAGGAGTCTTACGCTCTTCCAGAATAACAACTGTACTTCTTTTCACAAAGAAGTCTATGGAACTTTTGCAACCTGTGTGGCTTTTCTTCCAGATTTGGCCATTACTTGAGGATAAATGAAATTTCAACCGAATTAGTGCTATTAGTGCTTCAATCGAACTTTGTCATTACAAACCCTTACAATTATCCGCTTTTACAGTTATATTATAAGAATTATTTATTAGTAATGCTGCGTTGTCACATCGTAATACAAAACATTTCGTTATAAAATAATATAACCTGGGGAGGGCAATTAGCTTGAAGCTTAACAGTTTTTTAATTATGTTTTTGCGATAAAATAAAGCTATTGAGAAATTCAGAGGAAAATTTGTACCAGCCCTTGACCATAGAACCATGACGCGAGCTCTTCGTTTATATTTTAGTATCCTGCATTAGCACGTAATACGTAATTTCTTATTTTTTCTTTTAGACGTATGTGATGGCGGGTCTTTACAAACGGATATTCAAGGGACTTTGCTCTTTTCTTGCTAATGAGGTATTATAATTTCTTTATCGAACACTTTTTCAAACTTGATATCTTTTGTTTATTGTCAGGTAATTTTTTACTCAATGGATAACGGACTGTATTGTTTCTAAGTGTGAGTCGCCGGCTGAAAACCGAACATTTTACGTCACCATCGTATCAGTATCACAACCACCATCAATGTAAAGACATTTAACTATATATACTAGTCGATGGTTTTGAAAGCTAGAATCTTTTCAAGAAAGTCACCTCTCTAAAGAGACAATTACATGAATTCGTACTTCCTCAACATTTATTAATTCACTCTTTCATTTTTATATATTGACCAGCATGTTGCTGACGATGGGGTTTTACTTCAAAAGCAAAATGATTCTTGTTATTTAAAAAAATTAGGGTCTCATTTAAGCTACAAGGTTTCTTAGTAACAAGAATTCCTTTGGTTTACAGGATGCAGAACTGAATAAGATCACAAGAAATTTAGCGGATCTTCAGGTTAAAGACCTAGGAATCAAGCCTCAACTTTGGTAATGAAAATTTTTAAGATTTCACCATAATTAAACTTCGTGCTTTATGAAAATGTATCGACAATATATATTTTTACAGTTCTCTGTATTGTTTTGAAGAGAGCAGGAACGACGGGGTTTTAGACAGCTTGGCAAGTTAAAAGCAACCTGATTTGCAAGCCGGGATAATCAACATTTTTCATTCAGTTTTCCAGCCATTCACTCTGCCATTACGTATTTGCTAATTTCTTTATTTTTCATCAAAAGTTATCAATCAACAAGAAAAACTCTCTCTAGGAAACCTTTCTGTCAATTTCTTTTGGTAGGGAAACAGCAAAGCGATTTGCGGTTGTTCTTTATAGACAATTCATGTGATCCTAAAGTGATTGTTCGTGAAAACGAGCCAAAGATGACATTATCCTATAGTAAATTGTCATACTTAAGAGGTCTACCCTCAGTGACATAAAGCATGGTTTTATAAATGTTTCAACATTCAAGTCAACAAATCATCAAGACGGCCATTATTGCTAGTGACTTGACCCCGTCTTTTTGATGAAATAACTAAAATTTAATAAAAGCCGGCTTTCATGCCACACACTACGAAGTTGCTTTATGAAGTGTACAGCATATTTCACAACACAATTTTGCCTGAGAAGTAGAAAAGCTACAAAACATTTAATAGATTTACTGAAAACCTCAGTCATAAGGAATATCCGTTTGTTCGTTAGAACCCGTGATCCAGTACTTGTCCCCATCAGAATGATGAAAAAAATTCATAACCATCATGGGAATTTTGATGGTTATCATATATCTGCCAGCAAACTTGAGTCATTGCCTCTTTGACGTTATTTATCAAAGAAACAGCTATCTATACACCATAATTGTCCCGTTTTAGTGACAAAATGTTATCTTCGAATAAAAGCCCAATTTGTCGGCTAGGATCTCTCAGTTTATACTGGATATTTCCCTTCAGCATATTTATGTCATAAGTAGCATAATATGCCTCTTTTTAAAATTATTTGCTTTCATCATTTAGCAAGAATATTCCAAGAGCTAAAAAGATTCTTTCCAACCTTAACAGGGTACGTATTTCTTATCTTGCTTTGTTTTGATGTTATGATTTTGATTATTGGTTTCAAGACGTTTTTTAAACAAATACTGCGAATGATATTTTCTCATTTGTTTCCACAAAAGTTGAACTTGCTCACGTTTTTAAAACATTTGTTGGGTAACCTCACAAACAATGATGATGCATTTACATGCAACTCTTTGGATGTTGTGGTTAGTGGCTTAAAAATGAGATTTACGTATTGAAATTATCTGAAAATTGTATTGTTTATTATCATGCATTTGTAAACTAACATTGGTGGTAAAGGTAAGAGAACGTAGTGCTCACTCGTCAATTGTAGAAACCTAAGTGATAACCGAATTTACACAAAAGTTAATGCAACTTCGAAAATATATTTTGGCTATTTTAATTTTTGTAAGAACTTTAACGCAGCTCTCATTAAATATGAAGCCTTCAGAGCCTCTTAGAATGCTTCTGCCTATTACTATCCAAAATTTCCAAAATAAGTCTAGAAAGTTTAAAGTTTTACCTGTCTAGGCAAATTCTACCATTGTAGCTTTTGGGAATACCATGATATTGTAATCGAAAAAGTTTTTCTACTTTAACAAATTATAGTGTCGAATTAAAAAACATATTTTGGAATTTCAAAAGTTTATTGTGCACTATAGATATCAAGGCTCAAATAACATGATTCCTACGAGAATTGCTATAGCTAGAAAGATCTTTAACTGGTTTTATAAAACTTCTATTTATTATTTATAATGCTCATGAAAACTTTAAAATGCTTAAGAATTGAATTGTTTGGTAGTTTGCTACGCCTTTGGAGAAACTTTATGTGCTGAAACTGACTGTCATGTCTGTCTCTGAAGTGAAAGGTGAGGGTAAATTTTTTCAGCACTGCTTGTAAACTTTTGAAGCTTAGTTTTTGTTTTTATATTTTCATTTGTTGCTACCTAGGTCCAAAGGTAATTTTTATGACACCGAGAAGCTATGCTTATCAAGTAGTGTCCTGGTCGTTCCTCTCGATGTGTCCACACCTCCTGAATCCTATACCGCGGATTACAGAGAGCTGGCGTGTGAAAGTTTCCTCTCCAGTGCTAAGTGAAAGTTTGGTCATGTCGGCGACTCAAACTACAAACTCTTGGACCTGCAGTCCGCGACCCTAACCACTAATCCATATTCACGCCAGTCTTATTATTATATATTATCATTGAAAGCTCATGAGATTGGATCCGAAGAAGTGTATACAACTCTTGAATCTTTCGCGGAACCACTTATCATCCTGATGTAGTATGACTGACAACATTTTTCTGAAGTGTGCCATTTTCATTACTCTACAAAAATATCTTCCTCCTCCACTTTGCTTTACGATGCTCTTTTTCCTTTCAAAGTAAAGAGATTCACAATCAATATGAGCCAACGAGGATGCAAGGACGCTTGAAACAAGATTTTGTAAAATTGCAAATATGAATACAGTCCTACTTTTACCTTAGCTCCTTTAAGCGTTCTGAAAGTTCTAAAGTTGGTGTTGAATTAACGATATTGATTGTGTACGGTTCCCCACATCTTTCTTCGCTGCTTAGGATTTGAGAATTTTATTGTTACATACTTTTATTCTAGATCTATCTGATGCAATAACTGCGGATGATTTACTTCCAGTGCTTGTTTTTCTGGTCGTCAAATCAGAAATTCCAAATTGGTAATCCAGTTTGCTTTATGCCTCAATCTCTTATCATCTCATTATCTCTTCGACTGGCGAAAAGGCTTATCCTGTTTGATATATGGCAATACATTTCGATATCCGCAAATCTAATCAAAACATTCGATTGAAAGTCTTTCTTCCCTGTTTAAGATCTGTCATTGAGCGAATAGATTGAAATATTCATATAAATCTTTTGGTAGCAAGTATTTATGAAAATATATTGGAAAAACCTTCGTATCTTAAAATGAATTGCTGAAATTTCATTTCAATAGAAACGTGAAAAAAATTTCATTTCTGTTTAATTGAAAATGAAATGTTTCCATTATTTGGTACTGAAAATATTACCTTCTCTGTTTGTTTTTGTTTTTTTACTCATTTTTCAATTTAACGTCATTTCCTAATTTTTCAGGTTGGCGAACCTTACATATATGTACAATTTCCATTTTTCAAAATCAAAACATTCGGAATTTCAGTAAGTATGACATCAATAAGCTTGATGTGAAGATGAAAACATCTGACAGAAGGATTCAAATGGCAAACGAAGTGAAATTTTATATTCTTTCTAGAACTGGTTTGCTAGATAGCAAGGCCATTGAAAGCGAGTTAATATATTTTCATCTCAGCCGCTCAGTCTGATTTTTTAAGAAAACGTCGCCAGTGCTGACATCGTTTTATCCTAATTCGGAGATTGTGACGTCACATGTTGTATTTTGCCTCATGCGCAGCGATTAGACAATCAATTACGCAAACATATTTGTCTAGAGGAGTGATTTAGGAGAGAAGCTGGGCAAATATTCATAATAATCCATGCTGTATAGAGATAAGAAGGAAGTTTCAGTCTGCCTGTTCATTAAGGTGACTGAACATAATCAAGCGGATTCCCTTTGTATTAAGGCAAAAAATTCAAGCCATTAGATTCTTGTAGTGTTTGCACATTATTAGCAGAATACGAGCAAGACCTTATTGTAAATTTGTGAAATATGGCTTATTGTTATCAAACCCATTTCTTAGAGACATCATACTTTCAAGGAAACAAGAAATTTTGGGTTAAAATCATGATATAGCTTGAGTGATATGCTTGATATTCTATCCTTACTCAACCCTTGCTCGGGTAGTTCTAGTGATTTCGACTAAGACTTTCTTCAGTGAATTTTGCCACTGCTCTTTGGACCGTACCCTTGAAGGTAGAAACATTTACGGAATCCATTTGTTTTTGTTTATATGTATAATTTGGATAAATGGATTTGCTAACTTTAGTTTCTGAATCCATTTGTTGTGGTCTACTTGTTTATCAAGGCAAGAATTTGAGTTTGCTCTTTATGTTACCTTCACAGATTCTACTTATCTTCGATTGAAGCTTCAACCGAATACGTGAGAAGCGGAAAGCTGAACCATCTGATAGGCCTTAGTCATGCTCAGGTTAGGAGAATCCTTCAATGTAAATAAAACAATCACTCAAAGACATTTGTTACTCCAGTGATGCTCTACATATAGTAGCAATATTGATAAAGATACGTGATCGTCGTGGCGAAAGTTTCGATTGTTAATGCATTGTATAAAGCAAGTGATGATCGGAAGATCTGAGTTACAGCAGACAACAGAAATTTTAAATGCTCAATCCATGAAAAGGCTGAAACAAACTACAATGCCTGCCAAGAGTACTTGGAACACCCAGCAATTTACGCTGCATTTGATGTCTTTCATTCCTTTCATGAAAAAAAATTACCACTTCCGCCCCCTTCCTCCTAAAACAATGTTGATGATTTAGAGAAATATCATAAAAAAAGCGCGAAAGAAAGTGCTTCCTACAATCCTAACCCGTTTGATAGTAAACCAACATTGTTCTGTAGGGGAGAGAGGGATGATTGATTTTGACCTTGGAAATTGATATCAGTGTTCCAAAACTTTTGGCAGGCATTGAAAGGTAGGGATGGTTTATACGGCTTTTAGTCTTTTAGTATAAAAAGAAGCATACCTATTGGGAATGATCAGGGCGTTTAATGGGGAAGGTAAGCGCAATTTACAAACTTTGTCTCCTTGTTGGGAGTCAAGATTTAGCAAGTTTTAAATGGGCTAAGTATGTCAGAGCTTTTTGATATACAAATTCTGTTTTCAGCGACAAAGTTCTTTGGCTAAACTGTTTCAAAGAATGGACAGCACTGATAAGTCTCAGGGACCTTCTCCTGTTGAAACTCTTTTTGAGGTGAGGCTGGTAAAAATTTCTTTCAAAGAAATTGAATGAGAATAGGCGAATGAAATAGCGTTGGGAGGTTATATTTGCTTTCTAATTAAAATTTCGCGTTAGTTCACTTTTTCTTTTACCTTTTCGATACTCTTGAGTAACCGAAAATTTCTCAAAGTGACTAATGTTTGAGCTTCTCTACAACGTAGATAAACACGTAAATACTTGTAGAGTTCTTCTTCTTGATTTCTGCATTAGGAGAACTATATTCATGTTAAAGAGACTATGTCCATATTTTTTAAATGACTTAATCTTTTTTAGGAAATTAGAAAGGGGAATATTGATACTGTCCTAAGAATGCTTCGTAAAGGTACTGCTGCAAGCAAACCATTAAACGAACAACTGTGTCATCCTCTTTGTTCTTGCGACTCCTGTGAAAAGTTAGCTGCTAGGTAGGTTGTTAATGAACACCTTTTTGTATGCTATACACCTGTAGTCTTGTGCGGGTGTTTAGACTAGAGCTTTGCCGTTTGCCATTTCGTGAAGGTGGATTTCCTCTTTACGGTAAGGACGGAAAACGGTATACGGTTAAAGTATCCGCTCTAATATGATAACACTAACGTAGTGGGGCTTGTTTTCCATTAAAATAAACTGAAGTAAAATCTGGCTGAATAAATCAAATCCGACAATATAAACTCATTGCAACTTATTGACTTATAAACCATTCATTAAGTTGCATTTTTAGTTTAGCAAATGGCTTAACTTTTTACTTGCCATGGATTCTTTTCAGCAATTGCTATAACTTTAAATCATTTACCCAGTCAAGTTCTAGAATACCATAGAAAGTATCATGTGGCAACTACTGAATGCTTCTTTTCGCTTACTTGATTTTAGTCGCCGTTAGATAATACCATATTGTCAAATTCCTTGCTTTGCTTTTCAGCAAAAGAAACGACCCAATGGCTGTAACCGTATTTTCAAGAGATGACATAGGGTCCACTGTTCTGCACCCAGCTGCTGAATTCGGCATGTTACATTATTTGTCTCTTTTGTTTATAATGTATTGGCTTATTCGCTGACTGAACGTCGCTAAAACCATTTGTTTTTTTTATACTAGTTTCTCAGTATAATTACTATCCTCATATCGTGCTTTGGATATTTCTCTATGAATGTATCGTAGGCACATGTTTGATAAACAAATTTGTATCTGCTTCCTGTCTTTCCTGTGGTCATTAGCTCTTTATCTTGGCTTTCCAATCCCATTGTCATACCAGTCTTGTTCAACTTCTACTCCTTTACTGAATGACTGCCTTTTCGTCTTACAGATCAGGAAAAACTATTGTTTGAGCTAATAAAACTTGGTGCCGTGGTCAATGCAACCAATTATCATGGCAGTACGCCGCTGCATTTGGCTTGCTTAAGGGGTCATAAGAAAGCTGCTGTTAGTATAATTTGTTTTTTGTGTTATATTTTTTGCTACCAAACTTCCTAAGGTAGTTTTTATGATGCAGGGAAACACTGCTTATCGAACAATGTCCAGGTCCTTTCTCTTGTTTTGGCCACGCCTCATGATTCCTACGACTGGAATTAAAGAGACCTGGTAACTGTCCTCACTCTAAATGAAAGTTTGTTCATGTCAGTGACTCGAGACCCTTGCCATTGGATATGTAGTCCGTTACCCCCAACCACTGACTCTTCCTTGCACATCAGATATTTAACTCTTAATTTCTTAGAAATGCTGTTTTAATATTTAATGTTTTGAAAAATATTTCTAAAGAGAGTTAACTGTGGTTAGCCGATACTTGGATATCTGAAAAGCTGACTTTGAAAGCTATTTGTCTCTTATCCATTGCAGCACCGAATGGTGAATCCACTTTGTAAAATAAATATACTGACAATGTTTTGATTAGCATGAACAGACATAAATGTGTAACTAGGTAATAAAATTTACGAAAAAAGTAGCCATTTTTCTCGTAAGTGAACATTCGAAAGATAGAGATTCCGTTATTGTTTCCAAAGATTCCAGGGACCTGATCTCCAAAATCTCAAAAAATAGCAAAAGATCATTTTGTTATTTGCTTTTGAAGGAGGATCTTTTTTACGTTCTTGATCTCCAACGTTTTTTTTAACATCCATTTGTAGGAACCCATAGTGTGAAGTGTATTTTTTTCATATGTACATAAATATCTTTATTTAGATTATGCTGACCCACTACAATGGTAATGCTACGGCTGCTGATAATGATGGCAACACACCTATTCACTTGGCTGCTGCAAATGGACATGAAAAGGTATGCTTGATCAAAGTATTCTGCCTGTTAAGGCTTAAAACTGGCAACTCCTTTGAAATTAGAATGACTGTCTTATTTTCAGGTTATTGCAATTACAAATGTTTGTTGGTGTGTCAGTAAAGTTTTTGAGATGTGTAATGTTGTTTTTACTGGTTAAAGTTTACATCGAGGCTACATTATGGTAATACTCTCCGAAAATTAGTATAAAGGAATGAAAATACAAAGCCTTTTTAGATTCACAAAACCTTTGGCCCGAAATTTAGGGAGAACGTATCGTTATGCAACTGAATAACCAGTATTCAGTATTTGAATCATGCGAACAAATAACAAGTAAGACGGTATTTAAATTGTTGGTTCCTTTCGTCTTTTTTGAATAGAAGCTTTTCTTATACGAAAAGTTTATATTAAATGATCGTTCTCGATGATTTCTTTGCTCATTTCATTTGATTTTTTAACTATAACATCCCCGTTTTTTTTGTCTACGTGAAAAGTATTAAAATATATTGAATACTATTTTCTACCACAACTTCCAAGATTTATAAACCCTGGCCAAACCAATAAAACATCGGCGTAAGACATCATCCAACATAGTTGCATAGAACATGCTTTGTTCGTTTGACCACCATGTTTTACGATGTTTTATGATGTTTTATAATGTTTTGCAAGTTTGATTTCCATCAAACATTTTGTCAAACATATCTTTTGTTCTCATGTTTGATCAACAATGTTGCGTTCGTTTGGCCGCCCCTTAAGACATTTATTTTACGCACGCAAGCGCAGTAGGTTAAAATTCGGCAAATACAACGCAGTAACTGTAAGAAGCTGTGCGGCAGCGCTTGGACATCACAAATGTTTTAACAGCTGTTTGATTCGTTTGGCCAGGTCATAAAACATCGTCCAACAATGTTGGTACAAAAAAGTTTGATAATGTTTTACGGATGTTTTATTCGTTTGGCCAGGTCATAAAACATCGTCCAAAAATGTTGGTAGAAAAATGTTTGACAATGTTTTACGGATGTTTTATTCGTTTGGCCAGGTCATGAAACATCGTCCAACAATGTTGGTACAAAAATGTTTGACAATGTTTTAAGGATGTTTTATTCGTTTGGCCAGGTCATAAAACATCGTCCAACAATGTTGGTACAAACATGTTTGACAATGTTTTACGGATGTTTGATTCGTTTGGCAAGGTCATAAAACATCGTCCAACAATGTTGGTACAAAAATGTTTGATAATGTTCTACGGATCTTTGATTCGTTTGGCCGGGCCTTTATAGTCTTTTTCCTTGTATTTTCGGTCTCTAAGCTTCGAAACTGTTTGTTTCTAGTCAATGAATATATGTAAATATTATGTGAAGCCCGCTTAGAAAGCTGATTAACAAGACATTTAAAGTTGAATTTCCCATATTATCTCTGCAAAAACATTTTCAATGAGAGCAAACCTTTTAAGCAGTGGATGTTTTATGATTAATTTTAGGTTGTCGAGGCACTAGTTCTTGTAGCTGCTCCATGTAAACTTACGCTAAAGTTGAATGCAGCAAACGACCATGGCGACACGCCACTGCACATTGCTGCTCGATGGGGATTCAGTGAGTTGTTGTATTTGTTGTTTTTGAGATTCTATCGACTTGTTCACTGCGAAACATGCAACTATCTAAACTCTACGTGACGCGTGCTAAAAAGTTCTACCTCAGCGATCATTAGAACTTTCTAGAAGCTTCTAATTAGCTGACAATAGAGCAGCAAGCAATCTACTCTAACACGTGTCCTACACTAGCTACTAATTACGAAGGTCATTAGTTTACTTACAAACGCAGCAATTACGTAACTGTTGAGTGCACGTTCCCAACACTCCCACTCAATCAACAGTTTCTTTTCAGGTTTTATTGCATTCCGAGCTTGCAGCGTAGGTACTCAAATTGACCTCTGTTCAGTGATTTAGTAAGTAAGTCAGCCAGCATTTCTTTCGTGTTGCAATATTTTAGTAGCAGAGTCCCTTTCTCTACTTGTTCTCGAACAAAATGATACCTTATGTCGATGTGTTTCGTCCGTTTATGTCCGACTGGATTTTTTGTCATCGAAATTGCTCCTTGGTTGTCTTCCATGATGGTTATAGGTTGCACATTGTCTCCTATTTCTCTAAACAGTTGCTTCAGCCATACGACCTCTTGGGCAGCTTTACTCAAGGCAATGTACTCTGCCTCAGCGGTTGAAAGAGCCACTGTTGATTGTTTTTGACTAAGCCAGCTAATCGCACCTCCGGCCATCATGAAGACATTTCCAGTGGTTGAGTGGCGATTCTGCATATCGTCAGCCCAACTAGCATCACTAAATCCCGTAACTTCTTTGCTTTCTGATTTCTTGTAAACCAGCGAAAGATTGATTGTTCCTTTCAGATAACGAAATACCCGTTTTACTGCAGTAAGATGCGCTTCTGTTGGTGCTGAATTGAATTGAGAAAGAGCTCCCACTGCTTGAGCGATATCAGGCCTTGTTGCGATGGCAGCATAGAGTAAACTCCCTATCATAGACTGATATTGAACGTTATCAACAGGTTTACTGTTTCCATCATCTGCTACAAGTTTGACATTTGGATCAAGAGGTGTACACACTGGATTAGCATCTTGAAGTCCATAGCGCTTCAGTAATTTTTCAATGTACTGCTTCTGTGATAGACTGACTCCTTCTTCGCTTTGCTCAACGCTGACTCCAAGGCAGAAATGAAGGCTGCCCAAATCTTTCATCTTGAAATTCTTTCTCAGGTTTACTTTCATTTGTTTCATTTCATCTTGAGTAGTGGATATGATGATTAAATCATCTACGTAAACAGCAATAATTGTCAAATTGTTTCTTTCAAGAGATCCTTTCACGAAGATGCACGGATCTGCTTGACCTTGTCTAAAATTTAGTGATTCGAGCGCGTTTATAAATTTTCGATTCCAGCAACGTGGTGATTGCTCGAGTCCATAGAGGGATTTTTTGAGCCTGCAAACCAGATTCTCTTTTCCACGTATCACGTAACCCTCTGGTTGCTCCATATAGATTTCTTCCGTTAAATCTCCGTTCAGAAATGCCGTAGTTACATCCATTTGATGAATCAGCATTCGGTTTTGAACTGCAAAAGCCAGTAAGGCTCGAATAGAACTGAACCGCACGACAGGAGAAAAAGTTTCATCAAAATCGTCACTGTACTTCTGAGAATATCCTTTTGCTACTAAACGACTTTTGAAACGTTCCACTTGTCCATTTTTGTCATACTTTACTTTGAAGACCCACTTGCACCCGATAGCCTTTCGGTCTTTTGGTGGCTTCACTAACTCCCACGTTTGGTTCTCTATGAGTGACTGATACTCTGAATCCGTTGCTTCTTTCCACTGTGCGGAATATTCACTATTGAAGGCTTCTTGGATGGTAGCTGGTTCTTCGATGATTGCTGAGAATACAACATGTCTTGCTTCTGTGACGTCAGCATACTCATCCAAGCCAAATCGAGGTGGTGGTACCCCTTTTGTGGATCTTTGAGATCGTCGAGGATGGCTTTCTTCTGCATCCGTGTTCTTTTCCGTAGGCTCTGTTTGTCGTTTATCTTCCTTTGCTGGTTCTGGACCCATCTTCAAATACTGTTTTTGAGATCCAAAATCATTTTCATTGAAGTTAACGTCTCTTCTAATCACTATTCTCTTGCTCTGCATATCAAAGAGTCGGTATCCTTTCTGGTTTGCACTGTAGCCCAAGAATCGAAGTCTGTTGGCTTTCTTGTCCAACTTTCTTCGCTCAGCCTCTGGAATATGAGCATAAGCTATGCAGCCGAACACACGAAAGTGGGAGACATCAGGGGGTTTTCCATACCATTTTTCATACGGTGTTTGACCTGATGCGCTGGTTATAACACGATTCCTTATGTAGGCTGCAGTGTTGACTGCTTCTGCCCAGAAGGTTTTGCTGAGTCCGGCATGGTTCATCATTGCTTTTGCGGATTCAACGAGAGTCCGGTTCATGCGCTCAGCCACTCCATTCTGTTGTGGAGAGTGAGGAACAGAAGTTTCGTGTTTGATACCTTTCCTTTTCAGAAGATTTTCAAAGTCATTTGATACATACTCTCCGCCATTATCTGTACGCAAGGTTCCAATTTTACATGCAGCTTCATTGGTTGCAGAGGCTTCAAATTCTTTAAACCTCTTTAGTACCTCAGACTTCTTTCTAATGAAGTAGACTTTGACACATCTCGAGTAGTCATCAATGAATGTGACAAAATAACGCTTTCCCGAAAAGCTCTGTATTGACATTGGTCCACATACGTCGCTGTGAACTATCTGTAATTTTCTAGAAGTCTTGATCCCCTCTGTTGACTTGAAGGGTTTTCTGCTCATCTTACTTTCCGCACACCCTGTACAAAAGTTCAGTTCGTCATTTCCTTGGATGGCAACTCCTTTGATGAGCTTCTTCTTGACTGATTCCAATAGCTGTTTTCTATTTATATGTCCTAGCCGTTGATGCCAAATATCCATCGTGCTAGGGTTGCTATTTTCCATCCTTTCAGATTGGTGATAAGCTGCTGTTATATCTGTTTCGCAGCTCAGAACGTACATTCGCTTAACGAGTCTTCCTTTGCCTACAGCCTTACCGTCCGAGTCTTTTATCCAGCAACAAGTATGTCCAAACTGAACAATGAGTCCCTTCTGTGTCACAGCTCGCACACTGAACAGGTTGCAAGCTAGTTTCGGAACATAAAGTACATTATCCATTTCAATTGTCAGCTGCTTGTTGTGGCTTGTTTCCATGGTTATTTGAGCTCGTCCTGATCCACGGGCTTCCACTGTATGTCCGTCACCCAGTTTGACTAATTCAGGCTGGTTGAACTCTCTGTAGTTAATCAAAAGCAGTTTGTTTGAGGTCATATGCTGCGAGGCACCCGAATCCAGAATCCATTGTCTGTTTGTCTCATTTTCTGTTTGTTTATTTTCAGCTAGAAAGAGTTGAGAGTCTGAGTCATCATCTTCCTCCTTTCCTGCAGTCTTTGCATTATGTGTTTCATTTTTAAATTAATTGCTGGGCCTCACTTGCTTCCTTTTGTGACATTCAAGGCTTTTATGACCCTCCTTGCCACAGTTGTAACATTTGCCTTTGAAAGGCCTGCTGATGCCCTTTTCCAAGTGTAATGCTGAGTCTCGATTTATTTTAGTCGTTACGGTTGCTTTGAAGGCGTGTTTTTTCTGCTCTTCATTGATAAGGGCTTGCTGGACGAAGGCCAGTGATAGTTCATCTCCTTTAGCTTCCAGAGCTGTAACGAGTGTTGTATAGCTTGGTGGAAGGCTTATGAGCAATGCCACGACTTGCTCTTCTTCAGCTACTGTAGACCCGAGTGCATGGAGTTTATCAGCAATTTCCTTCATACGTTTCAAATGATCTTGGACCGATTGCCCTTCAAGCATTTTTGAAGTAAAATATTGTCTCTTGAGAAACAGCTTGTTGGCTATCGTATCCCTCTCGAAATAGGCTTTGAGAGTATCCCACAGGTCCTTCGGTGTTTCGCATGATGTCACCAAGTAGATAAGATTCGACTGAATTCCCATTACCAACGTCGCCATTGCCTTTTGCTTGGCCTTTTCGTATGTAGCTCTAGATGCTGTATTATCGTCAGGTAATGAAATCGTTCCATCTACGTGATCCCACACATCTTTCGCCATCAACAAATGTTTCATTTGAAACTTCCATGTAGGCCAGTTTGACCTATCTAATTTTTCGATTTCGAATTTATCTCCAATTCCAGCCATGTGCAGTGGTTTGGTTCTGGGCCCATTACCTGTTGTTTTTGAGATTCTATCGACTTGTTCACTGCGAAACATGCAGCTATCTAAACTCTACGTGACGCGTGCTAAAAAGTTCTACCTCAGCGATCATTAGAACTTTCTAGAAGCTTCTAATTAGCTGACAATAGAGCAGCAAGCAATCTACTCTAACACGTGTCCTACACTAGCTACTAATTACGAAGGTCATTAGTTTACTTACAAACGCAGCAATTACGTAACTGTTGAGTGCACGTTCCCAACAGTATTTTCAATTTAAATAGCTGGTTTTGAATATTGATTAATACAGAATACCGAAAAGAACTTTTCGTCACCCTTTTCTATATTAAGAACTCGTTAAAAGCCTGTTCTTCCCAACCGAACCTACTGAGCCGGAGGACATTTTAAGCATCTGTTCCAGTCTGACTGTGTCGTGACCTGAAAGGTCTTTCGTAGCGGCAGGAAATCCCGAAAAAAAGTCTATGCATAATTTTGTAATCATTGCCTTGATTTTTAGGCAACCTCGTGGAAATTCTATTAGAGAACGGTGCATCTGTGGAAGCCAGAAACAATAGCAAAGAGACGCCCATTCAATGTGCTGCAAACTCTAAGGTGGGAAATTTTATTATCTTTATTTTTGGCGGCAGAAGCTGCAATATAAAATGAGGCTTTAGCCCTGGTAAAATGTTCTATACGCTTGAACACCCTAAGGAACAAGTTTTCGAACAATTTGATGTACATTATATGTTCCTTTGTCAAAACGTGCTATGTTAAAATCAATTTTTGCTCGCCAGTGGTCATTTACTGGTTATTCTTCTGATCTACCAAATTTTTCTGTGATGATTCGAAAATGATTCAAAAAATCCAATGCATTTTACCATCCTTTCTCTTAAATCTTGCAAAATATGTATCTTTAAAAACGCAATGTTTTCGTTGAAAGATTCTCACCGTTTGACCAAGGCTTTTTAAATGATTTGTTTTAGATCCAAGAACTCCTGGCAAAAGCAACGACAGATGAGCCACAGGAACAGCATTATATTTACGTCCAGCCAAATGATGTAAGCACTAGTTTCCCATGCTTAACGTCCCCAAAATTGAACACAAATTATTTAAAATGGCTACCAAACAATACATTTAAAACATACTTCAGCTTTTCGACTGTCATTTAACGTAAGATTAATTGTAGAAAATTTTATCATTAGGATAACATTATTAAGCGAATCTTCCACGGAACACAATAAAATCGATGGGGTTCATTCAAAATCGAAACTATTTAAATTTTCTTTAATATTTTTGAGTTCCCTTTCTTTAGGTTTAGACTATTTTTATTGATTTCAATCCCATTTAAAAGGCTTAAATACCTTATTCAAGTCATATCAGGTCTTGTTTTGTTGAACTTTCTCCGTGTCGTTTCTTGTTTTCGCTTAAAGATCTTTAAAAAAAGTTTTAATTGCTTCTAATATTTGATTTCCGGTTATTCTATGTGGGATTTATTCAGACTATCATATTATTTGTGCTCTTTAGTCTCCAGAAAGTAACAGTAATTCGTTTCCTGGTGAAGTTGTACGAAGTCCGAAATCCCCCATCGCATCACCAAAGACAAAACGGAAAATTAAAGAGGTATTATGCAAGAATTGTTTATTCTTAAACTTGTATAACTTTATTTGGTGCTAGAATATAGTTTGTATGGATTGATCACACTTCTTTGTTTTGTATAGACTCAAAGTTTTAGTTCTTCTTCAGATATATTTCGGAGTCGCTTTCTAGCAAGTTAATCCTAAAAAAAATGTTCTTAGAGTTTTCTACGATTAGTTTCATGGATGAACTGTACAAGACAAAACACATAAATCCATTTTTGAGGAACTTGATTCTGGTTATTTTCAATAAAAGATCATATTTTTTGCTTGAAAGTTTTTATAATTGACTAGAGCACAACTTCGACGTAAATGAATTTTTTATTTATCAATATAGCGTTGTTTTTGTATGCGCTGGGTCATCGTATTTTAGCGACCTATTTTTGCCTTGTTGCATTCGACTGAACTTTTTTAATATTTCTTTTCCTTTTTTTTCTAGCTTCAAGTGCTGTTAAAGGTTGTTGCAGATGGTGATCTGGAAATGGTATTTCTATCATTACTTTATGTTACGTCCAGTGTTTTGATTTCATCCAAGGGTACCTAATTTTGACAGTATAGAAGACTGAATGCCCTCTGATAAAACGAATGTTTCTATAGTATTTTTTAGCTAGGTTTTTGCGTTAGTAATGCAACGTCTTCAGTTTATTGCTATGTTCCCGTTAAATTAAGTTTCTGGAGTTGAGCAGCAAAGGAAACATGCCTTTCGCTTTGTTATGTGATCTCAAACCATCCCGAAGGTGTTCCAGGGATTCTCAATGTCAAGGCCATTAACAGTCTTGAACGCTTCTTATTTTTTAAAGAAACTACATCGCTGAATATGAAACTTTAATACATTGTGCAAGATGTTTACTTTTCAATTATTCACATACCTTTGCTAGGGGGTGGAGGGGGTGTCTTTTCATCTAGGATTTGTTGTCCATTAAGATATATTTTTGAGCCAAAATTAAATATGTTATTAACTAATTCGATTTCCAATCAAGTGAAACTGTTTTATGATGTCAGAAAGTCGCCATTACTTAAGGGCCTGTTTACACGGGATCGGGTCCAAACGGATCCGTACCCAAACTGGATCAGATAGGATTTGCGTTTAAACGGGACCTGTTGGATCCGACCCTATTTAGATCTGCTATCCGTACCAGTTTGTGATCGCTTTTGAAGATGGTCCCGTTTGGATCCGATCCCAAAAAGGGTCTCACGTAAAAGGTTGGGATCGTATCCAAACAGGTACAGATCCAAAATGGGGTGACAAATGTCCATTTCGCGGTACCTTCTATATGGTATTCCTAGACTTGGCGCCTAAAAAAGACAGGAAATTTATTGTTTCGAATCTTTCCATTTGGTGTAGTTATAAAATCTATTGATCAAATGGTGTATCTCCATACGGATTCGATCTCGTGTAAACGCAAATATTTTCAGATCAAATCCCGTTTAAACAGGGCCTTAGAAGATAAGTGTGCTGGTGGTGGGTCAGCTTAAAGGAAATCAAACGATTCCACTAAAAAATGAAAATTTATCGCTGTAGATAATAAACCACAAATTCTAGTTACTTCTAGTCGTTACGAGAGTTTAACTTAGTGACTTCTTGCCCGAATTTGGTCAAACCATTTTTTCTCTGATTTTTAAAGTATTTATTCCTCTTCCTAATAGCAAGCATTTTTTACTGTCTTATTCATATAATAAATATAATCAAAATTCCTGATTTTGTTTTCTCAATATATCTTATGTTGTTTTTTGCTGCTAACTGATTTCGTGTTTGTGTTCTTAACAAGCTCAAACTCAAACTTGGAATCCCAGAAACGGAAGAGGATATGGACGCCACAGACTTCGGAACACCAGTAACTGGACTTTGCCATCCGCTATGTCAATGCAGCAACTGTGTTGGATCTCAGAAAGTAATTACACCAGTTGATATTCTACTGAACTTTGCTAAATTCTTTTTTTGTTGGAAATTGAAATTGTCTTATTGCATTGCTTAAAAAGTTGCTTCCAATCCTAAACTGCCCTCTTTTGGCAATCTTCGTTGTTTTTATCTTTCCTTATTTTATGATATTTTCAGATTCCAAAACAAAAAACGACCGATAACCATCCTTACCTAATTTAAAACAACTTTCAAATTTTTTTGAAGTCAAGGTAAAAAAACAACCAGTTCTTCAGAACGACTATTTTATGCTCTCCTCTCAACTGTTAATCCTGAACGGAAAGGTAGTTCTTTTAATTCTAGCATTATTTTTGCGTGTCACTGGATGTCGATGCTTTTAGACTTTCTAAGAACTTATTTCTTACTTCTTCCCGACTGTATTTACACAAATTTTGTAGATTTTTTCAGTAACTTCTATAAAGCCCAGATCTTTGTCAGAATTCACTGCAATATTCCTCCAATCGAAAACTATTTTTTTCAATCCTTTCACAATCAAAGATTGCATGTATTTCTTAATCATTCTTGAACCAGCTGCGACATATTTTTCTCGACATTATTTCATCTTTTTCCTTGAAGAAAGGATGACTGAAGTTTTTATCAAATTTTCCATCTAGTCTTTTATGCTTGAGAGATTATTTGTCACGAAGGTAGAAATTTTGAAGCTCCCTGCCCTTTCCCACAAATAATTTTTTTTAGATAGATTTTTAATTAAAAAGGAAACTTATCTTTTCAGAATCCTATTAACGAGTCGTTAAATCAGATTGTAAATACGGCGAATGAAGATGGTGTCACGTGTTTGCACATAGCTTCACTTCATGGCTACGACCGTATTGTTGCATTGCTGCTTAACCGCGGAGGAGCCTTCCCTAACTGTCGCACAAATGTTAGTTTGAAAACCCCATTGCATCTTGCGTGCCAGTATAACCATTTCGAGGTTTGTGATTTTTCGATATAAAGAATACTAGAAAGCCATTTTCTTCAACAATGTTGTACATAGCGTTGCAAAATTCTTTGCTTTATTACGATTATTCTACATATTGCCTTCTATTTTGATTTTCAAATTAGTCGTGAAAGTGCAACCATAACGGCAAATAACCCCAACTTTCTAAACTCTCTCCAAGTTATACATTGAAATTCCTACCTCGGTACAGCCGTATTAATTTATAATCTTCCTCTGGCTCACAGCCGTGAAACCGTAATGTTTGTGGGCTCTGTAATAACTACATAATACCAAGTTCCTCGTCACTGTCTTCCACGCCCTGAGATGTGATGGTTGGGCTGCTTGCTCCATTACCGTACTGTCAAGGCAAGTAATACGAAGCTCCCTACCATCTCCGCATCTAATCATGACATTGAACTTTGAATCACACAAGTGTACTGTCTTATCCTCAGCACATATTCTTACTTTCAGTGTGTTTCATTGCTACTGAAATACGGAGCCAAAACAGACTTAAAGGATACATCAGGCAATACTCCTTTACATTTTTGCTGCATGAATGGACATGTGCAGCCAGCAATTCTTCTGCTCAAGGTATTTTGGTATTTTATTTTTAGATACATAGATTTTGCCTTTTCCTTAAAGGCATTTGCGCAACCAGCATGCTTTGCAACTATGTTTTCAAAACAATACTACCTAATATCGTATTGCATGAGAATACAAAATGCAGCCCATTTCGTCTCGTATACAATAACAGCTACCGCAAAGCATGTCGGTTGCTCCAGAGCCTTTAAACTCAAGGAACCAAGCCAAATTGTTCAATTGCTATGAGATACAGTCAGTATTCCAGGCCGTCGATGTTTTTCAGCAACCTGATTAAACAGAATTTGACTGCGTGTGTATGTAAGCTGAACAAATTAAGCTGGTTAAGCCTTTTTTAATGTTAGGTACTTAAAAAAGGCTGAAATTATGCCAAACAGACATCATATGCAGGAAAGGAAAAGTTTTCTAGTTGAAAAAACTGAATTGTGAAATACGGATAATGCATCGTGGAAAAGTCGCCTTTTTCTGTCCTTCTCTTGCATATTTGTCGATAAGCCACAGTTAATGTCAAGCTGCAATTTGATAAAGCCCATTTCTTAAATTCGCGGCCTAATTGCACAGACCGTCTATTTTTTGTAATAAGAAAACGGTAAATCTCTAAATGAACCTTCTTTTCGATACATTGAACATTATTGAAGGATCAATTTTGAAAAACAATGCAGCGTAAACCCTTGCACTGTGTCCTTTTTTACTTTCTTATTGCCACCACTGTCAATACAAGATTAGCCTATACCCTGAGCTTTACCCCTTCAGGCTACTTCCATGTTTACAATTTAGCGTATACGAAGCTATTTAGGCTGAAATATTGGAGTTCAGTAAATAGGGTTAACATTTGAGCTCGTTCAAGCATTGCCATTAAATTGTCTTTTCTGGAGTTTCCTCTAAAATTTGACAAATGCTTATTGGTCTCTAGAATAACTTATTGTGAAGTTTTGTAAAATGTACTCAAAATATGTTTATCAATGCAAATTTGGAAAAGTATGCATCATTAAAGAGAAGTTGTGAGTTTGACTGGCTGATGAACTTTTTATTATTTTTTATTTTAATTTGTCTCAAGTCATAATTTGCAATATTGGCAATCGACTTCTAGCCAATTACATGCTGTTTTAAAAACGTGTTGCAAATTTATGAGACTGGAATACGTTACTCTCCCCTTTAGCAGAAAAAAGTATATGTACTGAACTACAGAAAACACCAACATATAAGAAACTTCCTTCTCCGTCTGAATGGGTTCCTATATAATGAGCTGAACAGAAAATCGAGCTTTTTAGTTTTTTTTATTCCAAAGTCTTTTATTATTGCAATGTTTTTTATCCCATTTTGAAATTGATCGTTTAGCCATTAAACTATTGGCACTCTAGGTTTAAATTGTCAGGTTGAATGCACTGCGTCATCTCGTTGCTTGTGTAATGGAAGTATGAGCTTTGATCAGATTTGCACATATCAAGTTATAACAACCAATTACTGTATATATGCTAGAACAGTCAACATATGCTTCTACCTTCTTCTCCCAACTAGTAGCTCTTTTTCTTCCGTCTTAGAATGCAGCTAATGTAAATGCTTTGAATAGACGAGGAAATACTCCTTTGCATGAATCTGCAAGGTTTGTGCAGTTGATTAATTTTTTGTAGCATGTTTACCGCTGGTAATTGTCTCCGACTTGAATGTTTCCCTTAAAACTCATTTACTCTGACCGCAAACCTGATTCTAGTGGTTGGATAGAGGGTTTTAAAGGAATTTATGTTTCTTGGGCGTGTTTTGGCGTATTACAAACACACCCATTTTTCACAGGTTTATGGCAAAACTTCCATTAATTAAGATTAGTTATCTTCAATTTAAGAAAAAGCCACTTCAAGGGAGCTGTTTATCTTTCTCAAAAATATAATTGAAGAGCTGAGGGTCACGACACTGTTCTGGAAACTACCCAAGTTATCTTCAATGGAACATTTTAATATTTTCTTTTGATTAGCAACAGAACCACCGATGTGAAATGCAGACTAATTTAACAAAAAACCATTCTTATCCTGAAACTGAATTTTCAATCTTCAAATCATCCATTTCTTAATCTTATTTCGATCTAATTTTTTGTTTCTGACAATTCTTGCCATTGCTTTCAAATATCCTCATATCTTGTTAAGACTTCTAGATTTTTCAAGAGGGAATAATGGCAAAAGGCAAGACATTCAATCGAAAATTTCATTTTCAGACTCTTCGAACTAGATCTTTTGGAGGCGCTCAAGCGTAATGTCAAACTGTAAAATCTTTTTCTTTTTACAACTCAAAATTGTTATTCGACAAATTCTATGATGGCTCGAAGCATAAATGAAAAGGTTTGTCATTGCTCAAAGGTTTGTACTGTCTGTCATATTTCAGATGGAACTGGCCGGATCTAGTGACAGTCTTGCTGTACTATGGTGCATCAACTAAAATAAGGAATAAATCCAACCTTACTTGTTTACAGTATGCTCAGGTATGTTGATTAACTGCCTTCTCTTAAATTGTCTTAAAACCTATTTAATGAAATTTTGTCTTATATTGTAACGTAAAGAAGATAATAATTTTCCAATAGGTACAGCAGCTTTAAATAATCCATGGTCTCTGACGAAAGGGGTTTGGGGGCCATGACCCGCCCCCAAGTTTTTTTGCAAGACAATAGAGCTGTTTTCAAAATATTTTGTTGTGTTAAACTTTCCCTGTCCCTTGCATCCCCCCCTCCCTGTAAAGGTTTTACGCTGTATTGCGCAGACTTATGCGAGAAGATTTCATGAAAGAAACGAAGAAATGAGATCTTATTCTGTGCTTACATTCTTGTTATCATGCATATCCAAAATCCCCTATTTACAAAATCTAATTGATATATATACGAACGGCGTACAATAGGTTAATTACATGATTGACATAAAACTAAACGAGTACGAGGTTATACGAGGATACGAGGTTATACAATATAAGAATTATCCTGTTACATTTCAAGACGAACTTGTGCACATCAAATAACGTCAAACTGACTTCGTGATATAAAGCCACACGACAGTTGCCCATTGAAGCCATTACTACAATGATTATCTTAAGCCTACTATGTGGTTGCCAGATTGGTTAATCTGATCCCAATTTTTGTACGTGTTAATTGTTCACACTCCTTTTTATAAGAACAATTCTATAAAAACTCTAGCCTCAAAATTGCTCAAAATTTACGAACAAGTTCAGAAAAATCCTGCGTAAAAGTTTTTGAAAAAATAACAGCCAACCTTAACCTCGATTGACTAGCTCTAGCCTATGCTCTAACCAAAAAGACTGTCTTCCAAGCAGGGCGTACTTAACAATGATTTTCTTCTAGCACGACGAGGTAATAGAATTGCTTCGCAATGCTGATGTAGAGGCAGATGAGACAAGTTCTTCAAAAAATAAGCAGCAAAATAGTATGTTCCATTTCATTATTCAGATATGAGTTTTCTACTCTTTGAAAAAGAATACTGTGACCCCTCCATCAGGACATTTTTTAAAGAAGTTTGATATCATCCTAAGGAAGTAGTTTTTACAGTATTTTGGTCTTTGGCTTTAGTACAGTTCCCTTTTTTAGATTTTTTACATTCATTTTTTATCTGATAAAATGTATTTTAAAACATCACAACTGTTGTCATGCAATATTTTGCACTGGGAAGTTTCATCGTTGAACTGACATGAAGGAAGTTAGCGTTTCAGAACATTTCTTGAATCCAAAGGATCAATACACGAAATCCTTTTAATTTCTTTACCTCTTAGACTGTTCATGATTTTCAGAAGTCTCTAGGTGCTCAGGTTTTGTGCAACGCAAAAAATGTGTTTTGGAGGCTTGGAGTCTTAGAAACCTCTCAAAACTAGGCATAGTTTTATTGAACAGGACACTTTTTGACTCGAATTTTTTATCAAGACTTAAATTCGATACTGTGGTTACCTTTTTTTCCAACTTTGTTCGTTCAGGTCAGCCTAGCTCAAGGTCAAACTCTTTCCACAACTCTCCTGTATCCTTCTTTGACGATGACGAGGCTTTCCAGGCCGATGAAGTCTTCAGCAAATCGTCTGGATTAGACCAACATGAAAATGATCTGGCTTCTTCAAGAGCTGATTTTGCAGTAACTTCCAAAGATCAGAGACACAAGAACGATGGCGATCAAAAGATGGAAGGGAGATTGCCGACGCAAAGAAAAACAACTATATCTAATCTTTTTCAAGCTTACGAAGAGGATGATAAGGAAAAACTGAAGGAACTTGTTGCTGGAATTCAAAAATTTGATAAGTTTGTGTCTTTTGTGATTTCATTCACATTTCAGATTTTTTATAGCAGGACTTCAAATATGGCAGCTAAAAAGCTTTTATAGCAGCTTTCTTCTGAGCGTTCTTAACATACATAGTTGCATTTCAGGACAATGATTCTAATACGATTGCACGTGATTTCCAAAGCTTGTCTTTTATGTAAGCTAATATATCATTGACCAACCCCCCCCCCCCCCCCTCTTCGAAGTCCTCTTCTTTTCTTGAAGATTCCCCTCATTTCAGATACAACCCATACAAAGCAACGCCGTTATGATGCTGTCGTATCGCCCAAAATAAGGATTTAAACATTTTGTCTTTTGCAGGAGAAAGAAACTACGACGCGTGAGTACCATCGACAAAAGCGAGCCAGTTTTTGATCAGCATCTGGTGCAAATGGTATTTGGTTTATTTGAGATTCTTGAAGGAATACACCTTGTGCAATTTCTGCAATGTGAAAAGGCCAAAATGATGTTCAGTAGTTTCTTCTCTTTTACCTTACAACAAAGTCGTTATTATTCCTGTAGTAATTTTCACAAGAACAAACACGCATCGATGCTTTTCTTATGATTTGACAAAATGCGAAAATTTAATGTTCATTTGCAGTGAATTTTAAGAAGACATTTCGATATCGATATTCTTTCTTGCTGTGGCGTGTAAGCAAACCTATCATTAGAATACCATTTGATCTCTAGAAAAGCCTGACCTGTTCTATTGCGTTCCTTTCAGCTATCAATACAGCATTTCGATTTATCGTCACTTCGTCACGTTGACATTCAGCACCATCCTGAGGGCCGAATTTCTAAGTCTCCTGTAGTGGAAGATGATATGGATTTGTCAGAGTACTGGCAAAAATTCGAAGAAGACAAAGAAATGGATACAATTAAAAAAAGTAGTGATTTGGCTTCTGATGACGAAATTGATGAAAAACCGTCACCCGCACATTCGTCCCAGGATCATTTTCATGAAAAAGTACAGTCTAACCAAACATCTGAATCCTCAAACCTTTCAAGTGTATTCGATATTGAATACCGAAAAACAGATCTTCCAGAGGAATCAGGTCTTCTGAAAACTGAAGTTGGCTCTTTACCACTTGAAAGTCAGCAACACTAAAAAAACCCATTGGGAGGTCCAGGAGCTCAAAGGCCCGGATGAAAATTCAAGGCATTCATGATCAGCTGTTTTCTCAGATAACAATAGATCATCATTATCTGCTGGTGATGTATTAGTTTCTATAATTGTAATGGAGGCGGATGAAAGTTGACTGATGTGTCTGCTTGAAGAGATAAGGATCACATTTGATCTGAGAACACAAAGCTTCGCTAGATTATTTTGCAATATTTAGTGACTGCATTGCGGAATATTTTTCTTTGTGGAAAAACCAATTGATTTTAAACAGATAACTACGTTGTGAACTTATTGTAACAATATTTGATAATTTAAAACGCTCGGCGTTTGATTGTTTAAGACGAACAACTACAGAGTAACTGATTCATGTCTAAGATCACGCACTGTCATTCCTCAATTCATCTCAGGCCCACCAAGAGTGTTTCTGGAGCCTGGGGCAAAAAAGAAAGATCGGGCCCTTGACGATGTCCTTATAGCTTCGATTGTAATTTTGTTTTTATTTAAAACGATATGTTAGGAACTTTTGATAACTTTTGGGGCCCCTCTCGTCTCGGGGTCTGGTGCAATCTGCCATCTTGCCCTCTCTCGGCAGGCCCTGTTCAGCTACACAGCAAAGTATATTTTACGCTGCTGGCTGCGTACAAAAATTTTCTGCACGTAGCTTGGAATTACTTGAAAAAAGCTGATTTGGTTTGCGATTTAGAAATTAGCGATTTAGAAATTTAGAAATAATCATTAGCAATTTAGAAATATTTCATTACTTGAGGGAGGGATCAATTTTGATTTTTTAGAGTATTTTGCGGTCTCCGTTAATCTTATAGAGCTAGGCTTTGTTCCAGGCACTCCAATCAAAGTTGCGAAATGGTTAACTTGCTACTATATCTAACGATACTATCATGATATTGTATTATCGAAATATGTATGCAGTTATCTTAAGGCGGGTTTACACGATCGTTTTTCCTTAAATTTTTTTTCGATATTGGACCGCGATGAACGACAACGATCGTGTAAAAGGCTAAATTGCTGAAAAAAGTTTGATGCTATCTGTCGTTTTTAATCCGCTTAATTGGCGATAATGATCCATCGTTGAAGATTTTATTTTGACTCCGGGTCAAAATAAAATCTCTACCATCATTTTTTTTCAAAGGGGCCG